AATCCCTGCTAAGGCTTGCAAGCAAGGCTGCAAACAATAATATGATATATTGCAAGTACGGTAGTATGATGTTATGAGCTAGAAATATCCCTAATTTACAACAACGTTTGAGAGTGCGTTTTCTAATCTACACCATTGCCACTTACAATACCAATCCGTTGCTATTGCTACGTAGATATAATCAAGATCTAGCATGCTAAAATATTTCATCTAAACTTCAAAATTGTACTTTTAACTTTAACATTCTTCGAGGTGATAGATACAATCAAGTTAAACCAGTTGGTAACTACTATTTTAGTCTATCTAATCCTACAGTTCAGGAGATCGTCAATATTACTGGTATAGAGATGTCACGAAGATGACTTTTGTCACATATAAGTTCTTGCGATGATAGTTGGCGATACCTGGATAACTTAATATTTGAAAGACCAACGATCTGATAGATAGTTCGATATTCAAGCCGATAGTTGACACCATCTTAAAGGCCAAAACAATCAGTTGCCTTATATACGCATTTTATGGACTACTAGATGCAGTATGGCGTATCTAGTAGACCATGCGTCTATACTGTAAATAATTATAAGAAATACTATATTTTATGGGTATACAAACCTAATTTTAAGACTAGATGCGAACTGCAAACTCAGATAAAGTACATGATAGGCATCGTTAAGAAATAGAGGATGCAATCGCATTAGAATGAGCCAGATTCATTATTGTAACGGGAGTATTTACTGCTAGTAGACTTAATCTAGATATGGGACATGAGAGTGTGAACAAGCACAATCTATTCCTCTCTTTTGATTGAACATGTCCATTGCACAATTGCATGCAGTACCGTACAGTATCGTATCGTTTACGAAGATGGAACTTACTCATAATATAGATGAAAAGTAGGAATTATGCGGATTTGTCGACGGTCAATAGCTACCACTAAGCCTGTCGAGAATTTTAAAATTATATGGTACTGTAATTTTATCGTCGACAGTTAAGAATGTCATGTATTGTCAAATCTTGAACGAAATCAACTGAAAGTATACAAATAAATAAAATAATAACGTTATGCAAAACTAACACACTCCCCGCTAATACAGCAAGTGTTGTACTGATTACTACGGTACAACAATTTTTATTGGCACGTTTTAAATGATAATAGTTATACCTATCAGTGAACGCCAGTTTTTGCATTTTGTTATATGTTGTAGGAACGCCATTGCACAGTTGCTGTTGTTGAATTATGAATGATATTAGTAGAATCCCTTAATCCTCTGCTGTTTCTAACAAGTGATGATTAAAAAGGCTGAAAACCGGCAGTCTTAGCTCAGGGTCCGGTGGGGGGTGGAGGGGTCACACTTTGTGACCCGTCAATCTTTAGCAAGGCAGGCTTGTGTCATCTGTCGTCACGACAGTCTGTACACGCTATACGGATACTCGAGACGGGCGGACAGGGTAAAGAACCAAGTGTACTGTGCTGTACTGTACAGTACAGTGTACAGTACGTCACAGAAAGTACTGTACAGTACAACGTTTGGAAATTCTATTCCGATTTTTCAAAATGAAATAAAAGTGCCAAAAATGGATGAACTCTATTCAATTTTTTATAAATCAGCAGCATTTGAGTCAAAAATTTCAAATTCGCAGCTATATTTCTATTTTATTGAACATCCGCTGCAAAATATCTAAAAGAATCGCCAATTTTGCTACAGTACATCGTCAAATTTTCTACAGTCCTATTGTTTTATTTTAGTACAGTACTGTACAGTGTACAGTACAGTACTGTACTGTACAACGCCCAGCATTGGCCTCCGTACATAGTACTGTACTGTATTTTACTTTGTCTGAACAATACTGTACTGTACTGTAATCTGTACTGTAGTCTTTCGTATTGAGTGCTTCAGTGCCATCGAAACACGTACAACAAAACCTCGATCTTGCACTCACATCGACCCACACAAGCCCAGTCAAGCTATTATCTGGCCACAGGCTTACAGCTCGCACTTGCAATCAAAGAAGAAAAAAATGCTCTCTGCTAGGTCAAGAATTTCGCAAATTGCAAAGCAGGTATTTCTACTAGGAAATGGATTTCACTTCAGTCTTGAATGCAAACATTTAGTTGTGCTCTATTTCATCTTACATGCTCAATTTGAAAATTGTTGTACTTCATAATTTTGACTTGCTGTACAGTAGAATTGGCGTAACTGCGTCTTGATCACTAAGGTACAAATTCAGTAAAATACAGTAGCAGAATTGCAATCAACAGTGGACTGTCCTACAGCAATAAGATATTACCCATGGCGTTTGAATAGTAACATGGAATACATCGACGTCATCAACATGACCATTTAGTGAATAAAGTAGGTCTAGTAAAGAAGAAAATCGTCGTAGAAATGGGTACACTTGCGTAGACTAGGGTAGAGATTGATTGATCAAGGTCCTCCTAAATGACACCAATTGTTAACGTGACGGAGTAGTATTGATCGATCAATTATTCGACCAGAGGGTGTTGGATAGTTATTCCTGAGGAGCTACGACACTTTCAAAAGGTCATTTTCATCTACCACAACGAAAGGAAGACTAAAACTATTGCTATAGACTCAGAAAACAGCGTGCACGCTTTCGCAACAATTCATATCACTACTTTCTTATCAGTTTGTGATTGGGCTTGATAGGATAAAATATTGTCAATACAGTTGGTGAAATATGTCTTGGATCGGCCAATCCTTTGGTTGATTATTGATCCTTGTGTTACTTGTATAGAATGATTGCTTTACCAGCCTCGTTAATAAGGTGTTAGTTATGGTTCTCAAAGTCTTTCCATTCCTTTATCACAATACTTTCTAATTTACTAAATCCCTTCAAAAAATTCTCATTGGAACGTGGCTAACGCAACATGTGTTTCCAGCTTACGATACAGTACATTTAGAGTAATTGAGTAAATCGAACAGCGATGGTAATGAATTCATTAAAAGTGATCAGTAATTACTGCTCTAGACATAAAAGTAGATCTCTCTCTTTCTGCTTTCAAGTTTTACTTTTGATCATCCAATATCGTCCAGCATTTGTGATGGTTGTCCGTTTCTTAATTATCATCTTACTGTATGCAGATGTTTACTGACAAAGTGCCAATCCCCGTACAACACTGTCCGTAGATCTGTCGGTGAATACGAGTACATTAATTTAATTTACTATCGTTACTCTTATTAATTATCATATTCTGCAAAACGATACTAATTCACGCAGCCATGTCTACTTTGGACAGTTGTTGACGATAAATGGTAATCATTGGAATATGGGCTTGTATCACTGCTAAAGCCTATACAGTTGATAAAAGAGACATTGATAGAATCATGAAACCCACCTCCAGAATTACGCTGTTATTCCAACTCGCTTGTAGGATATAGGACATGAAAGTAGTATCGATACTAATAAAAACTAAGGAATTATATCATTGAGGGACTTTTAATTAGCCACATGATGATGTGTACTAGAAGAATGCGATTTTAATCAGACAACATTAGAGTAATTACAGTACCACCTAACTTCGCTTTTCATCTCGCGTATGGAGCAAAGCAATAGCAAATATGAAATTGAATCATAAATCTCCTTTAATTAAAAATCTTCTGCCGTAAGCTGTGATACTGCACCATGAGGAATTACTAAAAGAAATATCCTGGTAGCATCCTATACTTTTCATCCTACAATGACAAGCTAATTGAAAAAGGCTTATTACGTGTACCATTATGACATTCAGATGATATTTTTATTACGCTGACTTTTAGTATGCAGTATTGTACTACAAGTTGCATCAAAGCTGCCAGTAGTACATGTGCTGTAAAACAGGTTCTGCTACATTTCACCAGTATCAACGCATCAAATTTAGACGGTACTCTACTGTCTATACCCTGCAAGTTGTGACGGAAAACAATTGATACGAATTATTTTAATCCGACGAGTATTTCCAGTTTTGATGATGTTCCAGCTGACAGAGATTTATGCTATAACTGTTAAATAATTAGAATAGCTGTAACCTGTATCTTTTGCGCCTTGATACAGTGGAAAGTAACTTAGCAATATGGATTATCCTAATACAGGAGTGTTGGATATACAGATATACTTCACGAGCTATAGGAACATCTAAGCCGGATGTACATCAGAATGACGTTGAATACATAAACATGTTTGCGAACTCACAGCGACTTACTGCATATTGCACACGTAATAGCGTGAATTATGTACCTTGAACTTCGATCGAATACGTTTCACAGCAGGTAGTTTACACAAAATAAACTGTAGCTATTATATAACACACTTATATACAATCTGTAATATAGTTATTGATCGTAATTAAAGTTATAGTTCATTGAATTAAATACGCGTTAATTATAGCAATTGCAATGATCGGAGAATATCTAGTAAATTTCTACTAATGATACGTATCACCCGTTGGTGGGTGATATAATGGCAGCTATCTACAGGAATAGATCGATAAGGCAAAATCCTACGAATACTATTGCTTTGTATTGTATTGCGAGCTACCGGCGATTTTTTATCCATCCTAGCCAGATTTCGCTTCATACGATCATTTTAGTTACGATAACACTTCTCTAAGGGCTAACCCTCACTGTATTTTCTGCTCCAAATGAGCCAATCTTTAAAAAGCTTTGTAATCATTGCAGCTATGATAGTAAAAGTACAGCTAAGTGCATTGTAAATCCATTAACGAAGACAAAGTATAAAGGACAGTTTTCGCTATAGTATTATACGAATCGTACTACTTCGTACAAACAAGTCTTAACCTGTACTTATCGCATGCACGCATATTTAATTAACTATAATCGATCTCGTTTTATGATTAGGCGTCCAGGTTGCCCTTCTATCGTAACTACGCATCTGCGGTAAGCTCTCGTATAAACTTAACTATTCAATAGACAGGCTGTTATAAACATTATCTAGCTGTACCGACTAATCAATCTGCTAAATTAATGGTAATGATGCAATTCATGATTGATATTATTTTCTGTATATTTCAGACCACAACTCCACTCTTTATTGATGGCAAATTCATTGAATCACAAACAAACGAATGGATTGACATTCACGATCCTGTAGGTCTATTCTTAAAGTTAATACTCGAATTTCAGGCTTTATTTCTATTATACCTTCCTGTATATTTGCCATATATATGTGATATATGTACATATGGTATTTATTCTGTCAGAACCGAAGTTTTAAATGCTTGAATTATCAGCTATTTTATGATATCTGTTATACATTATATTATTACTTCATAGGCTACTAATGAAGTGGTCTCAAGGGTGCCATGTGCAACAGATAGCGAAATGAACAGCGCTGTTGCTGCTGCCGACAGAGCATTTCAGTCTTGGAAGGAAACATCAATTTTAACACGTCAGCAAGTTATGTTCAAATTACAAGATTTAATTCGTACAAATTCGGTAATGAATTGATACTTTATTGGCGGTTAGTAAGATTGTTATCCAATTCTTAAATAACTCTTGATGATTGGTTGTTACTAGCCTGAAATTGCTAAAATCATCACGATGGAGCAAGGCAAAACTTTATTAGATGCAGAAGGGGATGTTTTTCGCGGCCTGCGTAAGGATATTGATTGAACTGCGAGTAGTATAAATTTGAGAGTACAATATGATTCATTCTTGTTGTAAATCTAATAGCGTTTCTTACATTGCAATACTTGATAAAAGTACTATTTTATAACGATCGAATGGATATTATTCATGCTATTATTTTTAACTCATGATTTCAACCAATCTCTTATAGAGGTCGTAGAACATGCCTGTTCGATTACCTCATTACAGTTAGGTGAAAGCCTTCCTTCTGTTGCGAAAGATATGGATACCTATACCTACAGAATACCACTAGGCGTGACTGCAGGAATAACTCCGTAATTAACGTAGAATTTGAATACAAGTTAATTTACATAAGCCATCATGCGACCGTGGATTGTTACTTAATGATGACTGCCTTTAGGTTAATATTAACTTTTTTGTCAAACCGTTCTTAATGTCTTATAGGTTTAATTTTCCTGCTATGATTCCGTTGTGGGTAAGCTCCGTGTTGCGAACACATAAAACGACTTGCTTTTGCACCTGTAACAGTTCTAAAAATAATTACTGTGTAATAAATTACTATTAGATGTTTCCAATGGCGTTAGTTTGTGGTAACACATCCGTGATTAAGCCATCTGAACGTGACCCTGGTGCTGTAATGTTAATGATGAAATTGGCTCAAGACGCTGGAATACCAGATGGTGCTGTTAACGTAATTCATGGAGCCAAGAGAGCAGTAAACTTTATTCTTGACAACCCTGTTATTAAAGCAGTATCTTTTGTGGGCTCTGATCAAGCTGTTAGTTCACATTCAAAACATGGTTTTTTAACATTTTCTTCAATGTAGTACTTACGTAATACCTATGATGATGACTAGGGCGAGTACATTTACGAACGAGGTTCAGCTAATGGAAAGCGAGTACAAAGTAACATGGGAGCTAAGAACCATGGCGTTATCTTGCCAGATGCGAACAAAGAAGCAACGCTTAACGCCGTTAGTACTTTGCTAGTAAAACTCGGTGTATTATAGCATTCTCTTTAATTTAAGTTATTCAATTCAGTTATGCGGTGCTGCTTTTGGAGCCGCTGGACAGAGATGTATGGCTTTATCAACTGCAGTTTTTGTTGGTGAAACTAAAAACTGGATTCCTGAATTGGTAGAGAGAGCGAAAAAACTGAAAGTTAGCGCAGGTAATTCTATTAAGGTATTACGGAATAAGTTGTGCGAAGATACATTACATAGACACTAGTCGTGAAGGATTATATTATTATATGACTTCACTTCCATTGAATATCTAATCCCATCATTTTATATTTATTATCATAAAACTTGTAGGAGCTGAACCTGAAGCTGATTTAGGCCCATTGATCACTCCAGAAGCCAAAGATAGGGTTTGCAAGTTGGTTCAAAGTGGAGTCAATGAAGGTGCTGGGGTTAGTTTACTATAAGTTAGTTTTGATTATTGTTACTTTTTCGTATAATGACTAGATATAGATAAAAATGATGAAATATTTTAATTATGAAATATTTTAATTATGAAAAAGCTTATTTTGGATGGTCGAGATATCTCTGTGAAAGGATACGAAAACGGAAATTTCGTTGGACCCACAATATTAACAGACGTGAAGGTATATTTTTCGTGGTATATCATTTAATTACTTCTTGTTTGCCATTTATAATTTCTAAAAACTGTAATTTGAAATGATGTAGCCGGATATGGAATGTTACACGGAAGAAATATTTGGACCTGTTTTGGTTACATTAAATGTTGACACCCTCGATGAGGTAAGAAGTTATTGAAATCAATTCTCTTGATGGATTATGTTAACATTTTTCTTAACTTACTTTGCAAAGGCCATTTCTCTAATCAATAAAAATCCCTACGGTAACGGCACTGCTGTCTTTACGAACTCTGGAGCTGCTGCTCGTAAATTTCAAAATGAAGTCGACGTTGGCCAGGTATTAATTTGAACAATTTTAGACCAAAAGAAAGTGTATTACCGACTAAAATTTTATTGGATTATCTGTTTTAACACCTTAAAGCTAGATATATACTTTTTAACCTTCAAATCATTGTATTTCGTAAATATAGATCGGAATTAACGTTCCCATCCCGGTTCCTTTGCCTATGTTTGCTTTTACTGGATCAAGAGGCTCTTTCAGAGGAGACACCAACTTCTATGGCAAATCGGTAAGGTTTATTTTGACTTCGATTTTGATTTGATGTACATTTATTAAATAAGAGCCTGCAATATAATTTTATGCGTATTAGGGTATTGCATTCTACACCCAAACGAAAACTATCACCAGCCTTTGGAGGGAAGAAGATGCCACCGATAAAGTAGCCCCTACGGCTATGCCAACAATGAAGTAACGCTTAGATGGCAATATTGTATTTAAATGCTGATAACTTACTGATTCGAATCTTCAAATATGAAAATGGTTTAATTTTGATCGCCTTTGTGTACGCTTGCAATTATGGTAATTTCATATTGAGTAGAGCAAAATAAGTGTCTACCATACTTGCTGTTCTAATAAATCGCCTATTACTACAAAGTTGATGATATGTGTCTGCAAATTATGATTTCGTACTATTGTGCGAAACATTCTAAGTTTTTGAGATTGTGAATACAAAACTTCATTTACTTGTATAAATGATGGCTTTTCATCCCGGAGTAATGCGTGGATAAAATATCGTAGCATACCCGATCATGTAGAAAATAGTCGAATTCTACTCGAAATTTTTACGAAGCAGATCCACACACATTTATAGGATTGGCATATATTTATTTTACCTAAAAACAGTAATGGGCTGCACTATTTATATTAAGTAAGTACGTATCATACTTGAAAACAAGGACATGGATAAGATTCAGCAAGCGTAATATAGTAATAAGAATAGCATTGACAATTATTAATTTCATTTTTATTTATAAACGTTAAAGCAATAATTATAATGAGAAACTTACACAGTTAAACTTTTACCAACTAACGGATATTTACAATAAAAATTGAAAATGTAGGGCATATGATAAAAATGGGGGGGGGGGAAAAGAAGGTACTTTATAGCAGTCGCCAAATAATATGTCAAACGACACAGTTCTTATCTAAAACGAGCTGATGTAATGATCGACATACACTGTGGTAGACGCATGCAGTTTAAAACTTTAATAATTTGGGATGCAAATACTACGTGTGATGCTTACCGAACGATTGGTAAAGATAGAATTAAATTAGCTATAAAATGATCATTAGATAGAATGGTAAGTTGCTTACTCGTGCATAGTACATACTGCTTATGTATAAGAATAATATTGTTAAGTCAGAACGAGTACGATACATTAACGTAGTTGAATTCCACGCCGAGCAAACACTGCGTCGTTTCTCTTTTTCGATCTGTCTTTCAAAGCATTATTTCGTCTCTGCTCCCTGATATGAAAATATCAATTCTTTAGTAAAAGTTATATGATAGAGAATGCTTATTCACGAATAACGAAGAGTTTGTTTTTTATTTCAGTACAGTAAAATACGGCTAATCATTAATGTTGCACTGATATAACTGATTTCAATGTAACAGTGTAGGCGCAACCCCATAGGACGATTTTATTGCTTTTAATGCGAACCTGGTTGGAACTTTGACTTTCTTGACGTCAATCTCGTGTGAGACTGTATTATCTTGCGGATGATTTTGAATGGATCTTATTCTTTCTGTCAGATCATAACATAAAGTATTTACTAATCATATGTATCTCAAAAAAAATTGAGGCTTAATAATTTCAGGAATCAAAGACAATAACCCTTGAATAAATCGTCTAACCTCTAGCTAATTTCTTTGCTGACGTTGCACCAATCGATTTCCTTCTGCATAAATCATAATTTTTCCTTCTCTGAAAAGCGCTATCTTCAAACTGTACTCGTTGTAACGGTGCTACACGAATAAATATGGCCACATTACATATAATACAAATACTTGCACAATCTGACTGCAGCGCCAAATTAAATTAAATCGATACTGCAATATGCATTACTTTGAGCTTGATTTATTGATGCATTCTTCATACGCTTATTTGGCGTTTTAAAACTCATAGGGGCTAAATTTAAAACATAGATTGGAAATAAAAATTAATACTCCATTATATTGTTATCAAAATAATTATTTGAATACGAAATATCAACTAGTGACCTTAGATTTTTGCTTACTTTTTGGTTGTTTTGATGATACCACTGTACTGCGAATCTTTTTATTTGGTGTCTTAGCGTGTCGACGTGATGGTGTCCGATTATTGAATTCAGTCTTTGTTGTATCGTTTAATGAAAAGTTGAAATGTACTGGAATCTTTTTTAAGTTAATAATGATGATAGGTTTAATATGTTATACACATAGCAAACTGACTTAAGGCAACTTCGTATACAAAATATAATTATATCACATACTTGGCTTGAAAAGCTAACAGTAGGCTCTTTCACAATTTTCCTCTTTTCAACACTATTTTGCTATCAAAATGGAATACATAAATATCGATTATGTGTCATAAAATACAATCAAACGACAGAATCGACTAATCTTGCATGAATTAAGAGACAGATTAGAGTTAAATTTTTGATTCTCATTACCAGTTTTTGCGTTAAATACTGCCGCCTTTTATTTTTCTTGTCTAGATAAGTATCTAGTGATTCGCCGAATCTGATATTATAAATAGTGATAATATTATGCACTGATGTTGTCAAATGTACTTCAAAAATTCATCTACTTCATTGGCCAATAAAATTTCTACCTGAAAGGATACTGTCAATAATAACGTACTGTACGAGTAATATGATTTTATCTGTATGTCTTACAATCTAATTTCTCCCTTGGTGAATACAGTCCATTTACATCATTGTGTTAAAAAGGACAGAAAATTATAGAGTAACAAATAGAGAATCCTTAATACGTACTTGCTGAAGTTTTGAGCGTGCAATTTTTTGAAATCAGGGAGTTTGGTGGCTTTTCTTGCTTTAAATTATAGAAAATCCATCACTTAGCAAGAAAAATCAACACATTTGTGAGCACAACATAAGTACCTGGTTTTTTGGAGGACGAAACTGAGTCGGCTTTTTTTAATGCACTTTTCTTAGCTATGTTACTGGTTTTAGTTGGTCCATTGCTCTTTTGAGCTCTTTTTCTAGTCTTAGGTGGATCTGAAACTTGAGAAGGCGGCTTTTCTTTTACCTTGGTTGGCTTTTGTATGCACGGGCTATTAGATGTATCAGTCTCAGATCCCAGAGCCTTACGAGCTAGAATGTATTTTGTGAACACGAAGTAACTTAAGCTAATCCGTTCATAATATAATTAATAAGAGAGTGTAATTATTCTAGCATCTCATATTTTTAAGGTCCAGTAAACTAACATTATGCTGCAGTAATATATAACTAAGAAAAAGTGCTAAATGAAATATTTTTATCAGTTACAATTCACTATTTACCAGCCACTCTTTCACCTAGCTCCATCATCAGATCAGCCTGAACTTTGCCAACAGATAAGTTATCATTCACAACTTTTACCTAAATAGCATTTTTTAATGGTTTTATTTTGATGCAAAGTAATTGCTAATAATGGCATGAATAAGTACAATATTTATGCAACATATGAGTGCAAATAGGATAGCGCATTATATAGTTTACAAGACGAAGGGTAAAAGCAGCCAAATTTATTTATGATGTTAATTACCTGAAGTTCTACAGGGTCTTGATTCTCTTTAGAACTGATAGGATTAACATCCTTATCGTAAGTCTGACGACGTACAGTAGTCGAATCGCAGATACTTTCTGGTTCAATCTTGCCATTCTGAAATATTTGTAACAAAATTGCTTAAAATTAGGCGATTGCTATTCTGTGTCTAACGGGATGATAAATTAATTAGTTTATCCGCCTAAGATATCACCACACTAGATTTTGTGTCTGTGATATTATGTGTAACGTGAATCGTTATCGCATAGTATATCAAATAGTAGGTTCGGCGGCGAGAGGGCTGAGACTGATTGCAAACTAGATTCTACTTTGATTTTATTATATTATTATTTTTAAATTTTAAATCAAACAAACATTTTACTGATACTTACAAATACTTCAAATCTCTCCTGTACGTTTTCAACAACTAAATTATATTGCGTACTTCGAGAATAGAAGGAATGTTCACGGTAGAGAATTCCGTCATAAGAAAAAAATTAATAAGTACCTTAATGGTGTGGAATACCAATACAACACACATACTGTATGTAACATATAAATAGACAGAAAAATGTATGGTGTAAAGTAACAGCTGCAGTTGAGCTGCTACTTGCATCCTATGCTGCATGCATACCTATAGTACCTAATATCAAGACAGCACAGTATATTGTCGAAACGCGGATATCTATGAAATCAATTCTTTAAGTTGAGCGTTGACTTACCAGGTATTACCAGAAACTTTAGGTTTGAGCAATATTCTCTTAAGGGCAGCTATCAATTCGATGTTCTTAATGCAAAATACACAGTGATAATATGGCGTAATTAGAATGTATGTGTTATGGGTGTATTACAATTATGTTCAACAATGATTTTTGGTTTTATTTTCACTGCAATAATCTATTTTAGCGAGTTACTATTAACAAGTTAGCCTATTGATACAAATTATAAATGTTAAGTGCTATGTCTGCTAAATGATTATAATTAAAGCAGATTTCTATATTTTCACTGTTATACGTAATCCACGCCATCAGAAAGCTAGGAATAAAATGTTTTAAAGTAAAAGAATAAGCTACAGTATAATAGATGAGAATCGTTAGCTACAGATAATGTTACTAAGGCACTTATCAAATCATGCTAATTGTATATATATAATTAGCCTTGATTCACCAAGTTAAGTGTGAAGGCTAGATGATTTGAATGAATTCTGCTATATGATCAACAATGTACGTATACCGTATATGTAAGTGCTGCTGCTATATAGATTTTGTAAAATAAGTGTTCTTTAAATTGAACGAAACATAATTATGATATAAGTAATAAACTATTGAGTCTACGTTCGTATCATGATCAAATTATAGCACTACTGTACGTTTGAAGATAATAATAAATACGCGTATAATTAGTGACGGTAGAGATACCTTTCAATAATCTAAAAGTACTTTCTTAATTTACTTGGTATATAAATTCGTAAGCGAACCGTGACAACTATTAATATTACATTTTGGCGTAAATGTGTATGTATACGTATATATACAGCATATACTGCATGTTTATAAGTATGGAATACAGTTAACGGTAATGAAGTAATAATATATAGCCGACGTTAAATTGGAATATGCAGTAAAATATTGTAAGAATACTGCCTGTACTGTGGTTTCACATAAAATGTACAATGATGCTTTAAGCAGAAATGAGATGCAATTTTGTATGAACAACGGATAGAAATTATCATAGGATAGTGAATAGGAAATTGTATAGTAGAATAAAAATAAAAATAAATAAGTTATGTTATCTACTGTGTTTCGAAACAAAAACCAATTAGACTAAGATTGATTATTCTAAAATGTAGATGCTTTTACACGCGTCTTTTCAATGGCATTAGTAATACAGAAATGTATACAGTCTTGCATTATCATGATGAACGTAGAAACTTTAGAATTAGACATTAGTATAAATGTCAGGTGCTCCATGTACATAAAATTTGGATATTACGATATTTTTTGCATCTTGCGACGGTATAGAATGTAGTCAGGTCAATCATTAATTATAATTTGAAGTATACTTATTCGTTGCAATCGAACAATCCTGTCTCCAAATTTTTTTGCAGAAGTGACTGTAGTAGTTGGTCCACTATGATACTATTGATTATACAAACTAATGATCTACATACAGTATATATGTACTCTTTAATCCATCAATACCAGTATAATATGCCTGAAAATATAAAATTTTAAATTCTCTGCTTTTGGAGTTTGCCATTTATGATCAGACTGTTCGATTTTCATGACATCTTTTGCTTACACCTCCACGCGATTGCATGCTCAATACGTGCAGTACAGTTTATCTAGCAACTATTCATTTCAGTAATATAAAATCCTAGCTCTCTACTCGACAACAGAAGTTATACATTATTAGCCAAATAGCTTATGGTCATTTCATTATGCCTTCTATTTCCATTACCTTTCCAGCTGCTTTAATTCCATGTTTTTTGCAAAGCTTTTGCAACTGCGGTCGTTTCAAAGCTTTCAGTTCGTCTAATGACTCAAAATTGGACATTTTGATTCCTGAACTTCAAGAATGCTGAAATTTACAGCTTGCACACAGAAGACGTATGTTTACAATGTTGAATTTAATCAAGTCTGAGCTGACTATATCAATTATAGTTATTCCTACTGCAAATTCTTCCAATATAGTATGCGAATGTTTATAACGATCAAGTCAGCTAGAAATTTGAATTGAATGACCGTTACCGAGTTCCAGTCCAGTACAGTGTACAGTACAGTGTACAGTACAGTGTACAGTAAGATTTCCGGTTCTAACAGGGATTACACTACTATCCTGTACAGTGTACAGTGTACACTGTACAGTACACAAAAATGAAAATCGTTTTTAGCAAACGAGCAACTATTACTTGAATGCTAAAGCCAAAACCAGCACTGGAAATTCGATATCACAATTAAAATGATCAAGATGAAAACGACAAAATTTCTAATCCTTCCGATCTTAAGAACGCGACAGAACACTTACAGTACTCTAGTAGAGTAATAAACAGTATTTTTATTTTTTTAAATTGAATTCCTTTGTTTTCATTGGTCGTCCACGTTGACGTCAATGATGGGATGATCTCATCCTATACGCATGCGTATACGCAAACCTCCTGCAAGCACCTCAATCCGTTTTGATTGTGACGGTGAAGATAGAGGTGAACCGCATCCAAGATGGCTTACATATGGCGCAGCTTAAGCATGGTGAAATGGATGATTTTAGCATCGTTTTTAATACCTTGTCTAGCTTTACCAGAACGAGGAATCTTTAATTTAAAGATTAATCAGGTTGTATCTTAATGAAACTATGAGTAGAATTCATGATAACGATAGAGTAGAGCTTTTATTTGACGTCTTTAATCTTACTGATGGCTAGCTGACTGAATCATAAGCATCAGCATTACATAGGATAACGGACTACGCAAAGGGGCTTCGATCAAGCATATAGACTACAGTATAGTTTCAGTTCTATTGTTTGGGGCTTGTCATAATAAATGGCCATCATCGCTTAGCCAAACAATATTTACGCCGCCATTCTACTTCACTACGACTTTTCCACTTGAACTAATTAATGATGACCTATTCTAGATTAAATTGCTATCACTATTGTAGGACAAATTAGACTCCAAAAACTATTAACTAAGCCAATGATTTTTATTAATATCACTAAAACTGTCTCATTTATATAGAATTATTGCTGCACTTGCTCGCTCTCCTTTCTACAACCTAGTCAAGAATCTTCGTTCGACATTTGTACAGTAGTTAACTTGCGTCATAGTAAGAATGGACTTGGATAACAACTGTAAAAATAGAATAGAGAGAGAATGACCACAGGAATAATTCTATGTTGTAGCCTTGAATATATATTCAGGATGAATTAGTGCGTGTCATCATGTTCTACCCGCTTCAAATACTGTAGAATGGGATATGTCCATTTTGAACTACTTTCGCTATACCTATATTAGTCGAAATTTTTTTAGGCTAAATTTTCTCCGAGGATACTGTAACATGTAATAATAATAATAATAACCACATTTTGACATCTCAGACATGGCAATAGAGCTATCTCTATCATTGCCATGTTAATGATGTAATAATAAATTACGAGTACTGGCTCGCTCGATACGTTTGACGCGAATTCACTACTTTTCAATCGTCAATCAAGGAATAGACTCATGTAGATTGACATCAAGGTGGATAATCTAAGGGAATATGCGTAATTATCCACTAATCCTGGTTAATTGCATTGTTTTCAATTCTAGGCTAAGAATATCCTCATCCAGCAGAAATCGTTATATGCCAATGCTTCCATTAGTATTCATAGTAAGTTACCTAAAAATGTGCTATGTAGTTTTTCCTCAATATTATCAATTATTTTGATCCTAATTAATATTGTATTAATTATATCAAAATTGGATATTAAGATATTTCCTATAATATAGAACTTGATGACGTTTATTATTCTATTCTATAACTTTCCATTTTAAACTGGTCGAAATTTTAACCTGTAATAGTACTTGTGACAAAATCGTCTATAATTATAATCATAATTTTTACACACATACTGCAATATTCGTATGGATAAGATATTAATATTGATAGATGGATAAATATAAGATATCTTCTTCAGTTATGACTTTATACCGTCTCCCCAATGAAGGTCAATTCTGTCAAGTAGTTTTCTATCTCAAAGTAAATGGCATGACGATAATATAATATTGAAAGAGAAAAAGAGAAGATTTACAACGAGTGTATCAAATTCTTTGCCTTTGTAATGTTATAATTGTTAAACATACTATCACGACTTACTTGAAAGCCCTACAAAAGATTTTATCTTGCTAAAAGTAGAGCATGAAAGCTACCTATCTCCTGATAGGAAATTTGAAATAGATTAATATAATAATGTATTGAAAAAGAAATGAAAAAGTATTAAAAACTAAAAACTACTATACCATACGAGACTTATTCTTTAACTTCGTCTACATTATAAAAGTATGTACACGATATAGTCGATCTCTTAATAGAAAGATATCAATACAACATAGTATTGAAAGGAAAGAGAAAATTTCAAACTTCTATTATCGTATATTGTACACCATTCTTCCTTTCCACGTTAAATGCTTGTCACGTTTATACCTTATTCCAATTACGATATGTACATTATACTGTCAATATAATATTATAATACCTTAACTTGAAGAAAGAAGAAAGATATATTCATCTTCTTTAACTTTGTGATACCATAAAGTGTAAATACAGCATTATCGTCACACTTTAAACTCTTGGATTGATTTTACCCGTTTTAAATTTATTTTCACCACTTCTCACTTTTAAAATCTACATCTTAGTATAGTGGCGTCTGAATAAAATAAGAAATAGAAACATACAGATTGCCTATGTCGTATCCTGAAACTTTGTAACATTGTTGCAACCGTAATATACAGTGGTATTACTTCTAACTAATAATCTTTATCTGATTTGACTCCATTAACTCTGGGTACGAATACTCAATACACCATCATCTTACGCAGTAATAGTATCATATTGACCCTAATTGATTCAAAAATAGAATAAAGTACAAAATCGAACTGGATAACATTAATAAGCACTTTTACTTTCGTCATTGCTATGTTATTGTTAATATTAAATTAATTTAAGATGATGAATGCTGGTAATCAGAAACGGCAATATCTATCTTTATAGTCACTGATTGCAAATCGACACCTTCAGAAGCAAAACTCCGGTTTTCATGGTCTTTACTAGAACGTTCATGTCTCAATGATATGCAAGGAGTACAATCGGTAAATCATTAAATCATACTAGCATACAACTGCAGTTATATTGTCTACTTTATGTCTGCATTCAAAGAAAATGGTGTGATCCTTTTATCTTTATTTTACCTAGCTGAGAAGTCGATATTTTCACTCTAATCAGACTTATGTTGTACATTTTTGTGAAAGTTTAAAATTGTTGATCGCTACTAATGCTTACTTTAAAATACGTAACTTCTTTGCAAAGCTTATTACTTCATATATATAGTTTTAGGAAATTATATGTTACCGTTACAAATATTAATATTCTCTGCCTATCAAGTACGCTGTAACTATTAGCAAATCTAATTTGATTTTACGTCTGATAAGAAATATTAACTGAGCATATGAATGTATTTTACCGATAATGTGTTACCCTAAGAGATTAGATTATAGCGTAAAAAACGATTTTCTGTATTAGACCATTACTTATTATGATGCAGTAATATATATGATCAATTAAGTGTTTGAGCTCAAATTTGTAAAATAAAGTGAAAGCAATATCAACCGTTAAAGCAATTATCATGGCCATGCAGTGTAAACGCCAGTGAAAGTTACTTTCAGTTCAATGTTAAACATTTATAGCGTATCTGATATTGAATAGAATTTAGAATGCCCCCGCACTTGGATACTGCAATTACGCTAGCATTAAATTCTATAGGGATATCTACTTATGGTATTATTTCGCGTAAAATATTTCCATGTATTTTTTGTAACTAAAATAGTAAATTTATTATTACGCGTATATCTATAAAACAAGTACTTAACTTGCGATTAAATGTGTTGTAATAGTGCTGTATTTGAGTCTAATATACCGAGAACTATATTATTATAGAGCCCAATCATGACAGTATCCATATTTATTTTGTTGTAGTAATTCTATACTTTTTATTTAACATATAATTATAATAACTTGTGCATTAATTAGGATGATATCTTTCATTTAGAGAAATAAAAATTTTACCCGTTGCATACACTAAATTGTTTTTATCGGTATAATTCTAAATAAATCTTTATTTCTCTACAGCAAATGGATGTTAAGCGATTAATGGGAAATGTACCTTTGAATCCAAGAATCCATGCCTCTGAAGTACACAAGTGTAAAGATGATATCTCACTAACCGTACGTAGCTTTCTTTGTAATTATTTGTAATATGGTTTGTCTTAATTTTAGAGTATTAATTTTAAAATCAATTACTTTTGTAGAACCATGCACTCAGCAAAGCGCCTACAGTAAGTTAATCTATTCAGTGCTGATAGGACCATTGTAATACCTCAATGATAACTCTTGAACACGTTTAGTACTTTTTCGTTTATGAGCTACACAATTTGACTAACTCGTTATTTTATCTATTCATATTTAATATCATGATAGATTGCTCCGCCCGCAACGCATGCTACAGTGGATGGTAAAAATGACAGTACAACGCCGACAACTAATAACGGAAGTAGATCTGCTCGAGCTGTTAATAACGAACGTACGAATACCAATGATAGCAATCCAGCTGAACCAACTAAGGTAACATCTACTGATGACAATAAATCGGTAATAATTAACTCTACTATGTTTTGACTCAGTTCCTTAATAGGATTTATACTATAAAGTTAGTTTCTTTTCATTAAACTATTTCGTTTTATCTCTAAATTATACGTTTACGAGTACTTAGTTACTGTGAGAAGTTAAAAATATACTTTTTTATACTTTGAAAAGGCAAGTTTCCAAGTAGCGAAAACAATCAACGAAAGCGTTTATATAGTGGTAATTGAAATTACGCCATTTGTAAGCGCAATATCCAAGCCTGTCCCTAATTCGAATGTTACTTTTAATGTAGGAGGTAATGTATATTCACGAGAAGCAAATTTTTAATTTTATTAAAATACCATAATACAATATCTAAATCAAGACCGAGATACTGTAATTATGTTATGACGTCACTCTTTACACAGTTACTGAATCTTTCGTCGAATTATTATACGAACTGTAGCTATATAGGAAAATTGTACTTGTATGCACGTACTTTTAGCTATAGTTAGCTAATTCATTAAGACATAATTTATTAAAAATTGAGCCATTCTTCTTATGTACGTTACAGTGAAACTATCTACCAAAAATCCTACTGGATATCTAAGTTCGGCTGAATACCCATTACTGCCGGTAGCTGTTCAAATTAATTTGTTCTCAATGCTTAGTTTTGGTTCTTAATTGTTTCATAGTCGTATAATTATTTACGTTTCATTTTTACTGGCACAGTTCTACGCGGTTATGTGTAGTATATATAGTATTTATTGCTTCGTCTGGTTGATTCTGTGCGCGTGTCAGTGGAGAGATCTACTAAGAATACAAGTATGGTTGCGTCATATAATTTTACAATTTTGCAACTACATATTTATTTAATCAATACTAATATTTAATGGTACGACATTTTTTCTTGTATTACGCTATTAGTTCTGGATTGGTGGAGTCATTGCTTTCGGTATTAAAAATAGATTACCTTTTCTAATGTACTATTACACTTAAGGTATACATTCAAATTCATGTAATCTTTAATGTGTGATGTGATTCTTAATGTAGGTATGGTTGAAAAAGCCGTTTTCTACTCTGTTTACAATTTTACTAATGGATCTGGTCAAGCAAGTTAGTATGATTAACTTACGTGTATTTTCTTGCTGTTTTCGGCAGATGTTTACAGCTACTAGCTAAAAATGAGTAACCGTTTACTACACATATGCTTTTCGCATTGGTAGATCAATCTCTATTGGTTTTTGCTGAACTTATCTCATGCATGAAGCGAACAATAGCCAGAATGTTGGTTATCATCGTCAGTCTTGGTTATGGAATCGTAAAGTTGGTTTCAATTTGCTGCTGATATATTTCAATACTTTCAAATCACTTTTATCTAAATATTTCGTATTTATTAGACCACGCTTAGGACCAATGTTGAATCGGGTGTTGGGTGTTGGCGGTCTTTACTTTGTTCTAAGCATGATAGAAAGCATGATGCGTGTAGTACAAGTTTGTATTCTTGTCTATACAGTACAAAATCTCCGTGTTGCTTGAATAGCGTTCAATGAAGATTACCTATGTATGTGACTCCTATTATCGATCTTATAATACAGACTAAAGGTGAAGCAACCCAAAAGATATTGTTTGCAAGCCTCCCCTTAGCTCTAGTTGATGCTGGCATATGCTGGTGGATATCCTTTTTATTCTGTTGTTAGCGTGATGTACTATAAAATGTATCTACTAAACCAGTATTTTGTCATAATTTGTTAATGCCTTAATATTCTGTAAGTATTTATGTCCTTAGTGAAGACAACAAGAACTCTACGGTTGCGAAGAAATCAAATAAAGCTGACCCTCTACAGACACTTTACTAATACCTTGATATTTTCTGTACTAGGTATCGATATTTACGAAATTAATGTTTTCTCAATATTAAACTGCTAATATGAATATCTGTATACAATATAATACGTTAATGCAACAAACATTAATCTTACCACCCTGCAGTATCGGTTATTTTCATGGTGTGGTCGATAAAAACCCATCAAGTTGGTAACTGTATTAAGGTAATTTGTGTAGTCAGAACAACTACAGCTAAACAATAGACTGCATCAACTTGATGTAGTATATTATCTCTTCACTATTTTACTAATACTAAGGATTTCTGCAGGATTGGAGAGATTTATGGTTAGATGAAGCTTTCTGGCATGTTCTGTTTTCTTGTATCTTATTAGTGATTATGGTCTTATGGCGACCAACGCAAAATAATTCGAGGTAATTGTTAGAAATTGTTAAACCGTTACTCTTTTTTGTGTAAGATATAGAATTAAATGAATATTATTAACACATAAAAGTCATCTATAGACTTGAATGCTACATCAAATTTCTGAGGTATTAACTGACTAGTATCCATGTGAATGAACTCTTTTAGATATGCATTTTCTCCTCTGACCGATCTCGACGAAGATGATGAGGCCGGAACTGCTTTATCAGAAGCTTTCGGTTTGTATTGCTCTTTTTCATTAATTACTGTGTATATGTATATATACTCTAGTAATAGAATAAAACCTTACGTAACTTTTTCTATTTAATTTAAATAGATGGAATGAAAATGCGATCAGTGAATAATTCGTCCACGTCGCGTACTGTTTCTAGAGCTGTATGCCTAAATCGATACGCGCAATTGCATGATATGTTCGAATATGTACTGAAATTTAAATACTATTTTCATAGGAGGACGATTTGAAGTGGGTCGAGCAAAATATACCAACTTCCGTTGGAGATGCGTAAGTTTAAAATTTCATTTCGTTGTACGTGATTGACTTTTGTTACTATTATTTTAATATCGACAAAATTTTATTAATTAATTTTATAGTGGGCTGCCAAGTTTACTAGACTCGGATGAGGTTACTGAATGCATTAAAATCGCCTTAGTCTTATTTATGTTTAATTGCTACGATATGGCCAATAACTTTTTAATTTATTCTTCGCTTAGGAAATCATGACGACAAAATTTGAAATGTCAAAAATGGAATAAGCCGAGAATTTAGTGCATCGTTTTATCATCACAGTGTTGCATAGAATCAAATCTAAACTAAAATTGTGTAAAGATCTTTAGCTCTCGATTGCTTCTTGGAAATAGCTCGCCTTAAAATTTTATATGATCAATCCTAGTCTTTAATAATTGTAATTTAAATAATGAGACGCACTACGTACATTCCCTTCTGATCAATTTATTAAATTTACTATACTTTGGCGCTGTAGTTAGATATATAAACGTTCAGTTGACCTAGGCCTACTTAATAGTACATGAAGTAACGATTCATTTATTGGCTGTAGCTTAGTGCTAGTTTAACCTGGCAGAAAATTTATTTAAATGTATTGACTTGACTCAATTACCGTATCTTAGTCCTCTATCATAATGATTGAACAGTAAAGCCTAACGTGTAAAAAAAGTTACATATTACAACTATGCGTTTATCTCGTATTTCAGAGTACTACTGTTTAATACTGCCATTAATGCGCTTATCGTCATTTCATCATAGCTATAAAACGCAAAATGGCTTAAGTTTGCTGGTAATAATTGTATACGGTGATCTAAAATGTCTAGCAAGATAGCTTGATTATATCCGATTCTTAACCCTGACAGACAAAATCATTTTCCAATGACAACGATTAATTATTATGGCAATGAAACCTGAATGCTATAAGTCCTCAATTGCTTTAAGATTTACGTATTCTTTTCTGTATTTTGAATAACATATAGAATACAAAATAGCTTTTATTTCGCTTTAAAATTCTCACGTAAATGTTGTTATGGAACGTTAAAATATCTTACAATGGATTGCTGAATGAGCAAAGCAAATATCAATCTTCATACAGTAGATATTAACATCTTGTAAAAATAATCATCTCTATTCTATTTTACGGGGTTATGTGTACAGACTATCGTGTACTGTACTTGGAGATTGAAATAGATTTATGGTAATAAATATTTTTTATGCTCATTAGCATAGGATTCGTAATCATAAATGTAGTGGTCTCCAACACTTCAAACTGTTGATCTCACGAAAGCTTAATTTACGGCGTAAGGTGATGCATTAAAGCGGAGATGAATAAATACACTAATAACACTCATCTACCTAAAACACAGTCGTTTGGATAATTTCTATGCAATGAAGATCGTGTTTTGAATTTACACTGATTATAATAATAAAAGTCTTCATTTAATATCGAAATTTAAACATTGAAGTATCATTTTACAAGTTTCTCTTAGCTCTTTAGAAAGAGTAGTAACTTTATTATAACATCATAAGAGGTGCTAATCCTCAGGTTGGCATAGCAGCGCAACACCTCGTAGTACCCAATGCTCTGGTGGGTGATCACTTGGTAAATTTATGGAAGTAACAAAATTATTCGACAATCCAGTTGAGGAAAGGCTACCAGCTCTTGAGGGTGTAATGTATACTGGACACTCATAAAAATAACGACCTGATTTCTCTTCTTTAATTCGAGATATCTGTAAGAAAACAGTCGCGAGAATTTATATTTTGAAAACAAAAGCTTACGAAAATACTGCAATGTAACGACATTAAAGCATCTACATTAGTGAAGACCCAAGTGGGCTGCGACTCTTGGTATTGCAAATTAGCAATAATCGCTAGTAATTTACATGAACGGCAGTGCTCAATCTAAGCAACGGTCTCTACTGAAATATTGACTTTTTATTGCATTGACAAGGAGCAACTTCATCATGTAGTAACTTCTTAGAACGATGAGTACATGAATTTCAGTAATGATTCCATTCATAATCTTACCTCTACAGCTTTGCATGTGATGGATGGCATCATACTATGCTTTTGTTCTATTTTGGGATCACGTAAAGATAAAAAATCTTCATCCCAGTGAGCTCCATCCAGATGTAATCCATATATAATAAAACCATCCAAGATATCCTTCACAAATGAAAAACCAATTCAACTTCAATAACTTCGATGAAAATGCAATATACCCTCTCTTTATCTTTAGTACTTTATTGTGACTTATAACACTTTGTTTTCTGATTATTTCGTTACCCTGATGGCATCATTAAGCTAACAAAAGCTTTCTAGAATTTGCTTTATATAATTACATTTTGAAATTACCTGATTGCTGCCGAACTGCTGCGAATTAAAGTCCGAATACATGGTCGAAGTATCCTCATATCCTAAGATGTTATGTTGAAATTGTATGGTATCAACGGGTAAATTCAATATACGAGCACAATGTTGCAGTGCCGAAGTCAAAAATCCTGAAAGAAGCGACATAATGATTATTAAATCAAAAATTTCCCATCGAACCCATGTTGATATACTATCAATGAGTAATTATGGATTATTTGTAATTATAATTATTAGATTTCGCTAAAATTTCTTCATCCATAAGAATTTGGGACGCAAAAGAGAATATCGCTACTACAACAGTTTTTCGTAATATAGCTGAAATACCTTGAGGGTAAAAGAATGCCGGCAGCCAAAATGAATCAGGATACCCTTTAAAATTGGAGCTAGTATCGAATGTGTACTTTGTCGAGGTAATGGAATCACGCGATGGAAGCCTGGAATGGCTACTACTACAAAAGAACAACGCGCAGGAATTATACAATTATACGTTAAAGATTTCCCACGCTTTTAAAATTAACATCTGAGTTTTTTATAACCAAATTAAAATATGTATCACAACATGAACATTACTATCGTACAGCTCACTACCTTATATCTGCTTTGGAAATTTCAGATCTGACAGAAGAGACAGTTGCACTAATCAGACTATTCTTCTTCCTAACTTGCGAAGCTTCCATGGCTAAATCCAACCAGTACTGTATAAAATCTATACGTCGAATCAGATCCGTTACCCAAGAGCCTAATCGTCTACTTGATTCGTAACAAACAGCCTGAAATATAATAATATACATGTAATTTAGGAAACAAAAATACTGGTACCAAAGCATAAAGAAAGACTTTTACAATTTTAGCAACTATAGTTGCCACATACCATCCATAATTTAGGAACCCGATTTCTCAAGAGTGCAACATATGTCTGCTCTAATTCTTCTGACATAATTACTCGCCCTTCTATACCTAGTTTGAGTGCCTTTAATGTTTGATGAACCTTGTGCAATAACCTTTGTGGCGGAAAAAAGAACTTTATTAGGCTTAATACATGAACATCAATTCCATAATAACGATTCAGTAAACAGCATCTTCATTCACAACTAATACAGTATTTTACCTATTGAAACGCACACATTCCAGTTTTAAAGCAGTATCTAAAGCTGTGTAAGGTGTAAATTCTTGTTGGAAAGGTTGATAAAATAAACGCTGTTCTGCTAGTACTGCCAGGTCATCATGTGCCGCACCAATAGCTGCAGTTGGCAAACCATATTTCGTTTGATTTTGAGTTATGACTAAATTGATTTCTAATGGTATCGTACTCTGCATTTCTTCAAGGATTTGTAGAACTATTCCATCGCTACCTTGATCATACCTGTGTTTAGATTAGCACGTCACAAAAAACATACTTTTATTAATATCACGCGATAATCTTATAGCTTTTAAGAAATATAAGTTTTATTTTTAACCTATATTGCTTACCCAGCTATTTTCTGCCCATGTGAGTCAATAGCTTGCAATACCTCCACAATCAATTTACCTTGAGTTAACAAGAAAGTTTTCTCAGCAGTTTGATGCATCCCAAATACCTCTGACGAATCTGTTGGTGGCAAACTTTCTATATATTCAATACATTCTGTGAAGCTAGCATCTGTCCGAATAGGTCGATAAACCTACGATAGTAATGAAGCCATATTATATTTTGCAAAAATAATTTCTAAGTAAACATTTACAAATGCTTTTACTAGCCTTCATACGTAATATAAATATGCAATTATTCATAGTAACATAATAGCAATAGAATACTACTCTCCTTACAAATAAGAAAAATAAAGCACTTTAATTTAAAGTGTCTACGTAATATTATAGCGTTAATCAGCAAAATTATATCTTACCTGGTTTGATGTATAAGAATAATGATCTGTAACACAGTCTCTTCCGCAAAATTTCGTTAAAATCCCTCTCAAGCATCTTCTATCCCACTCATCAGTTACGCGCCCTCCATAAGCCAACTCTCCAATTAAGTAATGAATTTTATCCCAAGGTGTATCTTCCTCTGATAGCAACATTCGCAATAACTGAATAGAAACCTTAGGTAAACATTAGAAATTATATCGAGTTAATTAGAAATAGTGATAAGAGTGCATATTAATAATTTGATGCTACATTCCGCGGGATACCGTAGTAGAACGGTATTCTAAAAAATTATTATCGCATCTGCAGATTTTTATTCAATATTGAAATTAATTAACCTCTAAATCAGAAGTGCTAAATTCGTAAGGAATATTCCATCCCAGTGGTCCATATTTCTTCCTTTCAAGAACAACTGCATTAAAGAAGCACAATCCAAAGAGAACTTTTTTCCAAGCAGGTCCAGTATGGTGATCTTCGAATGACTCCTCATAAATTAAGCCACTGTTAAATGACTGCAGCAAATTAGCTTTCAGACCTTGCGGTGGTTCAACACTGATCTACAATTAATAAATTTTGCAGATATAAAAATTACTCCATTAATGTTAAAGTACATTGATATGACATAAAAAAATACTAAAATGCTAATTCAAAATTTGCTACAAGATTCATTCAGCATTAAAATAGCCTATGAAATATCGAGATTATAAGTATAACATACTTTCAACCCGGCTTGCAAGATATCAACTGGAAAGAATGGATCAGGCTTGGAGCTTAGCCAAAGTCGAAAGTAGGGATCAATTGTGTCACTACCCGATACAATCCTACCCGATAATCATAGTCATAAGTTATTCGTAAGGAATCGTTTTTTAACCTATTTACTTATATTCATTCAGTAATCACAATCCATCATCATATCGAATTGCTCAGACTTATTTACTAGAGTGATTGGTTACATGACTCACTCATCAACAATTCGGCGTAACTCTGGCATGAAAGATTCTGCAAGATGACAATTTTGTAGTAAAACCCATCGTCCATTCTGCTGGGAGCAGGCTTTATTTATTAATTCGACAGCTCTAGGACCTTGGCCACGACCTAATGATACGATATCAATATTGGTAATAGAACCAAACTTGTCTCTAGCAAATCTCTCCAATATGGAAATGGGATCGCTGCCTATTATTCGTGATCAATAAAATCATTTTATAAATTAAGCAATGATCAATGATATGCGCTTGTGATATACTGGAATGATGATACTTTTAGTAGATGATGTAAAATTGCATTTGCAGTAACGTTATTCAAAAATTGAATAAAAATCTACAGATTTTATTCACCTGGCGAAAGTAAAAAAATTAATGGTGTTTTACAGTTTGATTGCTTATAGATTTCTTTTATGTCAAAACCACCAGCAGATATTAAACTATTGCCCATTGATTCTTCGATATAATACCAAATTGAAAGACTTAAAACATCTGGTCTTAGAACTTTAATCAAAATCAATCGATGGAAACAAGATAAATTGCTGACTTGAAACGGATTTTCTTCCTTGGAGATATCACTACTATCTATTTTGTCAGGGTTAGCGAAAAAATGAAGAATAAATAATTACTAAAGGAAATGAATATTTAGAAAATCTAAACCGGATTAGAAGTTGACTCAAGATAAACTGTCATCTTGCAGAAGGCATCATAGGATATTTATCTAACCTATCTTGTATATTCTAAAAATTATATTAAAAGCCTACAAGGTCAATGTTTCTAATTACGGTATTTTTTAGCTATTTGCAACAATTTCAGCAATAGAAAAATCTAAAAGTTAAATTAATTTGCATTAATAATTACTTATATATCAACATTACCTTCGCTAACTGTACTACTGGTATCATTGGTTTCTGATTGCTCATTAGACATTTCCGTAACATTGCCTTTGAGTTTAAAATATGGAATTTCAGATTTCGAAAATGCTTCCCAAAATCCTTTATTATTCAATATGTGATCGGTAAGACCATGGAATTCTATCATTCTCTTGGCTAACTCGCGACATTCATGCCATGCAGACTGTATAACATTATTACACATTAAGGTGAAGACTAAGCATATTCAAATGTAATTAGAGTGTTTAACATGCGATTTCACATGATGGACAATTTTAAAACAATTTGTAATAACACTTACATCTGTAATCCACCTAACTGGAGATGGGCTAAAATGTCCAGTATGAAACGATAGCTGCTTTGAATCACTATGGCTGAGTGGATTTCGCTTTTTTTCTTCAAATAAATGGGTATCCTTAGTGGCGTAATGTGCGCCATGTAAAAAGGTATTCCACTCCATTTCAGTTATTAATTCACTTTTATCCTGCAACTGATCACCACCCTTATGCCACAAATGCAAAGTGACAAGGCAATAAAATTAATAATTACCCAAATGGTAGTGTCCCGCTATATTAATGCGCTAATTTTATTCTTACATGATTAGAAGCAAGGATGCGTGTAGTTAAAATAAAGGAAAAGGTTAACTGATGGCGAGAAAATAATCCTTGCGAGACCAATCGATAGACAGCCATAGTAATTTTATACATTGAGTTCCTTATATATGTCTCAAATTTTTCCTCGGGTTTTTCTTCTTCCTTCACCACATTGTATCCATCATTTGTTGGCGTACTACTATGGATTTCTAATTTTATCACATAAGAGAGTAATAATAATTATTAATGTCTAGCAACCATAAAATATCATGGAAGGATTCTTGTTTCATATCATCACTACAAGAACTCTAAAGTTAAATCTACCAAATGTAAACAACCTGCTTGAATATTTAGAATTCTCCTAGAGCTAGCTCTCCTTTGAGTTGATGCAGGCGATGAGGCTGGCCGTTTATTTTTAATATTAGAGATACAGTCAGAGAATAGATTGGTAAACCAAGCCAAAGAAAATTGATACATATGATTTATAAATGCCAAATCTTGCAAAGCAAAATAGATGATAGCGCCCCTCGTAGCAATCTATTTTAATATAAAGATATTCCAATTTTAATTTATTCAAGAGCAATATCATTTCCGAAAGCATGAGATAAGCTCAGAATTAAGATTAAAATTTGCTATCCAGCTAGAGCTCTTAAGTAGAAATTTAAACGATAAAATTCTAAATTTCGATAGCGCCTCGAATTGTAGAAGATAGAAAAGAATTTTAAGCAACCGTAAGAGTTACATTAAATGACATCAAAAAGTCACGGATATCACAAAATTACTCAATCCACTCAACGTAGATAATTTCAATCAATTACATCTAATAAAAATGAATCGGATTTCTGTGATTTATTGTGCGACTTAAAATGGAAAGGGAAGCAAACATACTGCGAAAAAATCTACCCAATTCGATATCAACATTAGTACCATTGCCTATTTTATATTAAAATTAACATCAAACTGTAATTATAGTGTATCCTTCACTAAGAGCGAGTAGTTTAGAATAACTTTGACTTACTAATTCAAATTTAAAAGTTAAGGTAAATAATATCCTGAGCTAAGAGCATGCAATATTAAGAAGAAGGAGAAAAGTTAATTGGATTTCTATGATTTTTAATGCGACTTAAAATGAAAAGGGGAATAAATTCACTGCCAAAAAATCTACCCAATTCTATATCAAAATTAGTATTACTGACTATTTTCCATTAAAATTAAAATCAAATTATAATTATAGTATATCCTGCGCTAAATGTGTACAATATTAAATGATTTTGACATACTAATTAAAATTGAAAGGTTAAAATAAATAATACTTAGAACTAAGAGCATGCAACATTAAATAATTTCCACTTTCTAATTAGAATTAAGTTAAATAATAATCTGAAATCATAAAGTGTTCAAAATTATATGCTTTCAATTGCTATTCATATACTAGTAGTCCTATAAAATTTCTCTATCGCTAAGTAAGGCTTTATATTCTTAAATAAAATGCGTATTTATCACGAATCTTTACCGGAAAAAATTTATTTCTATTGACATCGATTTTTCTCTGAGTGCTTTCAGACTGTGATACTCGCTCTTTAATAACAGCAGACGTCTTCTTGCTTTCCTCCAACGATGTCACTAAATTTTCATCGTCTAGTATGTTGCCTATTAAAATTTATAATGTACCCGTATTTTATCAATTAATTGATCGATCAAGCAATAAAGTTAGCGATAGTAATACAGCTTATAGTATAATCTACAATTTCTATGAACTTACCCTCAGAATCCTGCAAGGAAGTAAGTACTTTATCTTCGATATCACGCAGTTTTACTTTGTCGCTTGCAATACTCTCTAATAGGTTTTGACGCTGTATTTCAAGCTGCGGCTTTTCCTGCAGAATAGAATTGAAAGCACTCAAAATCAGTAACTTTATTACATTGTAATTCCTACGTAACACATTCTTGTTACTAGGAGTCATTAACAACTTGGATACACCATCATCATTGCATCTCATTTAAAAGCAAAAAGCATAATATTAATATGTAAGTGTACATTATAATTTCTATATAACGCATTACTACAAATTATTAACAACTTGGTTATATCATCATCATTGTATTGCATTTAAATTCAAGAAATATAAAAACGAAATATTTAATGTTATTGTAGGAATATTTAAATAGTAATACGATTGAACCTTTTGAACTACAATCGATAGCAGTTGATCTCTTAATCCATCAAAAGTTGTTGAAAAGTTGACTACCGTCACTTTAGCACAAGTCTCGGGTAAATAAATAGGATTAGCCAATTGTGTTGTCAAATAAAGCCTAAGATATTTTGACAAGTGCCGTTTAGAAGAAACATTGATCCATTTTAACCATTATTAAGAAACAATTCATCTAACCTAAAATTAGAGTTATACGCCAACTCTGTATCTCCAATTTGGATAACAGCCTGCCCACCCCTATTTTCTAAATGCTTCAGCAAAATAGGACGAAGAGAGGGATCCAAGGTGTCATCAATGCCCTAAAGGAACATAATTAGAGTAATCGTATTTTCAACTATTTGAGGGCCAGAATGACAACAATGTTGAAATCATTAGTACAAATATTCTGCACCTCCAAGAGTACGGGTTCCCCAACTCGAATAGCATTTTCTAAAGTTCTCATGTAATTTACGTCCGTAGATTTAACTAATTTTAATCGTTCACCTTCCATCCTTCGAATCCAACTAAAGAAACAGGTTAATTATAAGTAATGACTCCATAAAATTACAATATCAGCTCCAGGAGATTATCCAACATATGTATCCTTGCAATAAAATATATCTGCTATTTAAAGATACCAAGAAATATCTTACAGTCTTGCTTGGCCTTGTGGATCAATCATAAGTGGCCATTTATAACAATTCATAACTATAACAGCATTTTGACGTGAATGATCATTCTTCGGCAATCCAAGAGCATGCCAACCTTGCATCTTTCAAAATCATGGGGAACAAATGAACATTAAAGGAAAAGTAAATTTCAAGCTATGAAGCATAAAATGTAAACAGCAACCCCAAATTTTCTTACATCCAGATTAGATGACAGATGTGATATGAAGGAATAGTTTTTTGCGATGGGAATTTCTTCTTGGCTACATTTCCCAACCCAATCTGAGATTAATTGCTTTCGGTAATCTACTGTAAAAGCCCCTGCATAAGTAGAGTAGGCAGCGGAGAGAAGGGAATCACCAACAATGGTTTCTAGATGTATATCTAATTCATCAATTGCGTCAGACCAGCGATCCTAATGAGCAAAAGGCATAAAAGGTTGATTTAATATTGGATGCCTTTGTAAGTTTAACGAATCTATATATATTAAAATAATTTGCCCGTGCGTGCGTGTACTTTTCAGTACATAATAAATATCAAGTAAAAAATACACGCATAGACCAGACTATAACGAACCATGGGCTCGTAGTAGTGAAGATAGTTTTAAAAGAGTAATAATAATATAATCACAGTTTCAATTACAGATATAACACTATCAATGTCCATTAAAAGCAAAAAAATTGTAAACCTTTTCTCCAGATAATGACTTTGTTAGCAATGTCGCTCTATATTGCCTTAACGTAGACAGTTCCTTATGTTGCCATAAATATTCATGATCAGCTACACTTTTCTTATAACGTTTTTGCAGATCTTTCAAGTGCTTTTCTATTTCTCGCAATTTCTGCTGTTTACGATCTAGATTGTCCCTAGCTAGCTCTAGTTCATTTTTAAGTGTTTCATAACGATTCATCTTCGGCTTTACAATCTGTAGATGACATAGATCCATTCTTGTAATTAGCAGAATAAAGGCAGCTGTAACGGGTAATATCGGATGCTAAAGTATCACTGCAATTAAATACGAACTTTATAAACTTCTGCATAATGTTGTACTGCTAAAACCCACTGGCACATTGATTTACAAGCCACAGATACTTGACCAACTTTTTCCGGAGTAAAGTCGGCTTGACTAGTGTACTTATGTAATCTTGCTAAATTCTGAAAGATGAACATAGTTTTAAAGAGGAATTAAAATAACATCCAATGATTAAAACCAACTAACGCATCAATCAAATTTAGCTTTAGTAGCGTGAATGACTTTTAAAATAACAGCAAATATTTTACCCTATCCGACAAGCTAGATTTATCAAATGTGATCAGTTTAACAAGAAAAGTAGTATCCGTTAAAAGCTGCTTAGCGGTAACCCAATCGGCCTTCTCCTGGAGAAGTGTACACACAGCAGCCATTACAGTCATAACCAAATCTGGAGGGTTAGTATAAACCCGAATTTCAGCAATATCGGATTTATCTAATGCATTCAAAGCAGAATTAGCAGCATCCAATGCTGGTAGAGCTTTGTTTAAATCCAATTCCGCATCCTAGATATAATTAATCAGATCAGATCCAATCAACCCATAAACAATTAGACTTGGCTCACCAATGCAAACCTGATCTCTCACTGATATAATCTGAGCAATTTGATACCTTAGTAATCTGTTCTACTTCACGAGCTTCTTGTGCTGTTAAAGCTTCTTCCGTTTCTATCAAGGTCTTCATTTTCTCTACTTCTGTTTCTTCATTTTTTAATTCAGTCATCAATTTCTCATTTTCCTATTATATGGAGACTAACAGTTTAATCATATACCAATAATTATGAATTCCTTTTCTAAAAATTGATGGAATAGACACTCAAATTACCTGAGCTTTTAATTCGATTAACGGACCAAGTTTAACCAGTTCGTCTTTAATACTGATAACAAATGTTTCAGCTTGTTGTAACTTACTTAGACCACTTTTTAACCTCTCCCTAAAGTTGTATTTTATTGAGAATTAGAGACTTGGTTTACAAATCAACCAATCTAGAGGGATGTTTAACGCAGTAGACAAATAAAGTAACATAGCGTACTTATTTCTAGCAATCTTTTGCTGCTGATCACTCAACATTTTAGCAAATAAATGCATTGAATCTAAATAATTAGTTGGTGTTAAGTAGTAATGTCGTTTAATTTCATCAGCCATCTTTGTTGCCATTTCTTTTGAGCTCATGAAGAAAGCGACACAAGCATCAGCCAAGCTAATACAGTAATTCTAAATTGATCAAACAAGATAATAAGTAATAAAAAATAAAAGCCAGGTAACACAGTTTTAATAAGTATACGATTTGGTGAGGTTAAAATTGATTAATGCCTTCTTTCTCTATACCAACCTGTAAATTGGTCAATTTATTACTCTTGCTTTTCGCATTATCTTTACTTTTGGGTAATGGGATATCTAGGTTATATAAGTACTTTGTAGCCACTGAATGTAAGGCATTTGCCGGCCATTCATCGTACCAGTCAATTGTGCAACAGTTGACTAAAGCTGAGTAAGTTCGGCATCGCTTGCGAAATTGTTTACCAGTTGGACTAGTACAAAAGGCAATATGTAGATTTTCCTGCACTCTCTATTAATTAAAGAGATAGAAAATATACCATTTATAACCCGTAATTGTCATAAAGTGGAATACACTGTTAATAGGTTCGCTGGACTTTAAAGAACGCATGGTAATAGCAATTCTGTCCATTTCATCGCGGTCAAACAGTTCCGGTATATTGCCACTGTCTAGGATGCAATTGATATCATCTAACATCACGTCCTAAAATGTTAAGCATACCCAATTTAACTTATAATTATAATGACAGACTGATAGTTGTAATATTATAAACGAATAACTTTCCATCTATATTAATGGAGCAATGCTTACTACTCAAATGGATTTAGGAATCGTATAGTACTATCATACATTGACTAAGTTATATAACCTAAATTGCTCCCTCAATATCCGTCATCTCTACATTACCCATGTTACATTCACTACATGTAGTACTGAAGATCATTTACTTATAATCAATAAATCAATCAGGAAAGCAATAGTAAGAACAAATTTTAACTGGTATTATGTAGCATTGAAATGAAATTATACCTTAACGATATGTTCATCTTTCAAAATAAAAACACATTTAACGCCATCTACCCCTGCTCGTAAAAATAGGCTGCGGAGATCTTCGTGAAATTCTGTCATTCCGTATCCTCTAATGACATTAAGATAATGTATCTGGCACTGTGCAATGTAGGCTGCAAGTTCAGCCACTACTTGTTTTCCTGTGCCACCGATTCCAACCTAGTCAAGATAGAAGATCAACTAGTATCTCGTTCAAAAATAATATTGCTATGATGATGAGGAATGAAAAATAATCTTATTACCAGAAGCATATTCCCTCCAGGTTGCCTAAACACTCGAGCAGCACGCACAATATGTTGAATACACTCGTTAAAAAATATAATTTGATTTTCCTAAACCATGATTAGTGACAAGAGAAAAGTTTAGCAATAAATTCAACTTATTATACTTGATAAAAACTACATTTTGATTTTCTATACAATTCGTTGTGACAAGAAAAAGTTTAGCACCAATTCTCTAGTACTTATTACACTCGTTAAAAGCTAGTTTGATTTTCTGAAACCATTATTAGTAACAAGAGAAAAGTTTAACGATAAATTCTACTAATTGCACTCTTTATAAGCTATAGTTTGATTTTCCTATTCGATTACTAGAGCAAGAGAAAAGTTTAGTAACAAATTCTACTTGTTATATTATAAATTATGATTTGATTTTCCTAAATAGCGCTTAATGATAAGAGAATGGTATAGCAATAAATTCCACTATTTTATTCGTTAAAAGCTATGATTTGATTTTCCTAGGTGATTATTGGTGAGAAAAGAAAAGTTTAGTAATAAATCCTACTGTATTTGTTACACTCGTTAATTAAAAACTATAGTTTGATTTTCCCAAACAATTATTAGCAATAACGGAAAAGTTTAGCAATAGAATTCTACGTGTTATACTCGTTATTAACTGTAGTTTCACTTTTCTACACAATTATAGGTGACAAAAGAATAGTTTAGCAAAATACTAAAATTTAAACGTAGTGAAATATGGCTACTTGAACTGAATGCTATACTATTTTAATGTCGTAGCATATGCATTGAGTTACATTGTTTTAGCCATTACTCTAATTCACCTTTCCGGTAGAATTTTTGTATCGATTGTTAAAGTCCACCAGAATATCAGTCAACGACCGAAAATCGCTCACTGGTTTATAAACTCTGTCTAATGAATGAGACTTTTCATCGCTGAAATCACAAAATACAAGCGTGTTCCTTTGTAATTGATTCCCTTCAACACTGGCCTAGAAGAACAGACGAATATCGGTTTAAGTAGTACACCTAATCGACTTTGCAAGTCTTTAAAATATCAGTAGGATATATTTACAAGCTCACGATAAACGAAACTGTAATCGTTTATAACTGTAGACGCCATCTACAGTAAATAAAATGATCAAACGATGATGCAATTGTTATGGTAAAAATCAAACGATGATGCAATTGTAATGGTAAAAATCCTAGCAAGTACCTTGAAATAATCATGTAAACTGTTTGAAACAATTTTATAAAATTGCTTCCGGTCGTCTTGATCCACTAAGCGATCATAGAACACACGACTGACTTCATGAATGAGTAAATCGATATAATTTTGCTTTGTTACGATCGATAAAGGATCGGCTTGAGTAAGTCCTTGAATAACCTATTGCAAAAACATCAATTTATTCTTCGAGGAATAAAATACATCCATGAAACAGTACCGTGTATAAAATTGGTGTGAATTTTACTCATTACCAGCTACACTACCCACAAATATAGTAACCAGCAATATCAAGTTTGTGCAGTACCTGAGCAAGATTTCTAACATTGAAGGTATAGTGTGGCTTTGATGGAGTAGGAAGCATCACTTTGTCAATTTTACGATAAATAGCAATGGCTGATGAGACAAGTGGTGCCATACAATCTCTCACTTCCGCAGTAAACTCATTTTTAGTTAAAAATTGTCCTAACTGAGACTGGAAAATATGCCGTAATGACTTATCGGAAGGCTTGGATATACATAATACGCTGAAAAAAACATAATCAGAGTAATTAATCCACTTGTTAGCTTTAAATAGAACACTTTATGTGGCAAATAGTACCAAAAATGGCGTAAAATTCTCTCATTGAGTTGACTTCGGCTGCCTTCGGGCGGTGCACATGCAGCAACGAATGCGACATCATAGATAGTCTATCATATTTAAAAGTACCACACGCTGAAATTAATCTATCCTTAATAAGCTTCTTTTATTATAGTATCTAGAAAATTGTTCCTTACCTTCCATGAGTAGCTTTTAACGTCATAAAATCCACCACTGTCAATATTTTGACGTAATACTTCCAAGGCGGGCTGAGAATGAAACTGATCTCGTTGCGGTAAATTAATGTCGTCTACGAATATTGTCATCTATCACGGACAAATTAAACTCGTTAAACTTTTACCATGGCAATATTCTGCACCCTTGGGTGCTTTGCATATTATTATGGTTGATCAACTGTTTTACCTTTTTATTACCAGGAGCACCTAAAATATTTTTACCACGTTTTACGAGAACGCTTTGTAATTGCTGTCTAGCTTTGGACGCTGTCGTATTGGCAGCAAATTGTATTGCAGCGGAGGCCATTTCTGTGCTATAAAGATCTTTTTCTAGGCATAAAATAAATTAAAAGTGCCCAACAAAGAAATGATGTCTCAATGAGTATCACAATTTCGAGTAAACAATGTCTAACATTAAATTCGTATCGATATTAACTTACCTTCGCTTTGAACACCCTTAGATTTACCACCCCAAGGATTATCCCCTGTGGCTCTGGCCTTATTGAATATTTTTCCTAAAATGGTATCTTTCCCAAAACCTGTTCCGTGTTGTTTCTCTAAGCATTTCAGTGTATCTTTTACTAAAGCAGATTTACCAATTCCAGACTCCCCTACACATATCAAAATTGGTTAATTTTCTAACTTTAATCTTATATTCAAGTATTACACCATATTATTACGGTACTAGTCTTTGCTTTACTAACAGCAGAATTAATATGGAAACAAGTTAGACTAGCAGAAACGATCAATAAAGTGCCAAATTTGTCGATTGAAGGATTAATCTGTAGGCTAGCACAGACAGCTGAACATGTTCTATCACTGTTAAAGCCACGAATAGAAGACTTGTAAATGTGTAAACGATCGATATTGATATTGCTACAGTAATGTTTGGCAAGTGTAAGAAAAGGTAGATTGTAACTTCTGCCAACACAAGTGAAATTATATTATACAGTTAAAATATGAAGAATTATTTGATTAGCTATTTAAGTAACGACGTATAACGGTTGCGATGGATTCATCGTGCGCGAAATAGTTACTGCATATGAAGAGTAAAAGTAATTCTAAGGTAATAAATCAAGCGCTTAACATAACATTTTAAAGCAAACTTTGGCCATAAATGAGATTTTTATAAAAGAAATCGAGAAACTATTAATATTAGGTTTTTGGTAATAATTTTCGTGTTTCTTACCTGTTACTAGAACATGTCTTCCTTGGCAAAGTAACAGGGCCATAAGAAACGAATATCGAACTGTATCGATGGTAGGTATTAACTTGCGATTGTTTAAAGCAGGTAAAATTTGAGTATATTTGGATATATTGCTAGAAACATTGTCTAGTATATGCTTTAATCGATCCGAATGATTTGTTTCATCATAACGGTTCACAATTTCTTTCGTTGGGGAAATTAATGTATCAAAAGACGTAAAATTACCAGTTTGCATATCAATATAATATGAAAAAATAGAGTGCTTAGAATTTGGAAGTTGTACTGCTAGCGGCGGCTCAAGATTAAATAGCTCGTGAACAAATGCATTAAATGCAACTCTAGCATTAACAGTACGGTCAATGTCGTAACTTTCTGCGTCAGGATCATCATCATAATCACATTCGCCTTCAAGCGATCCACCGAAAGCCCAAGTAAAGGCAAAAACGTATATTTTGCCCATTAAAGGTAGAAGCATACCCGGTTGCCTTTGCAGAAAAGACTGATGTTGTATTTTAGAGAGTAATGTTTTAGCTCGCAATTGAGTGATACTACCGGGGCGAGCAGTTGATAATCGACTATAGCTGCTGTAATTATTAATAGTATCTAACGATGATACACTCCCAATGGCGGTAGCTTCATCTTCGGCAGAGCTAGAACGGTGGCCAAACCCCCCATGAGTATCCAGATACACTAGAAATATTTGGATAATGCTACACAGCGTAGAAATAACGCTTAAAAGTGGTACTTTAAGGTATTGATATTTGGAATAGATATCCAAGAAAGCAAATCCACGGTCGACAGATGCATCAAATAATTGTAATATTAGATCGCTGGCCATATCTGGAAGCTAAATTTCAAATTAAAATAACATCAATAAATTCGGATGGAATCTCAGAACGTACTACCTTCATAAGAGAAGATAAGTAAATACAAAATGATTCAGTTAACTTATGCCATAATGACATACAGCCTTGGGAACTGTTCCTATCCAATGCCGCACATAAGGTCTCCATCCTAGCTCCTTAGGGTCCATATAAACCATACCGCATCGGCTGACTGTAGCCGGAGAAGCCTGTTTTAAATCGCTTGCTTCAAATAACAGTCTCATTCCATCACCTAATAGAATAGTAGATATTATATTGAACGCTAAACTTATTAAATGCATTAAAATCGAACTAAAATCGTTTCTTTCTCATGCCATCATCCAATTAAAAAGTTGATAATTAATGCATGCAATATCAAATCTAACTAAAATCGTTTCTTTATCATTCCATCACCTAATTGAATAGTAGCTATTGCATGCAATATCAAATTTTAATGCATTAAAATTTAACTGAAAATCGTTTTATGTAGAAATCACATGAAACAACAAACTTAATTATTGTATTGAAATCTGACTAAAAATCGTTCCTTTCATACTTAGTCCAATTCTTTCTCCATTTGCCAAGCATAACATTTTCGTATCATCCAAAACTGTGTTAAGATTTTCAATCCATAAAGGATCTACAGGACCATCTAATACAATCCATCGCCACATTTTAAATTCTATCGGTTCAACATTTGCCTCGACTTCAACTTGCTCATTTTCTTCAATAATAGGCTGTTCATCATTTTCTGTCTCTTCTTCTTCTTCTTGCGATGAATTAGTCTGATCTAAATGTACAAAAATACATGGCAGTTTCGTCAATTAATTGCAGTTGTTAATATTACCATTCGATATTTTATGTATGCCATGCTTGACAAGTATTACTTTCTACATCATCTTCAGCTGTAGTGTCTGGTTCATCATGTGGAGAATTCATCCTTGTTATCACACCTGGTGATATTCCATAAATGACTGGATCCGCAGGAGCTGCTTCTTTTGCATATCGGCGAGTAATGTGAGCTAAAATGCCATCAGTCCATTCCATAGTGTTATCATCAATTGCACCATACAATTCGCCAAGGCTAACGCATTTCGGATTTAGACGCGTTATTTGAACATTAGGTCGCCTACCAAAAGTACCCTAAAATAATTTTAAAAAATAATGACCGTCTAGAAAAATCTTCGAATGTTATAACCTCCCTAATAATTATATATATATATATATATATTGGATATTATAGGTTGCAACAAAATACAGGTAATGAATAAATCATTGACATGTCCGGATACTAAAATTAGCACTTGTAACCTATTTGTAGTGTACAAAAACTTAGTAATATGAGCTTAGTATAATTATACGTTAAAAAGTTTATCACTACATTATAACATATTAAGCTTGCAAAACATACCCCCTCGATCTCTGCCGCAACTTCTTCGTCATCAATTTTGCCATTCTCTTCTAGATAGCGACGAATGATAGGAAGATAAAATAACGCCTTCGCTAATATAGTATACGCTACCGATTTGCCACCGCCAGTAGGTCCAATAATCATGACACCATGGCGTACTAAAAGTGTTTCATACAACTGCGATATTTTTCTTATTTGGCCTATGTCTTGAACTAGAAAATCTTCCCTCATAGCAACACATATGCCATACTAAAATAGATTATAACCAAGAATTTCAAGGCACTTTTTTTAATATCCCGTAGCGTTAAAGGGCAAAAGTTGTTATCGCAGTACTTCGAATTTAAAATCATCAGATTCTATAGATTAAATTTTTACTTGGTTATTACCTGTAAAGCGCGATCTGTCAACGTAATAGACCTAATATTAGGAAAGACATCATCCATGATCCTTTCAAAGATGACAATGTCATCAACTATAAATTTAGGAAGATTGGCATTTTGAATGGCTTGAGCAAGAATTTCTAATTCATGTTGCTTCCGAGATATATTTTCTTCGTGCCTGTTGAATCAAGAAAATTATACGATTGGTTTATCTTATTCGTCCCTCGTATAGACCATCTTCAATATGCATTCTTCCAAGCGTACAACTTAAAATTTCTTAAACGAGTTTATGCGATACTATATTAACTTTATAAAATTTTTAATTCTTTGACATTACTTGCAGCTTCTCTTCAGCTGTGCAGCAGTAACTAAAACAGACTTTATAGCTCTTAACCCGAAATCATAATGATCCTATTAAAAATCAAAACCACAATTTAACCACAACTGTTTGCACAATTTAAATAAAAAGGAGAGCTAACATTTTATTCTTTCCTTACGCTATCTTCAATTTTACCTGTTGTGATAATTGCTTGCTGGCTAGTTGGTATAAATTAACTATTTTATACGATAATGCTGCGGCCTCCGTAAAGCCACCAGCAAATAGTATAATTTCTGCGATCATAGCATAATCAGGTATCATCATCGCTACAGGACGAAATAGAGACTTGACATTGTCTGGCAATTCAACCCTCCCCGCGTAGCTAAAAATCAGAATCATTTTTAACTTACAAACATCTTATTCCTTCTAACTTTAAGATAGCGAATTTATCTTAATCATTTCATTAATATAATATCACTAATTGCTATACAAACCCTGGATTCATAGTTATGAATACGCCACAAGATTTTATAAGTTTGATGTCATACCCTTCAAAAACGAATCTGTAGAAAATGAATAATAGAATATCTATAAATTACTTCTTCGACAAAGTTGCTATATATATTTACAGTAGTCAAGACCTTACTTGATTATATAATGTGAAATTAATGATCTATCTATTTCCTTCCGTAAGGTACTGTACTAACCTAGTAGCCATTCTATCTTTAGCCGATTTAATGGTGTGCATTTGCTGCGCTACAACAGATAATACTTCCACGTCGATTCTATTAAATTCATCAAAGCAGCACCAAGAACCTGACTGCGCTAATCCGGATAAAAATTTTCCGATGACCTGTATAAATATCGATATCTTAATCTTTTTTTAAAAATTAGATATACTAGATGGACATATTGTGTCTTTTATGCACATATCCCATTGTAGTTATAGAATTATTTCATGGGGTGTGCTTAGAATTAAACTAGGTAATATGAAATTATACACATGGTCTATCGGCTTATATTACGTCTATACATACTTTAAAATCAACACCTTCGGAGCAGTTGAACGCAACACAGTACTTTCCCATTGCCTAAGTATATCAGGAAATTGATTAAATTATTCGCAAATACCTTACTAAATAAGTTAACATAATCAAAGAATCAGAATAACAGAATGCGATTAATTATAATAACATTATGCTCTTATAACGAAGATGCTATAAATACATTGGTACTTAAATTCTCTAATACCAGCTTATATGTGAACTAGAAAGAGTCTTATACTCCATAACCTAATTAATTAATCTATAGGTGAATTAGAGTACATAAATATACCTTGGCTAAGTCTTTAATCGTCTCCGTTTTGCCAGTACCTGCTGGTCCAGCAGGAGATCCACCGAGATTTAGTTTTAAAGCTCCCGTCAACGTTAGATAACATCTATCTGTTAGTGGGGTAATGACAAGCCGGCTAGAGCATCCTAAATATTCATATCCATATTCGAAATGACTACCAGACTGGTTCACATCGCATGATTTATTAAGATCATCCCATTCGTAGCGTAGTTGTCTATCGTAGCAAGAAGGTATTAAATGGTTTAAAAAATACTAAATAATGTAAACACGTATATTGAATTAACTGAATTATAGAGTTCCAATTTACCTATCCCACTCGAAATCATCAGGGTTACTCACTTCAGAGTCGATTAATTTAGCAACAATATCACGATTATGCACGCTAATTGTCATCAACGCAACCAAACTCTCATATTTGTGTAAAGGCAAGGGTCGATGAGCTAAGTCGGCTTGTCTGTTTAAATCACTAATCAAATCTTCACGAATCTTCTTTAAGGAATTTCCATGGTTTTTTTCCAGTAAAGATGACGTAACATGCTTGCAAAACATGATTTGTGTCTGTAAAGTTTGAAATAGCAGCGTTAGCGATCTATCTAAAAGACAATTCGTAATATAGCGCTGTAGGTTGGCTCAAATATCAGTCCGACCATATAGTAATACAATTATCCGCAATCTTATGCTTCATTATTTAAATTCGCATCAAGTTACAGTGCACCTTACACCCAAATAGTAATTATAAAGAAATTCATAAAGTAGTTACCATAGAATGTCTAGTAAGACTGTGCCTACACGCACTCATACACGTAAACTATCATTTTATCATATTTCCAACTAACGTAATAAATGCTAAAGGCTGGATAGCAAGCTGTATATTTTGTAGCAATATAGTAGCTGGAGTACATATAGGGAATCATGGTACTGATATAAGTTTACTATACTTTATAAGAAAATTTGTTTTAAGTTTCAGACAGCTTTAACAGAATTTAAATAAAGCTTTCATGAATATGCAATGGCTAAGGATTGGCTAGATAGTACGTTGCATATTACTGGTGTTCTGATGATATCTTTACGATATACCTATATATTGTTTATTACTGTAATCAAGAAGACTTACAGTAGTGAGAATAATTTGGCCAAAATTTTTCTCAAACCATGCTGTTTTCTCAAGATTATTCCAAGTCCTGATACCATCGTTCAATTCCCTAGAAATAATGACTCTCCATTAATAATGATATATATGCCATGATAAGGAAAAACTATCCAGTATTCCTTCATTCTAATCTAATTTAGACTAAAGTGACTAGATGTAGCAAGTTTACATTCGAAGGGTATCAAACATCGCCGTTTCAATTGAAGCAAGCCAATTCTCAACATTTCCAACGGTTGCTATAGATCTACAATTTTAAGAAATATATTTTTGCCAGCTTAATGCGCTTACTAAGTATTATTAAATAAGACAAAAACATTCGTACTTTATCAATTTAACAGTCTCGTATTCCGAAGATATCATAGCGATTATTGATACTGAACCAATGTCAGCTTCTTTATCCAGCATAAGTTGCTTAACGTTGCTAAAGCATTTCGATAAGTGAGGCTAACAAGAAGAATAATTAAAACATTACAAACAACAAATAAATAATCCGTTTGTTTTTATTTTAATTTTAAATAACATATTCATATTAAATACCTGAATAGCTTTGGGATTTTTGGAATTGGATATAACGTCCAACAACTCTTCATTACTTAAAAAGTAAAATCTTGGACAGACAAGGCGTTTCGTTTCAAGATAATCCTGAGAATAATAATTCTAATCTTTAGTAAATTGCAGATCCTAAATTAAGTTTTACATACCATGCTTCAAGTCTATTCTATTAATACTTTTTATAATCCATTTATACATTTTACAACTCATTTTAACTTAGTTGCCTGCATTTATAAAATTATAATCATTGTACCCAATACTCTAAGATTTATAAGACTAGAATATGAAATGATAGTTCAAATTTTAACTAAGGCTAATAAATTTATCGTAAACCACTGTAAATGTCTAATCTACGGTAGTACTATTCTACATTTTCTTCTATAGTAATATCTTTGTTACATCGATTTAATTACACATATTTTGTCTAAGTATATTACTGCAAACCAATATAAATCACCTCTAAACATTTAAAGATCTTATCCAAGTGCGAATGACCAGCTTGAAGTATTTCTAGTACACCTAATAAGAAATGATCACGTTAGTGTCTAATTTAACTTTAGATTATAAGATCGCGTTATAAACTGATCTTAGCTACAATTAGATATTAGACTACGAAATTGCGTTAAGCAAAACTAATCTCAGCGCAATTTAGTACAGTACCCGCAGCTGTTGCTGATCTCATTGCATTTGGCCTTTCGTGGGTATGTCGCATGATATCACGCCATGACTTATCAACTTGGGAGAACAATTTATTCTCAACTGGTAATTGCCTATGGCCAATTCAGAATTGAATTAAACAGACTTTATAGCACTATGCATTTGATATCAAATATGAACCTTTCAGAATTAAGATATAAAATAATTTACTACCGTTGTATATCGGCGGTTGCAAAAATATTTTCCAGATATAGCCATTTCCTTTGACAGATTAACCATTCTTCAAATGTTTCAGTAAATATATCTAATTTTTTATCCCACTCTTCCATAGTATTCTATCAGAAATCAATAGTAAAATCTTAAATCAGAAAAGATCAGAAGTCTTCTAAAATTGAGCAGGAAAAAAAATTTCTACCTTAATAGGCTCGACATATCGAGAACCCTTAATAGTAGCCAACGTGACTTGACTTTCATCTAACAAAGTAAAGATATCATCGGCAGCACCAATAATAAAAGTCCCATTCGTATGAGGAACCAATGTAAAATCGGTACTTAACCAGGAATCAATCATCTAGCCACAAGCAACAATTCATGGAATGAAAGCGTTAAATAACTGAATGGACTCTCTTGCTTAATGTCAGTTCATCGCAAAATGAATACTCATGATTATAAATATTGATTGTACCGCTGTATATACCTTATGTAACATAGATTCAAGAATGCTTTCATTAACGGCTTGGGTTGATACATCAATAATTTCATCTCGATGATCCATGATCTTCAATTAAAACATAAATATTATATTAATATATACAATCTAAATTGCATTTTGTATGAAATATTAGTGATATTAAATAATAACATTTTAAACAAGGTTTTAAATTCAAGAATATAATCATCTGTCTAGACTTAGATACAACCTGTAGTGTAAGCAACTCCCCAAGCGTAAACCCTTTCGTTCTAATTTGTGGTCCTAGAATACGTTGTATAGTAGTCCAATGCCGCTGTTTTAGCGATTCATTTTTCAAACTAGATATAATCGGCATGACTTCCCGAAATCGTAACACTTTTTCTTTTAAAGTCGGTAAAATATTATTGACAGGTAAACCTATATGAATTAAGAAATAATATTGAAATTTTTGAAATGCGTCAAATTACTTTATGCTAAATTCTTTATATCCATGATTAAGTGAGCATATACCGATTTCAGCCGCATTTATCATATTATAACACTAATTTTGCATTGACATTCACCTTTGTCTAATAAAAAGACAGTTTGCGCAAAGCGATTTACAGTTTTCTGCAGTCCTTCAACGTCGAGAGACTCGAGTTCACTCTTAATTAATTGAACATATAATTTATCCCACTCATCCATCGATTCCCAAAGCATGCGACGAAGGGATAAATCACGTTGAACTTCGCCAATTTCACTCTGTAATGACAACGCGCTATTCACGGTAGTACTACCATCAATGATACCTTGCCTAAAATTGGATAAATGCAACGCAGCCAAGATGGTTAAAAATTGGCTAAATACTAGATTGATAGTATTATACGTATTGATGATGCTTAAGCAAGTACTATACATAATCCAAGAAATTGTAGCTTACGCATATATAAGGATAAATAATCATAAATACTGGATTACAGCAATAACCAACGGTAATAGAAATTAGAACTTACTCAAGTAACGCTCTTCTCTTTGTAGCAGCTGATAGAGCTGCACCAAATTGATCTTGATATGAAGAATAGTCATGAGCCTTTTCAACTAGAGCATCAACGCGATCAGTCAGTTCGTGAATTTTTCCTAATGCAACAATACTAATGGTATCAGCGTCCAGTAATAATGATACTCGAATATCCTGTTTTAAGACATAGAGTTGTTGCTTTAAATCATCGACCAAATATTCAAGATCATTGGTGAACTTTTGAATGTTTTCATCTCGTTTAGCTTCACATTGTATTATGACAGACTGCATGAAGAGAAACGATATTACCATTACAACATCATACCAACAATTTTACATTCTCTTTAAAATTTAATAAATATTATTACTTTTAGATGGGTAAACGTCGGCATTAATGTTTGGTACAATGCTAATTCTTCGCCTTCCATGACAATATCGAAATCTCGAATTAGGGTAAATAGCTTTGTAACCACAGTGAATTCCTTTTCTAGAGATGGTAATTGTCGTAGCATCAATGCTAAGAATGATAAATGCTCGACAAATTCTTCTACCGATTCTGGATATTTATCTAATTTTTTGGAAGCAGTCTGCAATAATTGGCAGTTGAAAAAAGTTAAAACATGTCATAAGCTATAAACTTTTTATTTAGTAGGGATATCTATCCATTTATAAATCGATACCATTTAGCAATAAGGTGCCAACGGCTAATTATACAAAAATGATACCCTTAATACCTTAATTGTTGTTATGAGTTCGGTGTTCTTCTTGCTTGCAATTGTTGGTAAATGTTGATAAATATCTTTAAGAATTTTTTCCGGAAATGGCAGAATCGTATTTCGAAATAAAGTAGTATCCACTTCTAGAAGACCAAGACGATATGACCGAATAATGGACTTCATCGAAGATACCTGAAGGTAAGGTTATTACTAACTCAGTATAATCGCTAACTATAAAAGCTGTAGCATGGTTGCAATAGATATCTTGCCAAGGGGCTACAAAAACTGGCTAAAATTTATTTTGAGTACAACTGCTACAGAAAATGCAATACTAAATTCTCAAGATAGATAGATTTGCATATTAATGAAAGTGTTCTGTGTCTATGCGTACGTTAACCTTACTTCCTAATGAATAAGCAGTAAATTTACCCTTGTGAAATGCAGGAAATAACTAGAACAATATGTAATTACAGAAAGTACACATCAAATACCATATACGTAGTAGGTAAATCATGTCATATGGCTTCTTGACTGCCTACTTATGTTATTATATCTGCATCCAGCTTATTGAGATATAATACAGCATAGTAGATGGTATATGTCATGCAAAGTGTTGAGTTAGCATACTGCAAATTTGTCGCAAATATCGATTACACCAAGCGGAAAATTAAGAAATACTCCAACCGAAAATTCCAATTCTGAATGATTATATTATAATACGCAGAATGATATTTATTCAGAATTTTTTTTATCGATTTTTTAATGCAAAGATACCTGTTCTGTATGCTGTTGTAAGATCTCTTGAAATTCATCTGTTGACCATTCATGCTGCGCCATGGAATTATTAACATCAATTTGACCACAGGAATCGACCATTTCACAAAAATGATCATATTCCTAAAAGACGTTCAAGAAGAGAACTTAAACAGATCAGCTCCACCATAAGCACGATAATTATGCGAGTAGCATAAATTTCTTCGAATCTCAGTATCGTAATTTAATTGCTTTAAGGTTTACTATTCATAGTACCTTACAATACATGGCAACATCTTCAATAGCTTCTTTTAGTAATACAAAAATTTTACGCAATGACGCATTATAAATATTGTCATCGCCGAAAATAAAATGGATATCAGGCCAAGGGTATCGTTTTTCAGTATCGGATTGACCTTCATCTATTTTAATATTGTAATTAGTATTGATATCAAATTTACTGTTATATACCCAAGTAAGAGTTAAATTTAAAAATTACTCTTCTTTCTGCATCAATATTAACATTAAATCAATTTTAATATACAGCTGCTACACTTTGACGTACTTTTGTCAATAGATAATTTAATGTAATACTTTTCGGTCGACCAATATTTATGTAGACAAGCTTGCTTTAATAAGGAGGGGAGATGGAGGACGCATTTTTCAATGTTCCCAATAATATCCTGCATTTTTTGTCGAAAATCTTGTCTGTCAGGTTGAAAAGCTATTATAGAACCATCCTAGATAGTAAATTAAAGCGGATAGTATTAGCATCGGAGAAATCTGATAATATATAAACTGTAGCTAATACTACTTGAAATCAATTATTTAATAAAATAATAGTAAGTGAGATGTAATCAAAATATAGATATAAATCCCTCCTTCTTCTATATAAGGACGACTTACTGTAACATCTTCTTCGTCCTCAGTTAAATGATCGAATGCTAACGGTTCCATAATAATCTGATTAGGATATTGATATGTAACCGGCGCAGCAGTAAATGCTACCGATTTCTTGCGACCTTTATGATTGCTTGGCTGATCATTCATGCCTACAATGATAGACTTTCGTGGAGCATTTAATCGGTTAGTCCTGGTACCTTGCAACGACTCCACACTTGTCCTTTTCTGTTGGAGCAGTTCTACATTAGTTCGTGGATACTGATTTAGCTCGATACTTGATCGTTTACTGTGTGAAGCAATTTCACCACTAGATCGCTTATTTGGTGAGAGCTGGATGCTTGTCCGTTGACGACGTGGTGATGCTAACTCATTGGAGTGGATCTTACGATACTGTGAATAATCCACACTCGAACGCTTGTAGAGGGATGTTTCCAGACTTTTCCGTTTGCCATAGGACATCTCAATACTTTTACCTTTAGAACGAGCCAGTGATGATGTTCCTTTAGTTGAGCTTCCGTTATTACCATCTTTTTCAGGTAAAATAATCACTAAATCCAGCTTAAGTAAGGCCTTAGCGCCGTCGTTGATAACATTATGCTTTTCAGTGCCTAATAATAGATCGTTCTCATTTTTAATTAAACGTGATCTCCATTTCGTTTTCTTTCTCATATCGCTAAGATATTTGACAGCCCATTCTTTTTGATCGCTGTCTACATTAGCACATGCAACAAATTCAGCTAGCAGTAGGCGCATAGCAACAATAACAATTCGACGCGATAGTTCAAGTATTAAGTAATCAATATATTTGAGAAAGCTACGTAAACGATCTAAAACAGCTCGCCATCGTACTATGGCTGCATGATCTAAGGATTTCTTCTTCTGTTGACTTGAACCGGATCGAATTTCTGCATCTGCAAGAGTCAGCGATAGGAAATTTACTTTTTTAACTTAACATGCAATACAGGATAATAAAAGATAGCGTATCTTCAATAAGAAATATTCAAATCATTCCAATTATCGAAAATGAAAATTGCAACCATTCATGTAATGAAAGAAAATTTCATTTTATACAAGTCTGACCTACCAAATTTAAAATTCAAATTAATTCCTTCATGTTCACAAATTTCCTATAAGAAATAACGTATGATAAGTACGTTTGCTTTATCGCTACAGTGAAGATCGCAATGACAAGATTTATATCAAAGCTACTATCATAATGAAATGATGATCACTCATTATTCATGACCATATCATTCTGCTTGGATAACCTGACAAACAGATGAAACGATTTGGACAACGTTTTCATACAGTAATTTTAGTTTTTCTTCTGCAAGATGTCGTTGCTGAGTTTGGATACGAATAAATTCATTCAATGATAGCGTTCTATCTGTAGTTACTACTACTAATACGATACCACTATCATCGCTGCTACGGCCATCAAGACTACTCGATGCAGCTTCGCACCATGAACGAATGGTTAAGGCAGCTCGCTGCAACGTATACTGGGTTAGAAATAAATCTTGCTTGATGTAAGATCTAAACAATCGATAAATATTAAATCAATGACCTATATTCTCCTATTATATCAACTCAATATCCATCAAAATTTGAAGATTTTAACCGTATTCTTTGGCATTTTTCGTAACGAATTACTCTTTTCCATTGATAGACATATTTAAATAACCTATCAAAGAATATGAAAATAGAAATGGACAGTTGCATTTGTTAGTTAAAGCTCAAAATAAATCAATACTCGAGTGAAATAAACTAATTAGCCGCCACAGCGTCGTAATACGTAAATGTAGAAACTAAAAACTCGAAAATAATATGTTCAGCATAACGTCAAATTCCCCTCCATTGCAAGCAAGGATTTTTTATTAGCCTTCCGTTCGTAATCGACTAATAAAATACCACAATTTTTTATTGCTTATTGGCTTTCCAATATTTTAGAATTCGGAGTATAAAATTGAGGCAGCGCCACATACTGTATGACTTAACTAGATATGCACAAGGTATGCTGTACACCGTACAGTGTACACCTGCATGGTATAGAACAAGCAGTCAGAGAACTTTGAAAACATAATCTCCATCGGAATTAACAAGCAGCTACTAATTTACAATTTTTTTCATAACTAATCATACCAAGAAATAATTAATTAAATATGAGACTTCAATTCATGCGTTTGTCAGAAGTGATGTGACGATGTTTTGCCAAAGCAGTTGTTAGTAAGATATCCAAATGCCATTATAGTAGGAAAAGAATGCAATTTATTAAGTTTATCACTGCGTTAGATATCACTGCGAAGGCGACTTAAACCAAATGTATTAAATATCGTCATTTAACTACAAATTCTGCTAATGACTTAATTTTAGAACAAGTTTGAAGATCAATCCAGTTGCCATCAATGGCTTCAATTGTAACTTTGTACTGTTTACAAATTATGTATTCAAGGATTAGTAGAATATCAATGTTATAATTGGCGAAAGCATATCCTAACTGTTATATTAAATCCCCACTCAGTAATCTTTTGAATGGAATTATAGTATTCCAGCGAAACAAAAACAGTGCCAACTGCTTCTTTCTAGCTGAGATACGGTCAAAACTATCCATCAATGGCAGTAGGGTAGCAAATTAGTAACGCCTTCCTATAGGCTATTAATAACTTACTAATTCCATGCTATAGCTCAAAATTTTGCTACGACATCGATTAATATTTATATAGTATGATAAGTAAACATATACAGTACTTGTAAATTGTAATAATCGCATCTCTACATTATTACAATATTACCTGAATTTAGTAAAGAAAGGAATTCGACAAATTTGATGAAATAAGTCTCTTTCATGCATCCATAACAGTGTAGGCAAGCATTCTACTTCTTCGCCAGATTTAATCTAAAAATTTTTATAATCAAAATTGTATTCTTACACGCTATTATAGGCTGGTCATATATTAGCTGTAATACAACCAAACTCGCAAAATGACTGTCCATTAAGAAAATTAAAAAATAATTATAACTAAAACAAGCAATGAACTCATCAAAATGATTCATTTCTAAACACTTTTCATAAACTTACCAGAGTTATATTACTTGCACTAGCGGTATAATAGCTAGCACATTTTAACACTGAACTAGCGTTAACAATTTTCAAATCATACGGATTACAAGCTTCTCCTGAACGGGGTAAAGCATAGACAAATTGTCCACCATCTTTCCTTCGAAATAGAAATTTTAGGTCTTCATTCTTTTTATTATCCATTTCTAGGACGGTATGTTTAGATTTGCTAAGTTGCAGCTGTCTTCGAAATTGCTGTATATCGGAACTCAAGCCGATTTGATTACGCTCCCAAACCAGATACTCGTAAACATCATCTGTTTTGGGCCTTTTTAACAAATTATCCTCTTGATTTTCTACCGAGATATAAAACGAAATATTATTTTAGCGATATAATGAGCTAAGCATCTCCTTCCATCAAACCAGACTGACGGTATAGTTATTCAACATATTATTCATTACATCAAGGTTGAGCACGTTAACATTAGCCTTTCGTTATTAGTATTGATTTCCCACAAATAATGATGATATACGAAATATCATCCATGAGAGGCAAATTTACTAATGTGACAATCGACTTAGGTAGACATAATCATGTAAAGTCATTGAAAGACAACCTAAAGTTTACTCATTTTCTTATTATTAATGCAATCAGAACCACAGAAGTTTCTCCTTCAGTAATATTACCTTGTTGGAAAGACTTAATTCGCCTCTGATCATTTTTCTTAATAGGTTTGATTGGTTCACAATCTTGCGATTTTCCATCAATACCCACTTCGCTCTCTTTACTGCTAAGTATTTCTTCTTGCTGAGTTTTTGTCGCGTTTTGCTAATTACATAATAATAATAAACGTAATCTAATATTATTACATGTAAGCGGCAAAGTAACACTTTTGCTCCAATTTCCACTTATGAAGTCTCTATTCTGTTAATTAATCTAATATTATCAGTTTAAACAACCAATTATCACTATCTCATAGATATCGAAATGCTGACTCAAGCTAATGAGAGATAGAGAAGACCTGGAACCACGCGAAAAATAATAACAAAAAGATAATAAAAGGAAATAAAAAATGAAACACTAAAAATCGAATATATACGCCGCGCGAGCGCAAAGAAATATATATATCGTGGTCTTCTCTATCTAATGAGATGCCACATTGGCACAATTAAGACTATATAATATAAGAGTATATGATACCATTTATATTAACGCTATAACAATATTTCTATCAAGAAACTAGTTTCCACTAGTAGAACTGTTAACGGACCGCGACGTAAAACATACCAAAAAAAGATAAATGATCAAATAAAATTAGTCAGTTATGAAACTTTAGTATCTATGTGCCTAGAATACAAATGATAAAGTAATTAGTGATTTGAGTATCTTTAATTCTACGGCCAGGATCAAAAGTCATGAATTATATGCATGAAGCATAAACAGATGATCTGATACACTGATTAATCTCAAACTACATTTTCTAACTTCTATAATAGCCTTTCTGCAACAGAAAATAAAGATGGATTTCTAACAAAAAATAATAGCATCTGTATTTTAAATACGGTATCCGCTATAACGTCATGTCTAGAATTTGAAGAGCACAGCAGTACAATATACGAATGATCGGATTAATACCAAGTAGTCTATTTGACAAAAATTGCACCGTTTCACTGACTAGCAAAATGCGCTTAGGAAATGATCAATTGAAAGCCAAATTTAATTTATCTATTTCATCGATAAATCTCATTGCTAACGAATATTGCGTTCAATTATTTGATACAGTAGAAGCTGTAGTACGGATCATAATTGATGATTTCAAGTCTCAATAACCACCAAGTTATGATCATGGACTAAGATAGCACGATGTAACTGCAAATAACAGGACTATCGCTATTTGCTGTTTTTATCAATGATATTTAAAGTACGACTTTACCTTAATTTTAGATTCATCATCGTTGCGATTTCGTAGATTTCTAATCCTTTCCTTATCTTTTTTCAATAACGTAGTTCGATAAACACTTGAATTATTCTCAGCTTTCTTAATAACATCAGGTAGTACTTGTCGCGTAATACCCTAATGAAAGTACAGATCATAATTTCAATCTTTAATATTGTTAATTATATAATGGGCTTCAATATCAGCTACTATATTTCTAGTAGTCAAATTATGATTCAAAAATTAGCTCATTACAACATTTCCATGGAGAATACTTGTAATATTTTATAATTTCAAGATGATTTACCTGAACTTCTAATTGTTGCTTGGGTAAGGTAGCTAAATTCTTCTCTAATGGACTACTACTTTTATTTCTATCTACTAAGGCAGGTAAAATTCGCTTTCCATCCATGGTTGTATTTCAAGACATTAGTATCTTAGCAATGACTATCTCATAAGTAATTCTATCACCATTAAGTATATTTTGTCTTTAAATCTGCTTAAGCTTTTGCAATTATCAATTAAAAGCTCTTAATATTGCAAGAATAACGCCACATTTTAGATTAGATGTCCAATGGTAGCACGAATCTTTTGTCGATGATATCAAGATATGCAACTAGTTATGTATATTGATCTTAAGTTAGATAATTTTGTTTAATTGGGTAATAGGATTTGTAAGACTGTAACTCAGCAGGTAAGTTATCTTTACCGTATGTATGAATTATTGCATCTTTTGAGCGAAAGGCCTATAAACACTACAGGCGATATGTATATTTGTATTAATTATGGACCAACAGCACTCCCATCACTAATATGTGCATACTATAGTTAAAGCTAGCCCTCTTCTCTTACTGACCCTAACCCTACATTGAAATAAGATGTCAAGTCAAATTCAATTTCCTATAGGTGTATAACCATCACACGGATAGCGGTAGTATCTTATTGGGGACAGCAATCATATCAATACTACATTCATTATCGCCAAGTGTGAACCAGTACTCAATCACTTTTATCCAATCCACCATTTACGTATGAGTTAGCTAATAGGACTATAAATTATAATGATCAATATCATTACAAATAACGCAGTGGCTGCACCTCCATATGATTGTCCGGCTCAAAAAAATTATAAGACCGTTAGCAACTTTTATCAACTTAAGTTTCTATGGTAACGCGCACGCGTAATTGTTATTTAAAGATTCGATCTAACGAGCTAATCAGATTAAGGGGACCATATTCGAGTTAGCTAGAATAAAATTAATTCCACATATGCCACAAATTTCATAAATGAAATCACTATACTCTTATCAGTGTAGGCAAGATATCTTCAAATACAGGCTCAATCACTGTATGCATTAATGTGCTGCAGGTACTACAGATTTATCATTAATAGATCTAGGATGATAGTGCAGAAACTTGGTGTTTCAGATGAATAAGTAATATAAGCATATGATAAAGCAATTTCAATGTAAAATAGATCTAGACAAGCAAATAATTTATTGGTGGCGGTAAATATCGTTCATATTATCGTACCAAATATGTCCAATTAATCTGTCTATTAATATCGAGGTCTTACAATAACGTACTGTATAAGAGTACGTTACAAGTTTTACCTAGACTAAACACAGGTATCAATATGGTCGTTAATTTGCTCATTATTCGACACTTTTAAACAAATTGCTCATAAAGCCCCATTATATACGATGTCATCATTGAAGTAATCTCTAAGGCCAAATTCAGGAAATCAGTGTACTGTACAGCATTAAATTAATATCCACTGCGGAAAGATTCCAGTATAAATTGATGATTTATTCAAATACCAAAGTTTCTGTACAGTACAGTATACAAAGATGGTATATAGAAATTAAATAAGCAGTGTGAACTTTACAGAATGGCCGCAATTTGCATGAGAAGTAATGATGAAATAGCTTCTATAGACCATAAGTTATTATTTATGGTTATAACATTCCAGTTTTTTATTTGCTTCTGATTCGTTACTTATTTAATATGTATAGTAGTATAATCAGTTCCCTTTCATTTCACAGTATTCTGGCAGCAATTAAAATTTGATATATTTTTAACTAACTTTTCTCGATATAAAATAACAAAAATAGCGTAATGACAATGAGTAAAATCGCTGATTATCAGATAATTCTTAGATGTTATTAGAAGGAAAAAGATCATCATTCTAATATTCCTAATGTTGCACCAAACAAAGTACCGTAATAAATCTTATATAACATGTTACAGTATAAAATATTTAAATCCAACATTATAATATTGCTGGATATTTTGAAAATTTAGTTTATCAACTACTAGTGTGTAGATAAAATTATTTATTTACGAAGCTAAGTCTCATATTATCTCTATCTCTAATTAAATTAACTAACCCATCCTATAAGGAATAGGAATCGAATATTACGTTAGAATAATACTTGTCGCGGCTTATTCAGTATATTTTATAGATAGTTGTAAACATATTTAAGACTAATCATAATAAATGTGATAAATCCAAATAACTTCGGTTCTGCTAAATAAAAGTATCATCATCGATAAATGTGACGATAGAATAAATATTTGACCAGTTCAAGAAGCTGCACATCTATATACATGTAGTTCCGCCATGGCGGTTTTTAAAAGTTCAAAATCTAATACAGTAGTAAGCAAAACCAAATACATAAATAAAGAAGTACAAACAAAAAATCAAATTCGTATTGAAGACCCAAATGCATTCACATTTATTTCTTTTACCCTAAATCGACTTTTACTATTCACAATTAGTTGTTTAATAGCTGTATGGATCATTGGAATATATCGTTTTTCGTCTGTTTATGTTATTGGAATTATCGCTATATTAGTTCATACTTGGAAAGAAGACAGAAGCAATGCACTGAAATATTATGCAATGAACTTAGAAAATAAAATATTAAGGAAAAAAGCACTATCATCGGCTGAATCTGCAGAGTGGTTAAATATCTTCTTCAATCGATGGTAAGTAGCTACTCTACTCTTTAATATTTAGTTCTAAAGAACAAATACCAGAAATAATCGAGAGTTATTTTTTTCTAACTGGAATTACCATCAGTACCATAAGTAGAAAATTAGAGCCAGTATACATTGCAGTATTCCGTATAAGTTATGATAGAAGTTCTCACTTCCAAATCATCATTAATGATTTTTATATTAACAAGAAAAATAAGACCAACTAGTATACCAGTAAGTGAAAGAATTTTCTTCGATAAAAGTCCTGCAACTAACCTCAGCCTTGACTTTTAGCATGGGCGGTATATTACATACTTATTAGTCCGATATTATACACAGAAAATCTGTATCAAGTTTACTCAATCAGATCCCGATATTATTACTGCACGAAGTAGTATAGATTCGATAAAAAAAGCAGATACTGATACGTAAAAGATGCTTATAGTAATCGATTCCGTGAATCTCTGATTCAGTAGCTTGATTAAACAATCTGCAGATTAAGAAATCACAAATCATTTCCAACTCTATCCAACTTTACAAAGAATTTTGATCGCATTGTAAAGGTAATTGCTGTCCAACTTGTAACCTTTATCACCGATTTCCGACCTTAATTAAGCCTATCAGCATCTTTTACCGGATGCAAAGTCTAGAGGTATTGATAACGTGACATACGGAATAGGAAGACACAGTCGTACTTTTTACTTTGAATCTTAACTATAATAAAGCTGTTAACTTCGCAGCTAAAGTCATATGTGCGTACTGATACTTTTATTTAGTAAAAATAAATTAAAAGCTGAATGTGTCTAAAATTAAATAACTGAAAGCCAAACTTGAGGATTAAAAGTGTTAACTAGAGCACAGAGTAGTGTATGAACTATCAAAGTGAGATCTACACAAGCCGCGATGCAAGTTCATCTTACTCGCTGATTAAAGCACAGCAAAGTAAAATGTAAAGTGTAGGTTTGAAAATACAAGATTGTTTACTATCATGTGTAATACTCTGTAAAAATTTCTAAATACAAGGAATTTATATTATTAGATAATGATATTTCGCTGTTAGGTTATCGTGAAAAGTAATATTAGCTTATAGATTAGGCTTTAAGTAAAATAGTAAAACATTCTAAATGTCACAAATTTATATTACCAGCTAATGATACTCCGCTGTCTAGTTATATAGCAAGTCAATCATGAAAGCAATACTAGCTTACAAATTAAGCGTTAACTAGAACACAGTAAAATATTCTAGATTCCTAGAATTCATATTATTAGCTAATGATAATCTGTTGTTAGGTTATATAACAAGACAATCGTAAAAGTAATAAATTTTCGGAATTAAAACTGATTGCTTTAATTAAAGCTACTTAAAAACTGAAATAGTCGTTATATCATGCGCCTATGGCCAATGATATGTAAAATCAATGAACATAATTAAAAGATCGCATCCAGCACGGTAATTATTTAAGGCTCACATAATATCATGAAAAATATTTGCTTAACACGAAATTGAAAGATGCATTAATGTGATCGTCCTAACTAATACTTATAACTTAGATACATACATAGCTATATCCTCATATTTTCACAACATCTACTGTAAAAACTTAGTTACGAAGCGTCTACATCAACAATTAAAATCAGTAACACTGAGAAAATGCCTACTTGTAAAATGATACTCATAGATTCTGGTGTTAATTTGCGCAAATGATCACCGTCTTTAAACAGCTGTGTGCGTATCAAAATCATTTTTATCATATCTATTTAAGTTTATCTATCGTATTTGGAAACTGCATTTTTATATTACTTCTTATAATACTGTGACTAAGTTTTAATCACCAAAAAATAATCACCTCAAGAACTTTCAGCATATTGTATCTCAAAATTAATGTTAAATGTTCAAGCTAATAATTGTTACTTGTTTTTCACACTTCTTGCACTTAAATACCTGCTAGGTGGGTTTCTAATGCTAACTCAATATTTTCCCTACTTAAACAAACTATTGACCCTTTAATTGCCGAATCAAAGCCTCATGTAATTGGTAGGTCTTGGTTTTTAACAGTATTGGTTCATTGTATCTTTGTTCAATGAAGGTGTAATCAAGATTTACTAGCTCAAAAAATTCTTTTAACTTGTTAGGAATACTTTCTTCACATTATATACCTTAAATAAATCCTATGTCCAATTGTTTTTATATATATATTACCATTAAAATTTGTATAGCTTCTTAAGGATGCTGAGCCTGAAATTTATTTAAATGTATTTGACATTAGAACTCTTTCTTCTTAGGGTATCGTAAGCGTCTTTCGGCACCTACGTAATATTAATCTAACGGTACTACATTCATTTTGCAGACATTATTGAAATTTCCGAATTTACTCTCGGTGACAACATGCCTCATTTAAGAAATCTTCGGGTCTACGACTACGACCAGAATATCAAATGCAGTGCATCTTGTGATCATATATCAGATGCGGCTTCACAACAGCAATATCATGCCAAGACTACATCTGTAATACTAGAAGCCGATCTTCATTATTGTTCCCAAGATTCTTGTTTTGCACTAACAGCAAAATTCATCAAGAAAAAGTTAGTTAGAGATTTAAATTAGTTTTACTTTAAGTAAATTAGTATAAAATGGCAAGCCAGAAATAAAAATTCGATCTACACAAACAAAATGTATCTTCTAATCGTCTTGTCAGATTCTAACAGTATGGTGGTATTTTTTAATATCCTAACCTAAATAAAGAATACACACTATTTAAAATCTAATTTACTGCACTAATGAGACCTTTATTTCTGAACAATTTCATAACCAATGCATTTGATCTTATCAGAGTATCAACGCAATTCCTGGTAGAAAACTTTATCTTTACTGGCCGGTTGCAAATAATCATTGAACTGGATCCTCGAGTATCTTTTCCCCATTTTTACAAGTTAAAGTTTTACTTTACTCAAAAGTAATTAAGACAAATATGTATAAACGGAAACTGCATAAATCTTACTTAATAGTTTAAACAATGGCTATATTTTATAAATTGATAGAATGGGTATAAATTTTGACGATGTCCTTAAATTCTTTCTAATCTTGCATTACATACAATTTAACTACTAGACCACAGATTTCCTTCTCTATTCGAACATTTGGAGCTATTCAGCTAATGGAGCTACCACTTGTTAAAAGCTGGATCCAAAATATGATCGAAAATGCAGTAATGGAAAGTCCGGAAATAGCTACGATAATTTTGAAATTTCTTATTATCTAATTAAATTCCGCGTCTGACTTTACTTAAACATCCTTGTAATTCCATTGAAGAAATGGTAGATCCAGAATATATAGAAGCAAAGCTAGGTGATATTGATCCTTCCTCAGAAACATCAATTAAAAAGCCATTGAAGCTAGGTAATAAGAGTAGTAATGTTGAAGTTTTTACGGATTAATTCTGCAGTTATTGATTAGCAGTTGCATTGCGTCTATGTATGTATTAGTTGATATCTTTTCAAACTTGAAGAGTAAATGCTAAAATGCAAGAATTTGGGGAGTAATTACTGAGACTGATATGAGGTCATGAGGATAATACACACCATTTTTCATTTTCTATAAATAATTAGCTAAAGGCATCTTGGCTGTCCAATTGTCCAGAATAAAACTAGATTCAGAAACAGGTTTAAAGATAATAATAAATTTACATAAATTTTCATTACACAACTCAATACAATCAAGATAAAGTTAGATCCAATTCTATAATTAATAGTGATATACATATATCTATATACGAATATACAATAGATAAAAATGAAATGAAATATAGATAATATCGTATTCTCTCATGACACTTGAGATTACAACTTCTATACTTACAAAATAGCTACAAACTACGAGGATGGAACCAAGTGGTGTGTTTTGCGGATTGATGACCAAAGATATGTTTCAAATGAAATAAATCAGGATTATCAAGAAGAAACTTTTCCTTTTATGATCTTTGACTTAAAGAAAAAGGTTAGTCATAATAATAATAATAGCTAAACTTTCACAATTCTATACATCGGGTAAATTTCTGTAGCTATACTTAATTTTTCATAATGAATCTATCAGTGCAATATCAATATTGACAGATTATTGATCTTACATATCGGATTCATCGTGGCCACTTTCTTTATTTTCACGCGATACCCATAAATAATAAATTGCTTCTATGTTCACTACGAATATTCTGTGGAGAACGGGCTACACTTGTGCTTTATCGTAGAATATGCTAAAATAGCCTAGATTGATCTCACTTCTTCATTGAACGAAAATTTTTAAGTTAGCTCTAAATCAAATAAAGATTATATAAACTGATGCCGTTTATTTTAAACGATTAATATCTAGCTTTCGGTCAAAATTAAGAGTAAAAGAATGAAAATAACTACTTTAATCACAACAGAACAATTATCTCTATCTATGTTTAATTATGAAAGTGGAAATAAAGAGTAAGTTCATTTTTCAATTTTATATTTTTGGCTGTCTCCTTAGTAGTTTAATCCGTTCCACAAAACTGCACCTTTTTAACTTGATAATCTATAGGATCATTGAACTACAAAGAATAAATTCACGTAATCCAGCTCTATCGATGACCTTACATTGGCAGCCTTTGCCTACAATCAAATTACTATTAAGCGAATCAGAGTTAATTCAACATTTGAATTATCAAGATGGCGGTATACCCTATAATTTTGTAGCAAAATAGTTAAAATCGGTTAAATTCTCAAGAAAAATCCTTAATCAAAAATTATCTATCCGTTAGAATCTGGTGTCTTATATATATGTGTTCATCGTGGTCAAAACTTAATGTCAATGGACTCAGATGGATATAGCGATCCATATTGTACAGTTTTTATGAAAAATCGAAAGGTTTTCTATGTGACATATACATATTTATGTGATAGAATAAAGTGTAGCCTACAGATTAAAATTATTTTACTACTGTAATGCAGCTTTACACATTACACTTTAAAATTATAAACCGCAATAATTGTTGCAATCGTGTAAAAACAATCAAAATATATTGGTTTTCGTACCCATCTAATAACTTGAATATTGACTATTAAGAATATATATATATGCGTACATACAAGCTGCATAATGAATATATCTATACAATATTTGTAACTACAGTCAATGAAGCAAGCAAAGTTACCTATTAGAATCTCTTTTCTTGAAGTTAGCTAATGATCTTCTAGTCAAACCACTATACCGATACTGAATAATTTCCATATCGTTATTTATTAGATCGGAAATACCTCAACAGTACACGATACATTAAATCCTGAATGGGAATACAGCCTTGAAGTACTCGTTCAAGATTACTCAGAGGTAACCAAATTTTAAATTAATAACTATAAATATCTATCTTGTAACTACTATAGGATTTTTTAAGGATTTCCTATACTTGTAACATTATTTATGCTCTTAGCACAGTATTTCTCTGATATGAGGCTATAAGTGTTATCAAGTGATATCTATAAGGTTTTCTAAACTGAAAATATTCCAATTTACAGACTAAAATTCAATTTAAAGTTCATGATTTCGATGGGTTACTTAGTTCAGACGACTTTTTGGGGTCATGCGAACTACAATGTAATAATGTAAGTTTAGTCTTTAATAGATCCATATCCGGATTAAAAGTTGTAATGATGTCAGGTCTTTTCAATATTATTTTAATTTAATCTACCATCAAATTAAATAGAATAAGGCATTCTATTTGATTTAGATTCAGTAATAAATCCAGTTATAATTGTTAAAATGTGACTTACGAACAGAAATGATATCAAAATAGTACTCAATTTTTAATTCACTTATATTTCACTTCATAGAAACTGCCGGTTTTAATCGAAGAGAACCTACCGCTATATCGCAAAAGTGAAAAATGTGGCTTTCTGGTTGTTTCAATAATATTTCGATCTTATAAAGGAGTTGATAATCACGGTATATTTACTCCTAACCCATTTTCTAAAAGTGTTCGACATTTATGAATCTTGGTTACATTGCCAGATATTCAATATTTGGAATTCCTACGTATGATCATCAATAAGCGTTCCTCGTATTTTATATGTACTAGACCCAAATCGATCCAATGATGCGGAAGAAAATAAGCAATCAGTTATTCGAAGAAAGGGTACAAAGGTTGCGTTTGTATATTTAGCTACTCAGATTTTCAACTCAATGTTAATGAATGAAATAACTTAATTAATGTGGTGAAATTGGAAACGATTAAGCAATGGTTAGCTAGATTTCATTCTTTTCAATTTATAATCATAACTTTTATCTTTAATTCCAGGTCAGAAGATATTCTCACTTTCTAATCGATAGCTTTAATCCACGACAGTCCTCAATTCAAGGTTAAATAAACTCAATTATCTAAATACTGCCATTATCCTATACGAATATTCCAGATTGCCAACATCAGTATATATATACTTCGCATATGGTATTACTGAGAAAAGCAAAGTTATTAAAGCATTAAATAAATTAAAATTTCCCACAATCAAATATTAAATTATAGGATTTCAAACAGCAATTCAAGTAACTGTTCACAGCGTTCGTGATATATCGGACAAAGATTCAAAGGGTATAAGCTCTATATAAGACGAACGTATTATTATTACCGTATTTCAACAAAGCTAAAGTAGAATCAATTCTCTACTTAACTCTATTCTATTTTATTTTAAATTACGTTTCGAGACATGCTTTAGTCGATCTAAGTATGTTGGTTATATTACATTAGATTGGATAACTTGTTTTAATTACTACCATTTTTCTGATATTTTAGGAGGAGGATGCTACTGTGAAATTAAGTCTGGCATGCATAGTAGCTTCAAGACTAAAACTATGAATAAAACTAATCAGCCAACTTGGAACGAAAGCTTTGAAGTACCTATAAGTGAAGGGGGAATTTTAAAAATCGTAAGTTCATACTTTCGACGTAATGTCTGTTATATTCAGACCTAGATAATAAATGCAATACTCTAAAAAATTTTAAACAAAGTTCTATTAAAGGAAATAATGTAACTTTATCCTACTTTATTTTGGAAAATGAGTACTAAATTAAAACGAAAGATTTCGAGATAGACTCCATTTCTTTCGTTCGTTTTATAAGTACTATGATCTACACCTTAATGAAAGCATTACTTCCTGTAAAGTTACTTAAATAATCGTATTATAAACCTCAAATTCTAATCTTGCTCAATTATTTTGCAGAGATTACAACATAAGATAATTAGAATATTAACTTGTTCGTTACGAGAGAATTTTGCGATAAATTTAACCTGTATAGTACTATCCCATCACGAAAATTTATAGCTTTTTGCGTCTAGAAAATATTCAAAAGACTACTGTGATTAATTATCAACGCAATTTTAATATTAACTTAGAAAATTAATCAAATGAGCGTAGTTGAACATTAGTACTAGGGAATTAGTGCCATAAATTTAAACATAGTAGGTAAAAAATATGAAATCCGGTTAGCAGGTAGCATAATTTATTACCATTTTTGCAATAGCGGGAGCGATCCTGTAATTGATGTCGAGTTGCGTGCTATTAAGTACACGCTTTAGCTTTTTTATGATCTATTTTAAAATTATATTCTCATATTTGTTAGAGTGTTATCGAGAAAGGATTACTTAAAACTGTGGCTGGATCAATAAAATTCAATTTTGAAGATATTATGAAGCAAGTGAAGGTGGCCCAAATTTTTCTGCGTACATTACGTGCTCCTATTTTGTACATAAAACAACTAAAAGATCAATTTCTTGCTCAATAACGGGAATATTATTGAGGACTTTGAAAGATATACACTAAATACCAGTACTTGCAATCTCAAGTTAATAATTCTTTTGAATAGATTGCAGGCAAATGGTATCAGCTAAATCACAGCAAGAACGGCCAAATTCTATTGACCTTTCAAGCTCTGGATTCAAATTACGTGCGATTATATATGATACCATGACCGCTACTTATTAACAATGTTTATGCCTTCGCTAATTCACATCACTTCTTGTACTGTATACAGGACAGTAAAGAGTTTGCGAATGATTCAAAATTGCAACCAACACGAAATTCCTCCTCAGCCCTTCTTGCAATAGATAGCGAAATCAAATATCCACAGTCTCAAATTAGGAAAAATCGGCAAGTTGATTTGAAGTACTTGTCCTATAATAAATCGGTGTTAAATTCCTAATCGTAATCTTCTCCCAGACTAATTTTTCAATTCAGTGCATTCTTAAATAATACTTATAATTGCGAATCACTTTTATATCTATACAATTTGCATATCTGCTTCGTTTTATAATTTATCAAATAGAGCATATCGGCATGCAGCAAATAATTGAACTGTAAATAAGATTACAAATTTAATAGTTTTCTACATTTAGCTTTTTCAAGCCAGTTTAATTAAATTAGGTCAGCTTCGTTACTATGCTCTTAAAATAAGATAAACTAATTATATGATCAAAACTTTTACTTTTTCTGATAGTTTTAATCGAATTGTTATGAATGGAGCTACAGATAATAATGATTTCTAGATTCACTTAAGGCAGAAATCTAATATCGAAACTAAAATTTTAGTATAAAACTAATGTGTTACTTATATTAGGAATTCAAGTAAAGATGAAGAAAGTGATGAATTTAGGAAATCTCCTATAAAATTGATATTAGATAGTCAATCAGAGACGCCTAGCGATCATTCATCAACTTTCGACTTTATTCCTGATTTGGATATGCTTGATTCTTTTGAGGATAACGCTATTGTAAGGAGTAATAGTGAAACAAGATCCCTGCTAAGTATGCTTTTTATCTAAGAAAATAATTTATATGCTTTATACGATGAATGGCTTAAGTTATCAAATTCCTTAGGTAACGGGACTATTACAACAGAGCTAAGAGCCAATTCTATGGATGGAAAAGCCGAAGAAAATGATTATAAACTGCTTAGTAGCAAATCATTTCCGAAATTAAGAGAGCCCAACACCCTGGATGATATGCAACAGTCATATCCATCCGATCGTCGACATACCGTTAATGCCTTAGATTCGCATGTCGATATTTATATTGGTAAAGAGAATACGCATATGTTATATATCTAGCTATCGTTTAAATATTTATATAAACCCAATTTTAGTTACCGCTTAGGCGTATGTTATTAATAACTACCGTCTAGATGATAATGATAAGGCAAATCTTGGTTCATATCCATTACCGTATAATAACTTTAAATTAACGATTGTTCAAGCCACTGGATGCAAAATAAACGGTATTTATGGCTGTATCAATGTTCAATCTACTTTTTATCTGACTCTTTGGAAATGTAAATATGCTTTGTAATAGTTAATAACATCGATTAATAAAACTTTGGCAATTTCATAAGCACCTTATTAAGTAATTGCTACCAATGCAACTAAAATTTTTTCCAATGCTTTGCAAGATTAAAATTTGGTTACATATTACTTTCAATTATAGAAAATGTAAAAGTTTGCATTAAGGCAAAATTGGACATGTAAGTCGACTAGCAAACTATCATAAAATCGTATTATACACCTAAACTGTCCTATGTTAGCAATTATTTATATTGTAAGTTTGCCTTAAAAAATTCTAAGCAATTTTTTTTACCTATATCTACTATTAGTTCCAGGCATAGGCGACTACTGGTTAATAAGAAATCATATGAATATAAAACTAAAAAGTTACCTACCTGTTTTAACCCACAATGGCGAGAAGAAGCCGACGTTAGTTTTAAAAAAGCTATAATAAATTCACTACTACAATTTATAATTTGTCTTTATTTTATAAGGTTAACTTTGTTCCAAGAATTAAGCTAATTAAGAGTAAACAAGGAATATTACAATACTTATTTCGAAAAAAACACAACCATCTTCATTAATAATATCTTATTTTTGATGACTTTATATCTTGGTCGTTGATCGGCCCATATATCATGTTGACTTGATATTTGAAAAGCCTGGGTTCGCCCTCTAAAACTAACCTATTTTATTCTAATACCTACGTAATCAATCCTATCAACTTCATCTACTCACTTAAATTTACGAGGAATGTCAGCATTGTTTTATCGTTAGCATTTTGGTTACTTTATTTGAAATACAAGTAGCAAAACTATACAGCTTGTTTCATATCTTTTAATTCTATTTGGTTGATAGACTACACTATCCAATATCCAGTCATGGTCATGAGCTTTATTTTAATTTCTTTCATTTTTACAGTTTAAAGGTGCCATCAATGCGAATGCTGATTCTATACTACTGCTTAAAGTTTGTTATTATGAAAAAGGAGAATACTCTAAATATGCTATAGGTAGCCACAAGACCACATTGGACAAAATTTTTGATAGAGGTATTGTATTCATCAATAAAAGAAGTAGATCAGTTATTGCAATACGCCTTCATAACCTTATAGATAAGACTTAATTTCAATCATAATCAATTTTGTCATACTTTAGTATAGATGCAATTAGATAAAAATCAATTTTAGAACTCAAGTTTCTGCGTTTTGCGTGATAATAAATTTACTTAACGTAATGATGTACAAATCGCCAGGGTTAAATATCTTTCTTACTTACTCTATTCTGTCTTGAATATAGGTCATCATTGCAATAAGTGGCTTTCCTGCGGAAACGGTAAGTCATATAAAATGCTAAGAATTTAATAAGGTATACGCATATAAGACTCTAGTTTTAAGTATCAATATGATTGTACAGCGTTAAGAATTTTTTAAGTTAACCTTGCTCTGATCGAGGGTCTTTGCTACGCTAATGAACCATTCTAGATATCTACTTAGAAATAACAGCTTCTTATCAGAAGTGGATTGGATAATGGTATACCATTTAAGTGAAATTTTACGTCTAGATAATACTATCATTTAAATGTGTAAAGGTCTACTATTAGCAAGATACTATTAGCCTTGTAATCTTATCTATTATATTATAACGTGGACATTATGCTATACGTACAGTACATCTCTTAATTGATACAAAGTTGACTGCTGATATCCTAGTGTAACCTTTATGTTGCATAGTTTATTAATATACTTTTGATATAATATTTTCATTATGGGCAATACGTTTGTAACAACTTCCTTAGTTTAAATCCTGATTAAGAATATGAATGGAAGTTTACTACCATTATATTCATCCTGTGTATCGACGTATTAACTAGTCCAACGAGAATTCTATTATACAATTATTGTATAACTAAAACAAGATTAAAAACCAAATATACAAATAATCGTCCCCAAAAACGATCTTTCTATACTGTATCAACATGCAACACGTAGCAACATCAATTAGGACAGAGTTTCGTTTGGACAGTATAGGCTAGAGCAGCAGCGATAAATCGTTCTCGTGAATGATATTCAACTTTCAACTGGAGGTATCGTGAATGCTCGTCGAAGAGAATTTTATTCAATCAATAATAATAAATAATGAGGGACAAATGTAAACTGGAATATGATTCCCTTCATATGACAATGATTGATGTCAATCCGATATTATCCTATTCTCGAATGAATGATGCCTAAGCAAAGCCACATAAGCAAATGTGATGGCGAAACAAATTTAGGCCATCAACTAAAAGGTCTTCATTTGTCCTTCATTAAACTTCATATAATATGGTAGTGAATCAGCGGTGTTTGGGCCGAGTGTTGTACAGTACACTGTACAGTGTACAGTATCTACAGTACAGTACAGTACAGTACAGTACTGTACTGTACACTGTACACGGTACTACTGTATCAACACGCGCCTGCATGAAAGTGGTGTCCATTATGCTGGATGTCCGTATAAACGACTGCATTTGCACGTTAGTTTTGGTACTGTGCTTTCTCGAAAGCGAAATAAACGACGCTGAGCGCGATCCTTTTCGTTTCAGAGAAATCAACAGTAATGTTACTACTGTATCAGCACGCGGCTGCATGATAGTGATGTCGATTGTGTTCGAAGTCCGTATAAACGACTGTATTTGCAGGTTAGTTTTAGTACTGTGCTTCCTCGAAAGCGAAATCAACGACGCCGTACAGTGTACAGTACTGAGTGTACATTCTGTACTGTACACTGTACTGTACACTCACGCCCTAGAACCTGGTATTGGTACTGTCATTACTGTCACTAGTGTGTACACTGTAGTGTACACTCGGTAGGATGGAGACAATATCATTGTAGATTTGATATTACCAGGATGAATTGAATACTTTAGCAGCGTTCAATTCTATACACTGCAAAATGGATCCAATGCAGTAAAGTACAGTATCTGTTTTGATATGACAAGGGTGGATTGAATAGTTTACCCTATTCAATCTTCCAGTCTACAGTACAGTACAGGGTAAAATTAATTGAATGCTGTAAATTATCTGGTTTCGTTCATACTGTACTGTCCACTCAGTACAGTGTACAGTACAGTACACACAGTAGTGAACTGGGACAAACTGTACTGTACTGTACATTGTACTGTACAAACGCGACTCACTACTACAGTAGCTCACGTACGGCACTCCTGGAATCGACGACGCATGCGTAGCATCAGATACTTCGTTTTCAAGGTTGAAAAAAATGGCATCTGGTTTTTCTGCGTTTCGTGCATTGGCTTCTCGCCGATTTAGCCAGGGTCTTGTATCTGGACAAACTAAACAAGCTATCCTAACAAAAAGAAATTCTTTAGTACGTTATAGCAGCTCGGAAGGCGCCGGTGCTAAAAGAGATCTTGTGAGTACAAAGCGATTTCCATCAACCCTTGCTGGCTGTTGTCTTGATAAACGTTGCAAACCGTCAAAAAAGTTGGACGGAGCTTATCATCAGAATCATACTTGCTTCCAGACAATTTAAAGTCAAAACTTTGAATACAGTAACTAGTCCTACGGAGAAACATGAGCGAGTCCTTTTCTCTCGGTTGTCTTTCCACATCAAGTCGTCTTCATTCTGTACAACCATAGAAAATACATTGCACGTCTTTGCATGGCCAGCCGTATTGCTTATAGATGACTATTGCACTTATTATACGATACCGCATTGTCGCGTGAAAGCAGTGGCTAAATGAAATTTCAGATACGATAGCATAGAACGGAATAAAGGGCGTAAATAATAATGTTGATTAGTTCTGTAAATAGATTATAGTTGATCCAGTTAACTTATTTAGTCTAGGAAAAAGTCATGATATTACTTTTTATCTAATTATAGTGAAATTGGCGGCATAGTGTCTGATAGGGCTGTAAGAATGTCTCTTGTTTATAGTTAACCATGAACCATTATTACACTTTATCCCATCAGCTGATGATTAATATAATCGACGTGCATGATAGGGGAAAGTAGAAATACGGAAATTACGCTTATTCTATATTTCTAACCACTACACACTATTTTAATTAGAAGACAAATAGAGTTTTCTCATCTCGCTGTACATTAAGTCACGATAGTACTATACTGCACGAATTGATTCAATGGTATAGTAGGTAACTGTTCAAGGTTGTTGCTTTTATGGTATTCTGCTTTCAATGGACAGTACTACGAAGCAATTCCTCAATTTAGTCTTAACTCAAGTAAATAATTAAATAATAATTGCTCATTAGTGTATATGTCTTAAACGAGTATAGCAGTTAGTAATTATATAATAATAGCGAGCTATTGAATGCGAGTAGATCCTTTATCGCCGTGTGCGCGTACATTTGTCGACGGATTTTGTTTTAAAATCATGACTACTACCTTTAGCTCATTTGTTTAGTGGCGGTTAGTGATAGTTCCACATCTTGATATTTATTGACTGTTCAATAAAAATTCTTCTTTTCAGGGTTTAGGTGGTATAGTTGGAGTCTTCGCTTTCTTTAGTGTATGCATCCTTGGTATTCCTCTAGTCGTTGGACTAGATGTTGGTCAAAAGGCGAAGGAACGTGCTCTAAAAGCGGAAAATGAATAAATATCATCTATTTGACTGCTTCACTGTTATATGTACAGTAATCTCAATATTCCTATTTCGTAACGTTTTACAACTGTTTGCTAAACAATGTCAGTAATAGTGATGGCAATATCATAGTATGACTCTGTACGCTGATTAAAAAATTGTCGGAGAACGAAACCAGCCATTCTCCGCTATCATACTATTGTACGTTATTCCAGATCACCATGCATTTGCCGGGTGTGCTTAATTTGTTAACAATTATACAAGCTTGAAGTGCCCATAATTTTACTGCCTTTGTACCTTAATTGTAGAATCTTTCTGTGATTTTCTCTAACGAATAAATGATACAATATGCAGATGCTGTAAGTTGATGCAGTTAAACGTTCATCACCAATATCATGATAGTATCAAATGAATCCTGATGGTGTGCTTCAAATTGAAGTGAAATGACGAACTGATAACTTGATTCTATTTCATATCAATCAAAGAATTTACACAATCTATTGGCAAGAATCTACTACACTCTGTGTATTTTATGGTAATACTTTTAGCATCAGTAGTTCGAAGAATTGCATGCTTGATGACGTACTAAGATAGGATATTAGCAAGTGCGATTTACACGAATAGAGCTTTTTATTACACAACGCATTTTATTTGTCATTGTTTATCGATATTAGTAACGTAATAGACGGTTGCAACATCGCGGATGCTGTATAATTAGAATCTTAAGCATACGCGTACAGGTACCAGCAATAATACATTTACATAGTTATAATTATTTTCATAAAAGTTTCTGAACAGAAAGCGTCTTTACTGCATCAAAGTGAAATTAGTCAAGCCTTTCACGTAACAGTATACACATCCCTATATATACAGTACCAATCATAAATTACAGGATTAAATACAGTAGGCCGTAGAGTTATAGAGTCATCAATATTCGTCATTTTTCTTGTCCAGAGATGCCAAAGCGTCAAGTTGAGGTCAATATTGCAGACCAATGACTGGTAGTAAGCTTTAGTAGGTTTTTCCAATCTTATCGAATATTTCAATTTTACCAGTAACTGATTGAAACGGCTAAATACCCATTTTATATTAAAGGAAAATTTGTTAACTTAGGCATTTAATAAACAATCACTATGTCTTATTTTATAACATTTATAATTCATGTGATTATCATGGTAAAAAGTAAATTACTTAAAATGATTACGACAAATTAAAGATGTTAAGGCTGCATCTAATACCTTATCATGCTTATCGAGATCGTGGTCAGTTTCCCTAAAATGATCGGTTCCGTATGCAATCCTGGAAAATTGATTAACAGTAACTTGATTAGAACACATTCTATTTACATATTATAATATGGACAATGGCATTCACCTTCCGTATGATGTCGAACCATGTAATGTAGGCTCATAGGGTATAGTTCTATGAGAAAATGGTTGAAATCTGTAAAACAATGAAATCTGAGTTAATATGAGCATCGAATTTTTTTCTACTTATTTTCTGTGAACTAGCGAAAGTTTCTTAGCAGTTAAATAAACATTTTATAACTGACTACTGAGAAAACTGTCAAAGTCTAATCATTTTAAACTTACGGTTTATCTTGTATTCGCATTCTTTTTTCAAGTTGCTTCATATAACGTCTAAAAATTAAGATCAATTGACCCATATTTAGCAAAATTATCATGATTATTGGAAATGCCACATATACTTTTAAAAGCGATATTAATTTTTACCTTGTATCATCAGCAGATGTGTAAGCAGTTTCAGCACGAAGGCTAAGATTAATTTCCTTATTGCGTTGCGTGACTACGTTCTCAGGTGATCGAAATGGTCCCTAATATTTTTATTAAATTGATATTATTTCGCACCAAAATTGGATAATTAATATTTAGTACGAGACTACCTGCTGCTTTGTTGTTTGTAACGGTGGCAATACAACGATATTCCCACCATTACTCAGGTTGTTTTTTTGTGTATATGACTGGCTTCTTAGACTGGCCATTTTAACTTCACGCAGATGATTTTCCATCTGATTAGGATATCTATGAGTAAATTGTAAGACGGATTTAATATTTTTGATGATATTTCTTATAGTACTCGTTTGTAAGTTAATAGAACAGCTTATGCTATAATAAGTGGGTTACAATAGCAATACCTATTGAAAGGAGAATTGTACACACCAGGTATCTAAAAGTATTAATGCATTCACCAAATAAATAAATAAATTAGATGAAAGGCATGGCAAATATTTCTACAGAAAAATTACCATGCATATACTAGTGCACAAACCTGGTGAGTACTAACGAGATAATGCAGTCTAGATGCATTCTCATAAAGCTCCTTTTGCTCTTCATTCTTTTGATTTTGTTCTACTTCTTCCTTAAGTTTTCTGCCCACTTCTTCAAGTCTATGTCTGCGCAGACGTGTATGAATACGTAAATTATAGATATATTAAAAGTTACCATACAGAAAGCTGAAAAATATAGTCTTAAAATTACCTCACAAATTCATTCTTTAAAGCTAATCCTTCAAGGTATTTCTTACGTGCGTAATAATTAAACTCGTATTTTCTAGTCCAATACCCTAAGTTAGGTAAAAGTTGTTGTGACAAAAATAAGCTTATTGTAGTAAGTAGTTATGCTATAGGCAGTTTCCATTTCTAATTTATCCTAAATTCTTTGCAAAAGTAGCTTTCAACAGGGAAATATATCTTAATTTGAGCAATTTCTTGAACTCAACGCACCTCTCCAAGTTTTTTGAATCTATAAAATATAACATAAATATAATGAAATTAATATTTGATTATAATACCGAAAAATACAGTGAATTTATAAATTATATTTAATTTTTGTAATACTCATTATAGCATAAAGCGATCTGAATGGACATAAGCTTATCGATATTCTCTTATCGTACATACAGACCTCTATAAGTACTGTACTTATGAAACTTCCTTGCTATTGCTATACAAGGTATTGTAAAATTACACCATTTTGTCAATAGATTACTTACAATTGTTGCCATATTATAGTAATACTTCCACTCCATCTTAGTCACAGCTTCCTACAATTTTAATTTTTTAAATAAAAATTAGTTTATTCTACAGGTGATAAGCTATGATGGATGTACTAATCTCAAAGAGTATGCAACAAAATAGTAACCTTTAATTTTATCCTGTAAGTTTTCCTAGCTCGAAAGGCCCGAAAACACCTCTGTATGATCGATGCCGCTTGATGCAAGTGTCTATAATATACAATAAGGTAAAATGTCAGTGAGGATGATCAATGATTAATAATAAAAGTTTACCTTATAATATAACGATCATTTAACAAATAACTCCATCGCTGTACAGACACGATATGAATGGGTATCAAGCGATGGTAAAAAAATTGTTGATAAAAGTGATTATAGGATTACAAACGACATATTCTTATTACTTTATTAACGCCTTGACTCTGACACCTCGATACCAACTCTGTATTACGACGACAGCACGATATTCTGTATCTCGATACTTCTCGGCTTCTCTAAAATTACACGTACAAGCAAAGAGTAATAAATGAGGTCTCGACTACTATATTCATTGAATTACTATCATCCTTTCCATGAAGATTTAATGTGGTGTAGTTTTACTTTAAAAGATCGATCGATAATAATTATAATCAAAGAAGAACTGAATGTGGTTTTCATTTTAACTACACTTTCTATGTTTGAATACGTTAGCACTTACCTTGTTGCGTCGATTAAATCATCAATAAGTCTATGTTTTGAGCACCATAACTTAACGAAGGAAGCCATTATCTATAGAATGATAATTAATTGATTACTATGAACACGAATTGTATTTTATGTTATCAATATACGCGTCTACTACTTTGCCTACAATATTAGGATCATGCAAAACTCGATCAGCACATACTTTTCAATACGATTAGAGTAAATAACGTTTTGTATATTACTAAATCGTAACTATTCGAATATAAATACGATTGCCAATACGATAAAATACTGTACCTATATGTGCCTCAAATAAGAAATGGCTTCTTTTAACCTTTTTATGTATAATATTCCAGATTGCTCTGCTTAATTTTTGTGTGTTGCAGGAGTGATGTATACTGCTTTCTTCGGCGTACTTGTTGCTATAGTAACATTTAGCACTTTATTTACCATACAGTACCATCTTAACCATGCTGTACGGTACTGTACGAGTGTACTGTACGGTACCACTGGACTGGGAGAAGACCTGGATTGATCCTGACCTCGGATGGACAGACTTTTCTTTACTAAACGAGGCTGTTAATATGAAAAATGATTACATACAGTATGTACAGTACTGTACAGTACAGTACAGTACAGTTTAGAGTACTGTACATTGTACAACACAGGATTGTACTGTACTGTAAGTAATGTACTGTACATATTGTGCAGTAATAACACTACAGTACACTGTACAGTACTTAGTATGGATCTTCTGTCTGTTTTCTTAGCGTCTGTGATCCTATGTAACTGTTTTCAAGCAGAACTTACACTAGAAGTCCACGTTAGGAATGTAAAGTACAGGGTACTGAGATGTTTAGATGTCCCTAATTATTTGATTTCAGCAGGAATCTGCGACATCGAGTCAAAACTTTAGCAGATCTTGTATGTTGTACTGTACTGTACTGTGCACAAGTGTGCAGTATTTTAAAAGTCCGATTCAAAGTCGAACTGGCACAGTATACTGTAGTACTGATTGAGAGAATGTCGAATACAGTACATGTACGTCTTATGAAAGATGAAGCAGATTGAAGCTCTCTAAAGTACTACTGAGAACAGTTTTAAGGTGATTATACTGTAGGTGCAGACGAAAGACAACAGCGAGCTATGAGAAAACTTACTTTCTTATCAAACCCAATTTTTGCGGCATCGTCAGAAGAAAATAGGAAACGTTTGCCCATTGGTCTGATCGCCACAAATTTTCTAGCTACCGTTTGTTTGAGTAGGGATCAGGCCAATGAGCACACGCTTCTTGTTTTCTTACAAGACGAAATTATTGCCCCAGCTCTACTAGAAAGCTTCATCAATATATTACTGTACTGTATACTATATGTTTAGAATTTAGAATTTATTGATTTTTTATATTATTTACTATTATAAATGGAAAATCGAATCTGTATGATAATAAACAATGTTACATTTTACAGTAATATTACAGCAATTGAGTAGTCAATGTAAAGTAATTCGGGTACAATAACATTCGTAGAGATTATCTGTGAGACCTTCACCATGGAAAAGCTGATAATAATGACTTTATGGCCAGATAATTGATGATGAAAAGGTTATTTTCGGCCAGAACAAATGACCGCATTGACTGCCTTGAAGGATTACTAAAAATATCTCCAAATTAGGACGCTAACTCAGCCTCGTACAGACGGTACGTCAACAGCACTTTCTCCCCCTTTTAATTAATTAATTAATTATTATTATGCTGTACTGTATAATTAATCAATATTAATAAATTACTGTAAGTACTGTAGCCACAGCTTCTGGGGTACTGTACTGTAAATGAGGAGGTGATGGCATCGGATGACAAACGCAAACTACTGTACAGTACAGTACAGAGCTTGTTACTGTACTGTACTAGTGCTATTGCTGTACTGTACAGTAGTACAATATTTAGAATAATTTCGTTGATCCGGATACACTACCAAATTAGCGTCAAAATGACTAATTTTAAACTTTCGAATCAATTTTGATGGCAAAAAAATCACTGATAGTCTACACCCTAGGCCTAGCAAAAACGTCAACCTCACTGATTCTGTACTACAGTATACAGTAATAAAAGTTAGGAGAAGTTGGAGGTGGAACATTTTCTCACCACTCTGAAATTGGTTTGGATCCTCCAGTACAGTACATACACTGTAGATTTGTACAGTCGTTTTGAGACTTACAATACAAGTCACCGTAGATTACGGCATAGTTACTCATCATGCTGATCATCGTCGACAGTAGGTATTTATTTACCGTACAGCCAATAGGATTGCAGCTGAATGTGTTATCTTGTGTGGCAAAGAATAGCCTATTGTTTGATATTTAAATAGATGTTTGATTCGATCGCGAGACGAACGAAACCAGCCAAGCAGCAGCATTACGTCATCAGTCGACTGTAGACTGCAGCTATCATTAGTAGCGTTACAAATGACTTGCAGAATATATAAGCATTGTCTTGATCGCACCTTACGTTCTAACATCAGTTACCAACGCCTTTTCTGCCTTCACTCTCTGGAAATGGTGAAAGAAAAGACCATCAGTTAGAACTCGGTCTATCCTGGAAAATTATTGCCGTCTTTGATTGAAAAGTGTGTAGTAACTTGAATTGTTGATTGGTATTGGATATCACAGATAGCAAATTGATTTCGATCAAGAGAACAAGTCAAGTTATCCAGTTGATTAATTCTTCAGCTACAATCCGCTCTCGTCAGGAAAAGCCAACTTTTCTTGCGGACAATACAACCACTACTGTATAGTGTTTGGTATAATACAATACAGAAAACGCCAGTGTAAATACAGTCCTATTGCCGTAGGGTATCTGCCGTTATTAAGTTATATATATATATATATACTTTTCTCATTGCGATCAAGCGACTACTTAAAGTCAATCAATCCTGATCGAATATCATCGCTCTTTCGAATTCGCTTCCAAACAGTTAACTCCGTCGAACGTCCACTTTGCCCCTTCAATTGGAGCGAATTTAGTCCATGCCAAAATTGGACTTCAAGATTTTCCTCCTCTCACTTCGAAACGGTGACTCATTGTTGGTGAATGCCATTCTTTAGGGTAATGGACAAAGGGAAATTTACTTACGGCGGCTAAAAAAGTAACGTCTGAAACTATCAAGTAAAGTTGTTCAATTCACCAAGTCCTATTTTTTTACTTGGATATTCAAAGTCAATTTGGTTGTACACGTTGAGCGAATTAAATTCATCTCCATAAGTAAACGGATTGATATCGTTCAAGTATCTAAATATACAAAAAAAAGAACTACTATTATTATTGTGATCTGTGAAAGCTAAAATAATTTCAAGTTGTGTACAGCACAGCTTGAAAGTAAACAAGTTCGAAAAGTCGAGCTTCAAGGTGACGATAGTTAGATCATTCCTAATCTACTTTGTATTGCTACCGAGAAAATATATAAACACCTAAAGTCTTTTTTATTATATCGATTCGACTAGCGTACGTAGCCTACGTTCGATACTGTTGGAGTGCAACTGCAATATACATATTATTCATCAAATTGTCAAGCCATACGGTACCGTATTCATGAGCTTCTGCAACTAAAGCTAAAGCAACAAATGGTAGATTACTACATGGCCAACTTTTCTAATTGCTTTACTAATGTTACTAAATCGCCCAAATTAATAATCCCATCTAGCGATTTAGCGACAAAATGCTCTCTTGCTTCGTCAGCAAATGCAACTAATTCCCCTCCACGTAGCCCCTCGCTATGCCTACAAAGTCAATTTTTACCTAGAGCTCCTTATCTTAACGGTACGACAATGGACCAGGGAAAATCGAGCCCCATCATCGGTCGAAATGATGGCGCATCACACTTTTATGTATTCAAACCATTTAATAAGCATGAACTACGCAATGGCCATGTTTTGTCGGATGATGAAGGTTACGGAGGATCGCAAGAAGAAAGTCCTACGACTGCAAATCCAAATCCTGACCGTCTTAATCAACACGTATTTTTACGACCTATAAAGATGGCTCAAGCCTATGGCGATTATACTAATGGATCAATCAACGAAAGAAAAATTATCCCAGACAGTGGTACTGGTACTCCTGTAGTAGAAAATTCTGAATCACAAGTTGTAAGAAATACGGATGCTACTTCTAATGGTGTTGGTAATGAAAAAGCAACTCTACAATTAATAACGAATCGCCGACCTCATTCATTATCTTATTCTGCTGGTAGCAGTTCTAATATTTGCGATTCAATGAGAGACAAAAAAGCTCGAAAATCGAAATTTAAAGGTAAAATCAGAAACTGTAGTTTTGCATATTACTCCATCAATTTAAACCATGAAATATTGTAAAGTAGAGTCCAAGAAAGCGCTACTGTGTAATATAATAAATATACTGTCTATACTCGTACTGACAGCAGGTCAAATTTGTACAAGCTGTCGTATAGTATTGTAAATCCAAGAACGATGCTATCGGTATGACTTGGTATGACTTGACTAATCCCGGATAATTCCGCATTAACATTTTTATAGGTCATTTAACACTATCTGTATCTCATTATTCATGTCCTGTTTCGGATCCGACGCAATCATCCCCTTGTCAAGATGAAGTGCCTGCAACTCGCATTTTAAAATTTCTATTCTTAGGTAGTGAATCAGATTCGATAAACGAGGACTTATTAGATCGTTTGAATATCGCTTTTGTAATAAATGTTACTGCCAACTTGCCTAATGTCTTTGAGCATAAGCGTAAAGATATCAAGTATTTTAGAATCGCTGTGAACGATAGCTCTAGAGAAGATATTAGTAAACATTTCGATACGGCCTTCCATTTTATCGGTTAGTATGCTATATCAAATATAGATAGTTTAGAATAGTGTTTTAAATGTAAAGTATATTATTAGATAGACTACGTGTCCTCGGAGAGTGGCATACAATAAATCGAGGCTACAATATATTAAATACCTATATCGCTTCAATTTCTAATAAATATATGAGTAGTCAGGACGCTCCTCTCCAAAATATTGAATAATCATTAAATTTGAATATAATGCAACTAAGTCAGCAGTTTAGCATGGTATTGCGGAACTTACTTTAGCTCCATTGAACGTAGTTGTTGATACAAAATGTGCTTTGCCTTAATGATTTTAAATCGCGGTATCTATAATCTAATTTTGACTACTATTTTATAGAGTTAGCTCGCCTTTCTGGTAAAGGTTGCTTGGTACATTGTCAAGCCGGTATATCACGATCAACAACTATAGTGGTGTCTTATTTGATGAGACACAACGGACATTCCTTCGATGATGCTTATAAATACGTGAAGAAGATGAGACCAATTGTATCACCTAATATCAGTTTTGTTGGAGCTTTAAAGATGTACGAAGACACGATCGGCGGCAGTCAGTTGGCACTTGAGTAACAATTGGTAATTAACTGACCTGCTGTAACTAGGTTGCTGGCTTAATCAGAGATTGAGCGATCGTCAAGAGTTAAATCGCGCTGGAAATAGCATTTCTTGCGATAACTCGAATTGTTATCATGTTTTGTGATCTAAGTAATATGAAATAACTATGCTAGGTTGTATAAAAAAAGATTATCGTTGCATTTTTTAAAGCTGCAGCCTGATAATATTAATACGGTCAAAATACTGTAATGTAACATAGTCAAACGAACACCGTAATATTTATTTCATGATCATCTGTTGACTACTTTGATATAGCAAGCAGTTTAGAATTAGATGAATTTTGTACAGTCCGCTGAAGGAAAAGTAGATATCCAACAATATGTATAATTTAAATCACCAATATCGTTACAGTAAAGCAAACTGCACTTAAGTCTGGAAATTGAGTGATTTAATATAACTAACCATTAAATCTGAAATGTAATGGTATGTTGCTTCGCAGTATCAACATTCATTGTTTTCCAAAATTGTAGAGTAATATTAGTAGGTAGCTCTCCTGGTATTCATTTGCTGTAGCAATAGCATTTTGTGGCACAATTTGGCTGAATTGTTAGTAAATACTGAGTTAATCTCACAACGGCTGTATTATTCTGTTTGTGACTATCATTTGTTCATGCCTTAAGCAAGAAGGGGCTTATTACTTGTGCGCTCGCATTTTTTAATATAATTCCCTTGACACAGTTTAATGTTAAATTTTGATTGATTTCATCTTTGAAGCAGGGTATTCTGTTATTTCTTATGGTCAAAACTATTACGGTGTTACATAAGCAAGACATAGTACGGTATCTTTTATCCAGTGCTTATAAGCAAATCTGAACTTGGCGTTATTTTGAAGAAGTTATAATTGCCATAAAGCCTTTAATCTCAATTCATCTGTGCTCTGCGAGCATATATTCGATAACGTAGCTTAATTATTTTATCTCTAAAAAGAACTACCCTATGCTTGTACCTGTACGAATTTAGTTAATATAATATTAGCAAAATTGGTATAAGGTACAATATTTTATTAAATTAATCTTGTTTTGCATGTATTAAAGATTCAGTGTAAAACCTACAGAAATGATCATAGCTATGTGTGGACTAGATTACCATTACGGTAATATAGTAATCAGATGGTTAATAATATGCGATGGTGTACTTTAATTTCACATCGTATCTTGTATCATAATAAGCCATAAGGATGCACGATTCCTGATACGAATATCTATCAACAATGTTCAATGTCCAATTGTCCATGGATAGGACCTTGGCAATAGGTTCAATGTGTTCAGGAAATTATAGTCAGTATCCCATATACTTTTATGGGCTGACATTTAGGTTAGAAGTACTGTACATCTGTTTACGGTTAAAGCCTTGTTTAATAATCATAATAATAATAAACTACTGTATTACTCACACGTTATTGAATATGCAAAGACACGAGTCCATATGGTAGCGTCACTATGATTACGTCAATTAAATTAGTCTACACACAGTCAGTTGATTGACTCATATGATAATTTTATATCAATTCCACGAAATGCTCTGGTATATACTATAAATTATCTGAAATAAAGACAATATTGCATAACTATGTTTTGTCTTTCTGAAATTCTGGTATGACTCATAGTTATATATATATACAGTTATAAGGAGAGAGCTCTATTAAAAGCGATGGCCACCTACTGATATATACGCCATGTCTTGTACTCTCAGTATGGTGTTGGTAACAATAGCGTGCTGTTCATTGAATAGAAATCATCTCGGTGGAAGTATTGGCCGGATTTAATTAGTACAAGTACCATACGTACAGTACATCATATTTAGGCTATTATTATAAGATTTATCTTGGAAGCACTATTTGACATACCAAAATGTAATGAATCACCACTAATTATCCATAAATAAGATAAATCCAAACGACGGCAAGTATAGTATATGCCGCAATGTTTACAAAAACAGATTATGACGTAAAATAAGACAGACTCATTATCATTTCCATTTCTATTTACGTTGTACTGTACATGCAGGGAAAGTTAATGATTTTGTTTCTGATTTGTTTCCTAAAATTACGTAAGGAATGCAAAAAATGTACTTTTAAGGTCCCTGCTTTGATAACATGAGTAATCAGTGAAATAGATTTTTTTTTAGTAAACTAATAATGTATTAGTTAACGTACAATTAAATTCTCGAATACTCGTATGTTTCCTAGGTATTTGACGATATGGGAAAGTGGTCATCACGTAGACCAATTGATTTTAGAAATATTTTATCACCAGAAAGATCGAATTCATGAATAATAAAGCAAATAATTACGGTACAATATCTGCATTATTTTCAGTGTTATTACTCTTATATTAATAGAAATTTTAGCTGATAAAACGACATTCAACATAACTTGATTTACAGTGGTGTTTCATGTCGGAAAGTTTTACTGATATTATGACATCGCGCGGTCAAGATGAAAATATTAGAAAGTAGCAAGCGTTGCCTGGGTGTTCTACTGTTGGCGACTGATATTCATATCTGTAATAAAACACCATTTCTAAAATCGATTTTGTTCTTAATCCCCTAATAAGGCTAATCACACCCAATGCCAGAAATTCTGTCATCCCTAAACAGAATACGCAACCGCGGTAGCACTATATTCCAAGTACTCGTATTTCCTGTACTGGATTCATAGAACACAGTCGTAAAAAAAGATTTTATCGTATTTATTTTATTTTATATGTCATATTATGAAAAAATTTACGATACCAATCAAATTATTAATCAGTATCATTTTACTGGATGCTTAAATCCAGTTTTAAATTATGACAGCATTACACTGCAGTAACTGCCTATCAATTCTACAGTTCACCCGTACTTTGGAGAGAACTAAACGCGAACGGTTGCGTACAATTTTTTCTCGTTAATGCTGCTTTTGTATAAACTCTGATATTGTTGTAGTAAATGAATTGTAATGCTACATTTCACGTAAACTGCAAACCCTCACCATTATTAGTTATCATTTATGGATTGATTGATTTGAACAACCTAGTAAATTAAACGTACCGTGATATAATCACCTAGCACATTTCTTCAGAAGTATCCATGCTAATTCGTAAAGATGGTGTACGTAGTAATGATGCAATGGATAAGATAAACGTAAAAATATAGTTCTAGAAGCTTCCTCCTAGAATATCACCCATTATCTTATCGTAGAGTTTAACCATGTTGATTGTTGTAACACTATATGAGAGGTTGTCAATAATCTAAGTAAGAAATACTATGGCTAATAAAGATATATGGATTTCAACAATATCAATGAATGCACTGTATACATGTTCAACATACACATATTTAGGCATAGGAGTTTGCAATAATGCAGCACCATTAAACAAGTGACAATTATTCTTACGTAATTTTAGAAACTCACTGAAAAGTCTAAATGTCATTACAGGAACCCTTCTCATTTAAAAATGGGTAAGCAAGACTGTTTTGGAAAATCGCATGATATAATTTGTATTGCGCAGTTGTATAGGCTTCAAATCACGCCATCTTACAATGCTATCCCGCATACAGTATCTAAACAGATGCAAAATTAAAAAATAAACATCATTTCTTCTCAGGGTATTAGAGCTTGTGATGAATGTAGGTATAACCCTGTGGTGTTTATTTTTAGTTTATAACACTTAAGTGCAAAAGAAGGACATTTTAAAAGTACGATACATCTGGAAGATTACAATTTATCGATTCTTTTTTTTTAGCAATGCTACGTATACATCTGTCAAATTACTGGCTGATAGAAGAGTTTGAACACACGCTGTTACTATAACATATAATAATCTAATTTAATCGCAAATTTCCGATGCATTCAAGAAGTAAAGTTTAGCAAATTAATATTTTGAAATTTAATACGATAAAGCGTAAATGTAAGTGTAGAAGCTAAAAGCTGATACAATAGCTACAGTCTATAATAAAGCAGTAAAGGGTAGCAAAAATTTGAATATAGCAGAACCTTATGTAATTTAAATCTTAATTCAAGTAATTTGCTATTACGTCCGTGTGGCACTACAGCAGTAATACTGTATAAACACCTATAATAACAGTTATAATCTGTCAATGCCGTAAATAGAACTTATAGTTATGTTGAGTATTAATAGTAAATCTGTGGCTGAGTTAATAAATTGGGTCTGTAATCGATGTAGTGCTAGTTGATACCATATTATTCTTTAAATGCTAAATATTAGAATATTACATTACATGATTATATTATTTATAGCGAAAGAATTTTTCTAATATTTTAGAAATAATTTAATAATCCCTACGTAGCCATTACTCATTCCATAATTTATCATTAGTCATACATAGGCTTGCCAGCTGCCAAATATTACAGGCAAACTTATTCTTACCAGATATTAGTCATTTGGTTTAATTACTTATGACTCATTCGCTTATTACCGGTAATTTAGATTGAATTATACGAAATCCGTGTACAGTTTCCGATAATGATACCTTAATTATTACCGTATCAAACCTATCTAATTTTTGAACGCATTTTCGGATGTATCTATTATAACCGTTTTACCTACTTATAAGGTATACATATAAGGTGTGATTCGTAAATCATTACTCATAAGCCTTAAAAGCTGTAAAATCCGTGCATAATGACCGCTATTGATAGCTTTATTATTATCAAAATATCTGGCTCTTGAATACATTTTCGATGTATGTATTATAAAGTCTTTACCTATAAGATATATATATAAGATGCGACTTAAAAATCATTACGTATAAGCTTAAAAGCTGCAAAATCCAATCATAGTGACTGATATTGATAGTTTAATCATTAATTATCAAAATTATCTGGCTCTTGAATATATTTTAAGATGCATGTTTTTAAACTTCAAACCTATAATATATCTAAGGTATAATTCAAAAGCCATTGCTCATGAGTTTATAAGTTGTAAAATCTGTTCATTGTGACTGATGCTGATAGCTTAATCATTATCATAACTATCTGACTCTTGAAAACATTTTCGGATGTATGTTATAGAGTCTGTACCAATAAGATATATATATATAAAGTGTGATTCATGAATTATTATTCATAAGTTTATAAGCTGTACAGTTCGTGCATAGTCACCGATATTGATAGCTTAATCATTATCAAAACTATCTGTCTCTCCAATACATTTTCGGATGCGTTATAAACATTTTACTTATAAGGTTTAATTCATCAGCCATTACTCATCAATTTATAAACTGTAAATCATCGCTGACGTAATGCTGGATAGATATCAAGACTATGCATATGGAGTCGATGTATCATAAATATGGATTGTGATTTCTGAGAAGTTAACAATAATTATAACCTCGTTATTAATCCTAAATACGTGTTCAACGAGATTTAGCAGAATATTGCTTCAGCAGATTCATGGCTGATAAATAGACTAACAGAAAAACATGCTGCAGAAATGCTATTGCATGAAGGTTAGGCTAACATATATATTAAATTGTATCAACGTATTTCTACAGATGGATGTAGCGTACGAGGTACCGCTATACTTTTATACGCTACTGTATGAAAGCCTCCGTGTCCACTTCAAAGTAATAGTTCCCTTGTATTTGGCTATAGCAGTACGATTTTACTTTCTCAGAACATATGCGATACAAGGAGTATGTATATAGTGATACTCTGAGTGAGGTTTAGTACAGTAAAATCTGTATGATATTTCTGTGATTGTAGAAAGCAAATATATTATGTATCAAGGCAGTAGAGGCAAAATTTAGCTTCAAATTATTCACACTATAGTAAAATGACAGAATGTTAAGTCACTGAAAAGGTGTCCTTTCGTCCCTTTGTAGGTATCTGTGTGAAAATTAAGTTGAGATCAAATCGACCTTCCAGTATCTCTACAATGATTTATTATCCATTATAATTATCACTAGTCGCCACGGATCGTCAACAATCCATCATCTCTTCCAGGTGTAAACTATAAATATATTTGACTAACATAGGTGTAGCCTTGACTACAGTATATTGTACTGTGTTAAAGCCGAAAATCAATATTAATGACTAGCAAGTTAAAAAAATGAAGTTATCCCTAATATTTGGAGATATAGTAAATGATCCATGCTGTGATGAATGTAAATATGGTTTGTATTAGTAGTTTCTATAGCGCTACATTGTTATCAACTATTATATTGTACAGTGCGTATAGACCGTATGGTATATTTAATTATATTTTAATTAATTATTTATCTCAAATTATCAAAGCGCAATATTGTAGTAGAGAATCTACTAGTTCAATTCCAGATAACCAGCGTTACAGCGATTTCATATATAATTATTCCCATGTAGAAATTTCTGACGATACTATGATTCACAATGCGTGATTGTATTTATGTCTATGATGAATTGACACATAGCTGCAAGAAGTATCGTATTTTAAAGAATAAAATGCAATGACGATGAAGTCAATTGCTTCCCATGCTTTCTTGAAGATATAGTCATGATATCACACACTGTGTTGACCACATTGCGATTGATTCACATGACTTGCAGTCTATCGACGTATTTCACCAAAAAAGGCACAAAGCAATGGTTTAAAATGTAGAATCAATAAAAGCTGTTGCAAAGCACATGCATTTTATCCAATGATGTCACCACGCAATCGCAAGTGGCATTAAGAACTCATTATTGACCAGATGGATCATGGATCAATCAATTAATGTGTCGGTAGCAAACTATTGCATCTTCAATATGCGCCTAGCTCGCATGTCTATGCATCTATTTTGAGTATGTTCTGGGGTGGTCTATTGAAGTCGGTCAAATGACTTCAAAAATAGATCACTATTGCTACTCTAAAATGCCGAAAGACAAAAAATCAATTTTACAGGGAAGAAATAGTCGCGTGGGTGGAAATTCTTCTCCTTGACCGATCGTCTATTAATGATGTTGGTACTAGTGTGCCAATATTCAGATCGTATTGTCCTACAAGATTGCATACGAGAGACGAAAGAGAGAGTAGTGATTTAAATCAAGTGAAATACCAATACCATAACGACTGGTTACAAATATAGTCTAAATATGCCAATTATTTGGCCATGCTATGTGTACAGTATACTATGCTACCTAGCTAGGACACAGCTGGATGTAACTACTTTCTAACTTTGTACCTCCCATTTGATTACGTTTAGATGGTCGCCACGACGACAAAATGCTACAATTCTGTTGACAAATGCGCTTGACCAATCATAACTATTGCTCTTTACCGCCATACCGTGGAAGTAATCAGTTAAGACGCTCTCGACTAAAGTAATTACTTCTCTTTAGTTCCATGATTGGTCCAGCGTTGCCATGGTAAAACGTATTTGGTCACGAGTTGCTTGGTAGCTTTTGTACTTTCAGTGTACAGAAGTTGAAATTACTGAATGTCTGATCAAAAAACTTCCAAAGGGTCTTTATTTTTATCTGTCGACCGTAACTATAATTGTGAATTAACTTCTGTATATATACAATTCAGACAATTAAGATAAAGTCCTAAGGAATCGCTATATTGATAATTGCCTTGGATATTAAACTGGAATTGATAAAGCAAAGATTCATCGACTGCAGTCGACACAAGACAAATTTTGATCATCGCATCGAATAAGCTTTTAAAATTGATTCTAGTTTACATGATTTTGTAATAGGATAGTACTCACTTGGGAACTGATTGGTATCTCCTTCTCCATCAGTAAGTTTTGTTCATTTTTAGAATTCAATGCTAATAATGATTAGAATAACAAATTTAAAAGTTACCTTTTTCACCTATCAATCGGCAACTAATTCATTGAATGCATGAATTCAACTGACTTTTGGGGGGTAGATAAAAAATTATCCCTTCTGATTGGAAACGTTGTACTCTATACTCTTCTACGAACTTGTGCTTGTAGTTATACCTAACCGATCATAAATATCATCTCGTACAGTTTTTTATCCTGCTAACTATGAACAAGAATCAACGACTAAACATGATTATAAGCTATTATCATCGATTAGAGAATCAGTCTTGTTAACATGAACTTACTTATAACTTCAGAAACGGTTACTGCTAATAATTGATCGTAATACTAAAGGTTAATACTGTAATAAGATTCAATCGTTTCAAATGATTAAAATACAGTACTTTCTATCTCTGTAAGATCAATCATCATGCTTTGGCTATACTATGCAATACTGCGGCACAAAAATGTATTACGTTTTCTAGCATCGGCATGGCTAGGAAACTTCGTTACGTTTACCCTTAATTTTAGATTAATTCGGTTACTCAGACAATTCATTGCCGTACTGTGCATTCCTATTTCCATGAAAAACTTTTAATGAAAGCTTAAATCGACCGTCTATTGCCTTATAGCCGAGAAAAGTGAAAGCCACTGATGTTACAGATTCGACATCAATTTTGAATATAGTGTGAATTATTGAAGTGGCTTCTTGCTTCATGAATACATCTTTATACTATCATTCTTCGGTGATAATCGATGCTGTGTAGGATAAATCGTAACGAGATGATAACAGATGCGATAAAAAGAATTAAACCAAGACTTAGTACATTTATATTTGACAGTAAATATTGCAGAGTGGCCCAGCACTTATTATTGAAACGTAATAGTGCTACAAATACATAAAGCGGCATATAGGAAAAGAACGGACATCAAAGTACCTTATTACTTTGTAGCACTTCTACCTTTAAATTGTCTCATTAGCACTAACCTATTACTACAATCGCTTTGAGAAAGGCTAACATAAATATTTTTTATTACTTTAGAGCTAGCTTTTATTTCCTTACAACATGATGCTATATATCTTTATTGTTAAAACAAACCATTACGAAAAACAGCTAGCAATAATTCAAACTAAATTCTTCGTTTGTACACGTATTTGATGCAATCACTTTGACACACTAAGGATAATTGAAAATTTAATAACTAGTAGACTACTTCAACATGCACTATTGGTCATACATGTATGTTTTATTGAAGATAATGTACAGCGTTTTCTTTGGCTAAAAGCAAACTGTACGTAGTTTGCAATTTCTTATCCTTTATTACTGACGACTATTACTATGATGATGTTAATAGGTTCATCGCCCTTGTCACTTTGTAACCGCTGACTAGCATCAGAGTGACAAAAAAAAGAAAATATTTTAAAGAATTTTCTACATTTAGCAATGATGGCAAATCAAGAGGAAACAGGTAATAATCGGCAAAAGCAGTTTTTATCATTCTCTGCTGATGCAGCTACTTTGGCATCCGCACTACAACAGCACAAGAGACCTCAACATGCTAAGCATAATTTATCCCAGAGTTGTTTTGCGTTATTTAAAAGCAATGGAGGTGATGATGACTTAACCAACTTAAACTGGCTACAGTCAACATCTTTAATCAATAATATACCAACTGTATTAGCAACTGGTAATCATGGCTATCGTGCAAGCTTATCAGGCCATTCAAATAAGAGGAATCATCATGGTCATTTTAGGAGTAAATCGGCACCCACTTCTTCCACATCAAGCTTAAGATCGACTGTAACAGCTGCAGCTGCCCATAAACGTGCTAGCCTTGGCAATCACAATAATAAACATGTTGACAGCGACGATAATAAATATGATAGTTGTCATGATATCAACTGTAAACCGCCTTATTCATTTCCTTCATTAATTTTTATGGCTATTGAAAACTCATCTCGTAAAATGTTACCTGTTAAAGATATTTATACATGGGTTTTGGAGCATTTTCCTTACTTCAAAAGTGCCCCTACTGGTTGGAAAAATTCCGTTCGTCACAATCTATCGTTGAATAAATGTTTTAAGAAAGTCGATAGAGAAAAAGGGCAGGTAAGATAAGAAAAAATTGAGTATTCAAATTGATGTTAAAATAACTATGATATCATTAACATGCCAAGATCGTGCCTGGAGTAACACTTAAGGCCCAAAATTGAGCACAATCTAGAGCCATATCGCCAAAATTGATCACTACCATAAATTACTTTTTGCCTTAAATATTTTTAATGTTATAATAAGTAGTCAAAACACAAATTGAATTACATACTAAATGGCTTCTGCTATATTACTTAAATATTTTATTCCCCATTGATAAGGGATCTATCAATTCCTAGCTAATAACAAAACATGAAAAGAGTGCTAACGACATCGATCTGCATAATTTTGTATGCTAGTTCCTAACGCAATTTTCTCGAAAGTTCATTTTTTCTTAATGACTCAATTGTTATAAATACTTGTTAACCGCTAAGTTCGTAACAATTAGCTTAAAGGTTTATCTTGATATCACAGATGTTTAGCACCAGAATAAATTTAAAATAATAGTATTGTTTTAAAATCACAAGCAGGTAGTGAATACTTCAATACTACGAGTATAATCAGTTTTATTCAGTTTCACAAGATGTCCTGCAATAGCACTCCGTTGGGAACCAAACTCGAGCCTTAACTTACACTTAAAACTTAAAGGCATTTAAGCGTTTATTTACGTATTCAATAATAATAGGACATAGCTTATTAGAGTTTACTACTTTTAGCACGGAAGCAGAAAGGTTCTAAATATAGACGCAACATAAACACACTGTAAATCAGCATGATTATAAGTCATAGTAACACAATCAATTTCTAGAGGTCTCCATTTAATTTTCGTAGCTACAGTAGATCTAATTGCGATTTCATCGGATTAATCATAATAATTATTATTATGAGAAAAATTGTGTTGTAAAAGACCATTTCTCCTTGATATATAATGGCTCAATCAATCCTTGTGACATCTGTCTATGAATTTATTATAATTTTTGTTGCATTTCTCCAGTAAAAATTGGCAATTTGAATAAATAGATACGAAGGTCACAAAAATTCAATGAAAGATGAATATATTAAATTCACTTTATAATATGATTTAAAATAGTGAAATAGATGAGATGAAAATGTATCAGTCCTAAAAATTATTATAGCATAAAGCCAGATAATACTTTATACTAGTAAAACTTTTCCTCACATCTAATTATGTCGTAAAATCGTGAGTTATCTAATAGAATTCAGGCATCTAGCCGCAATATAAAAGAATACTGTATGCTTTATAATATTAAATACGATACTTGATGATGAAAGTACATATACCTTTGTTATAATGGTAGTATGAAGTATTCCCAGTACAATATTCGATATCAGACATAAATTTTCTCGTGCTCTTGTTGTAATATATACGTATATTGTATTTATGTACAGATAATTGTAATTATGTTCATATCATGGTACTTTATAATAATATTAATAACTTAAAGTATGGAATATTTGTAACTAATGCACTTGTATCGTCCTATATAAACATATTATGGAACTAATCGTATTATCTTTGATCGGCTCATTGTACTTTATCATAAGATGGCTATAGAATGTCAAAAATTGTAGCTCTTTACTGAATAAAATCCTATAAAATATTTCAAGCAATAATAAATAGACAGCTTCGTCGTATGCTGTCTTACAACACTGCAGTTTGTATGATTTTATTTACTAAAGATAAATGCTTTATATTTTTTATCATAAATTATAGGCGGTTGGCAAAGGGTCATTATGGTGTGTAGATCAGGAATATCGTCCAAATCTATTACAAACTCTGAAGAAAACTTCGTATATGACATTTAAACGACAAGCTGGAAATATCAAGTAAATAGAAATTTAGATTATATACTACAGCAACGTTGCCACGTTAGCAACATTCAATCGAATTCTAAGACTTATTTTTTGGTTTCTATAATTATATTAAATATTATAATTCAATTTTCAAACTTAACAGCCTAGGCAATGAAAGCCAATCTAGCCTAATCAAAGGTAATTTTGTAAAAATAAAATCTTTTAAGAAGTAATATTACCATCATTTTACTAATCTAGTACGATATGTTTCTTACAATGAATAAACGAAATTGAACTCTGTTTGATTCTAGGTTGTGAAGGAGAAGAAATGAATTTAAACAATGATACGGAGGCTGTACAAAAATCGGAAACGCTTTCAGGTAGTCATTTCCTTAGCTTAGTGAATGGATTTATATTTAACAATATGTCTTCAGTATAGACAGCTTTATTAGAGACATTTTTGTACAATAGTATATGATTTCACTTATTTAAAATTATTATCTAACATTATTCATTGGGAATTATTAGAATCACAATCCGAAAATGTTTCAGATCAAAGTAAAAATCATCTATCCTCCACTGATAGCCATGATCATTCCGAAAAGTACGGCAAACTAATAACTATTTCTAAGCAGCAGCATATTCAATTACAGTTAACATTATCTTTCTCATTTTATAGAAACCAATCCGATGCTGTTACAAATAACAAAAGCCTAGCTCCTGGTTTGGTGTCACTAGCTGCTGCAGGAGCAATAGTTAATGTACCAGGAAAGAAATCTATTTCTACTGTCAGCAATGACACAGGAAAACAGTTAAAGACTGAAGACAATGAAATGACTGAAGTGGATGATGGATTTATTGAATCAGACGTCTTAAATAATAGTTTCACTGCGGATGAGGATGAAAGTAATACTAATAAAGGGAGTAGCTTATGCGATAGTGGATACGCAGCCGATGATGTCAATATCGATTTATCTACCAGCAACAGTAGTCTACCACATAAGAAGAAATTAAAAACTTGCAAGGACCCAGTTGAGATGGATTCTTATGCGGGCGCTGGCGCACTATTAGATTTAGCTAGTTCTGCACCAAAACCACTCAAAGTGTAGCATTAACTTCTTCTACTGTATTAAATAATATTATAATAAATAGAATTTTCTGTAATTTGGGATCTTGGATACAGTCGTTCCATGAATAATACATAGTCCTTTGGTGTTAACTCACTTTCAGCTCAAGTCCGTTGAAGTTTTATAATAGCAACACATTTGATCATAGGTTTCGGGTTGAATTATTCAGAATTAAATATTATTAAAGGTTTAAATTTAAATTTTATCAGATTGATATCAGCTAAGTGTATCATATAATCTTACCGTGGATATCAAATCTTTTGTACATTATGTTTATCTACGAAGTAACTGTATTAAGAGTTTTATGTAATTTAAACGAATTATTTCGTTAATCAAATCTGATAAAATGATTTTACGTTCGCCGTTATATAGAGTACTCAAAAAACGGTACAAATGAAGTCTAACGTTACAATAATTTCATAAATAAATTTATAAAGTATGTAAAGTATTTGTAGTGAAGGTAATGTAATTATACTATATAAGCATTTCTGCTGATATTTATTAACTGACCCAGGTAAGAAATTGAATCGAAATTTGAATAAATAAATAATAATTATAACGGATAGCAATTTATGTAATAGCTGGCTAGTGATGAATCAGCTTTCTTTGCCACAATGGCAATGTACGTATGCACATTAATAACTTTTTGCATGTAGCTCTTCTTGTATTATGCATAATTTGATCATTGGCCATTTTAAATATACAAAAGCTGGTTCGTATTGTTGAATAGCGATACTAAATTCTAACTTGTATATTTACAGCTTTTATGCAGTGGATGTTACATCGAGCAAAAATTCGTCAGTTCACTAATAAATAAGCTTGTACTAAAAAATTGTGAATTGTCTTTTATTTGCACAGATATAATGTCAAAATAGAATCGATACAGCAATTCTTATTATATATATATATATATGCATACGCGTACATTCGCAAGAGCAAATATACTGTACATCAATAATACACGGAGTAAAAGTGTCAATTGCCTACTCGTCAGATTCTTATTCAGAAAGTAGTTAGTCTCGCTCTAAGACAGTAATTGATTAATTTTTGAAGTAATGTAACTTTTGATCATAAAGTTACTATTATTCTTCTCAGAAAGATTAAATCCTCTAATTGTAATTAATTCGCTATTGTAAATAGTTCCTACACAGAATTGAGATCAGTAGGAGACGTAGATCCGCACATCTAGATATCGGATTGTAAGTGCTTTACAGAATATGAAGACGTTACAGTTCACTTCAATGATAGGTCTGTAATAAGTACTTTTCAAAACACTTACATAAGTTCACCAATAGAGTTATTTGATTACGAAAATGAGATTATTATCTCCAAGATTAGTAGCAATCAAAGAAATGTAGAACAGAATGAAGCAGAACAGCATACAAAAGAGTAGTTATCAACCATATATCAAGTTGACAATAAACACATCAAATACCGTAGTCTATTAATTGTACAATGAGTAACACCATCATTTCTTACTAAATGGTATGAAAATGAAGTTGCTTCAATTTGCTTCCAAAAGTCAAACGTTATAGGATAAGACACTTCGACGTACTGTATTCAAGTTATATAGAATACAGCTTATGAGACAGTAATAATTATAGTTTTAGCTGATATTACTTGGAGCCTGTTGAGAAGTTCATAAACTGTACCTTGATATGCAGTTGCATTACGATAAAATTTTTTATCAAATATGCATACAAAGATTGATTTCGATACTATTAGCACATTTGAAAATACTTCATGTACAATAATTTTATAATTACTATAATAAATGTTGCTTCATTGCATGTTGTAATAAAATTTCCACTATACCATAAGATTTTCGTTCTAATTAAACGACTTAAGATTGGCTTAAAAGTGTATCGCGATATACAATAGTATATGGAGATATTAACGTTTAATTACTGGATAACTTTGGCGTGATTGTAAAGACGTTAATTCTTAAATGCCTGGCTATCTGTAATACAACTACCCAGCAGTAATGGAGAACATCATACCAAGAGAGTACCTACATGGAAAATAACGAACCAAATAAACTAATGGTAAAGGATAATTTATAATTTTTACTTGGTACAGCTTCACTTACCGAACAAAATAATAGTAACATGTAAGGGTTAACTATGTTGCCAAGGTAAATATTTAGAGCCAATAAAATAGGAGATATCATAGCACTATCTGCAAATCCCATAGCACTTTTTGACATATGAGCTACCTTTAAATAAAAATACAAAAGGAAAATGTCATAAGAAGCGTATACTCAATTGTCGCAGCAACTATGTAAGCTATGCTGACCACAAGTCGCATTGTTAACTTCGCATAGGCAATCGATACGCCCAGGACAAGCAAGGTCGGATGCGTTTGTAATATATCAGATTTTGCACATATATAAGCAAATACAACCATCATAAATCCAATTGGAATTGCTGGTGATATAACGCTGTTACCCTATTAATTAAGAATATAACGAAGTGGACCTAATCATTAAAATTGTTTCCTAGAATTATAATTCACTTAAGACAAATACTTACAGCAATAGTTGTTCCATTTTTTCCTGGACCTCCTCCTAGAACGGCTCTTAAATGTAGACCAATTGTTATTAATCCCCCTGTTATAGAGGAAATAACTATGGCTTCCTTAATATTAAGGCCAGTATTCCAGATCTGAAAGTTATTGATAAAAGAATGCAATTAGTGCTAGTAGCTAAGATAGGACAGCGTTTCCACGTTTAATATTACTTTTGTATTGAGTGTCATACAGACACGAAGGGGGTCATAAAAATATTTGGACTCAGTCAGTCCGTCTAAATAGTATTTATACGCGTAGAATGGATCAAGAATCAAATTAAATAATGAGAGCAATAACATATATGTGATTATTTTATACTGACAATAATCTTGTAAGCTTACGTCCATGACCGTAAAGTAAATAAAACTTTTTAGTTATGGACAGTTTTCTAACCTGAAATGACCAAATTTGCGGGCCGTAAATCGATGTTAGTATGAACATCGTAATGACAATCAATTGAGCTTCAGTCACATCAAATCTACAGTAAAATGCGAAATGCATGTTTTATGTTCATTGAACCAGTTGTGGAAATCAAATTCAATGTAGACCCATTTCGCCGATGAACTTTATAGAGTAACTTTAGCATTATCGGCAAAAATGAGCTGTACTTAGAAATGGTAATCATTAATAATAAACATTCTATCACAGAATTAGAGTATGTCCAGTACTATATGCCATATGAACATAATTGATCATAATCGATAAGGAAAGCAAAACAAAAGAAAAAATCAATTTTCATCTTTAGGACATATACTCTGTTATTATGGACATTAACTTCTTTGTAACTAGCAAATAGAATCGCTTCCACACTGATTTCATGTTATTTTAGCGTTTTTATCTATGGCAATCAGAAAGAAATTGATTTCTATTTAATCAGTCTAAAAGACAGGTTGATGATGTACAGCACAAGTCGGTCAATTAATAAGGTTGAGCAACTCTATTTTCATTAGCGATAACTTCAGTTGAATCCATCGAATGTCATTGCCTATCAATTACGTTATTCAAAGAATGGAATACTTCATCTACGCTCGTACCTATAGTTTATTTTACTAAACTAGCAAATTGTAAGGGTGGCAAAATTGTATAATAATAGCTATAGTCAAAGACATTGATTTACATTAGAGTACTTTAAAAGAGAGTGTACATCTTAATTTGTAGCATATTCATTATCATCGTTCTCGATAGTATCAGAGTATGCCTGAAGATTTCCTTCTACTGTACTTACTGATGAAATCGTAAAGTGCCAGTGACGTAGGCTTGCCAATGAGAGCAATAAAATAGAAATGGAGCGGAAGTTGTGAAGATTAATAGCGGGGCATAATTATATCCAAACTGCATGCAGATGCTCAAGCCAAGGCAGACAAATATCATAGAAATAGAATCGCATCCATGATCGAATAATTCACCTAAAGGGCTCTGATTGCCGGTTCTTCTAGCTTGTTTTCCATCGATTGCATCTAACGATTGATAGGCAAAGAGGCCTACGGCACACAGGAAATATACCCACCATGGCGCCTTTAAAAGAGATCAATGACAGCCATGGTAAGTATTAGCTTCAGGTCTAACATTGACCAAGATGTCTATCTCGAATGATGCTATCATAATAGAAAACATCGATTCGAATCTTGACAACATTATGCAACTATGTCCAAGGATGGCGCTGTACTCATACTACTACATCTGTATATACTGTACTGTCTCTAGAAAATACTAGGAGTGAATTCAGAAAGTAAACTAGCTGTGAGATCTAATATTACGGAAACCTGCAATAAGGACGACAATGTAGTCAAAGAGATGGACTTACAAAATAAGGGACTACCTAGGATCGATCTATCCTATATGCTATAAGATTGCTACAAGATCGCCATTTGTCAAGACCGTTTGAAACGATACTGGCTACCTTATGGCCTTTGCAGTCTGACTAGAGTCTATACGGTAGTTTAACGTGGACAGAGTACCGATTGATCAAGACTTTGGAAGGGTAGACAAATCAATTGAGCAATTGGGTTATGATTGATTTATGGTATGAAAGATTGGAGTTAATCTTACTCACCGCTTCGGTCATCAGTGGACAGTAACAAGCTAAAATGACTGTTGTTACAATATTGACTGCTAACCCAAGGGAGGTTATAAGATTTGGAGCTAGCCATAGTGGCACTTGCTTGACTAACCAACACCAGTACGTTTGCAGAAAGCTTTCCGTTGCAGACTGACCAATAACCGAATATTGATGCTGCTTAAGACGATCTAATTGTTGTTTTGTTAGGTAGCCAATCATCTCTACTAGCTAATGAGAATAATGACTGTCAGATTGGAGCTTGTCTCTCAAGGAAATAGTCAAATTAATTGTGTACACTCTTCACTTTGCTCAATTTCTTTTCCAGTCCGCTTTCAAATGTTGGCGATCCAAACACTCACGTTTGCCTCTGCTCATGCACCCGATGAGCAGTGCGCATGACAGATGATGGTGTGACCTAGATGGGGCCCATCATGGACCTACCACAGCTTGACCTTAGACAAAAGGATATTACTTGATGGACACCGTGAATTGCGCATGTCATGGTAGTGTACCGTAGTGTCCTTTGCAGTAAGTACTGTAGAATGCAGTATTTTGAATACAGTACAGTACAGTACAGTACAGTACAGTACAGTATGTCAAATCCATTCAATAAATAGGCCTGTATTATTATCATAATATACAGGCCTGTTTCATGAATTTGATGTACAGTATTCAGAATACTCCATTCTACAGGACTGTACGACAGCGACTGTACATCCAGAGTCTTGAAGTTGGCCTTTGACTTCATTGACTTGAATTGTCCACTTGGTCCACGTTGCACAACTGTACTGTACACTGTACGGTGTCATGGGCTACTGAAAGTACTGTACTGTAGATTGAGCAGTCCATGACTGTGTCAGTTTATGAAAAGTTCTTCGCTGAAACTGGCAGCCATTTCAGCTAAGTACATTAAGAACTTTTCCATCAACTGGCGGGGGTCTAGCGAAGACTTCGAACTCCCGGAAAAAGTTCATACCGTACTATCAACGTAGCTTAATAATAAGGAGAGGCTTATAACAGATGTACAACTTACACGTCCAAATTTACTGACTGTATCATAAAGCTGCAACTGAAAAGTTAGAGTACAGCGTACTGTAATAGGTGTACAGTGTATGGACTGTAGACTGTAGACTGTACTGGAACTGTTGGCAAGTGTATCACTGAATACCGCTGCAGCGGCTATACTCATTGTATAGTGTAGTAACTTTAACTATGGTTTGGTTCAGACACGGTCCAAGATCACGACAATACTAAACTGTATGACAGTGGCCGGGCCGCAATCCCAACGAGAAGGCTACTACCAGCTTACGAGTACTTGGCATTAGTCAGAAATTGGACACTGTTGTACACAACTTGCAAGAAATCAAATGAGAAAGCAGAAAGTCTCTGCCTAAAAATTGAAATTGGTAAGCTGATGTTCGACGTTTTATGCCTGATTGATTGATAGCGTCGTCATTAAGAATTGGCGTCCAAATATATCGACACAACGCGTACACTTAGACGAGTACAGTAGTAATTATTGTCAAGTCGAAATTGTTCAGTCACGATATCAATGCATACTAGTCATGATATCCTGTACAGTATAGTATTGGAAATGGATCTCGACTTGAAATAAGTTAAATTTACTTCGAAACTACTTACTACACAAGATAAAACCTTATGCTTTATCAAGTCTAGTAGCAGTGCTGTAGCACACTTACTGTATGCATACTGTATAGTTATAGTTCTTTTGCAGTACTCTACAATGGATGATGTACTCTTATGCTTACTAGATCTAGTGATGCTTTGAATGGAACATGCAGTGGTACAGAAATATATCGTATTGTAAGATATCGCCTACATTCAGATATGATTGAACGTAAATTACTCGCTTTTTTCCTACAACTCTTAGGAAATACAAGATGTCACAAGAAGCAAATACTAACCTGTCTGAGAAAACCCAGAAGATGCAAGAGTTAATCTTCAATGTTATGAGGCTTATTTCCTTTAGTTTACAGAAGTATGTCAATATGGCTACTTCATCGAGTACGGAATTACCCAAGTAAGTAGATCATGAACGAGGAGATTGCAGACACATAGTCTTGTATTTCGAGACAACTGATTGAGTCAACTGATACTGTCAAGTAGCAACTTTACGTGTACATGGAGCTGTAGTCAAGCTAATTTGTTGTAGTGCGTATTAGGTAAATAAGAATTGAACTAAAGTGCTAAACTCACGGCACTACACGAGCTTTGAAAGTCAACTAATAGCAGACGCTATACTGCACGCCAGTATTAATGGTTTGCCTCCGAGGATAGGCATACTTATACACTGATAATGAATGAGCGTACATGGAAAGAAAATACCTTGATCTTCCATGTGAAGGTAAATGAATTAATTGTCTCACTGCTTTCTTAGCCCAGCAGCTGTCCACTCTAGCTTGATGAATTTCAGCAAACAACTTGACATAGCACTAACGCGATTTTATTCTGCGTGTGATCAACTAGAAATAAACGTAAGTTGAAAGGATGAACTAAGCGCATTTTAGTATTTTTTTCGTAAAATGGATGATTTTGACATTGATAAGTCATTGCAGTTGTAAATACAGTACAGCTGATTTCATTTGACTTAATTTGTTATCTCACATGTCGTTCGACATGCACTATGCAATAATTTGTAAATTCCAGATATTTCCTGTCAATTAAATGCTTACTGTAGATTGCCGTTAGAAACTTAAGCGATCTTGTCCTTCTCCAAGTATATCTCAGTTACCTCTTGAATTTTAGGTCAAATTACGAATCGAAGAAATTAAGTACAAGTCAATTGTGGGAGAAATTCTATCGAACGCTGTGACGAATAATACTACGTATAGTCAGGACTACGTTGATGAAATAAAAAGCCATGTTGATTGTGTCAATAGGCTACATGAACTGTTATCCGATTTTGTAAAGAACTGAAATACTTCCTTGTATTACATAAGAAATGTTAGTTATGTATATGTATAGTACACTCATTGATTAAAATTATGTCCTACTATAATAATTTAGCTTTATTACTGATAGACGCCTACTATCCAGTCTAATTTCAAAAATAGGATTGCCATACATCGCAATGAATTTAAGATCACCAATGGTGGATGCTAGTGTCGCTTGATTGTACATGAACACTTATTGACTTGCAAATTACTATTGGAAAAAGCTTTTAAAATTCCATTGCAATCGAATCAATGATCAAAAGTCATTCTTTTGTGTAATATATGAGGAACGGTGAACAATGTATTAATCGTACTGTGCTAGTTATGACAACTCTGTGTACTCATTTATGTATTTTTCAGTACTGTAGTTGTTGACAACGTTCCACTCCAGATATTATGTATAATAATTCATTGTATTAAATTAAATTCGATCTTTTTATAAGATATTACCGCAGCAACAAACAGGTATTGCACATGAAATAAAATATTCCTTCAATGTAATCATTTATACGTAAAAATTTAGTTAGTACAGCATTTATGTATATCGACGTATTGCATATCAAGCAATATCCAACATATTACATATCAAAGTACTTCACATCGCATAATCGCTACTTAAAAAAGAATTCCGATTAAAAAGCTAAAGCAGATTTCTATATCAATACGTTTTTAGCAATCACTCAACACTTCTGGATGTGATTCATGCTCGCAATTGTTATAATAGCTTCCAAAACTGACGGCAAAAATTCAAGCTATAATAAATTTAGCTCTCAGAATCTTCAGATTCCCCCAAATATTCTCCTTCTAACTGCTTTATTTCTTCCTCAGTCATCAATTCCCAGTTGTCAGTATTTACATCTCCCAAGAGATCGCGCAGAGGAATATTTAAATAGTCATCTTCACACGCCAAACTAGTCTGACTAATAATAAAAAAAAGTACGAACAACTTCGAATTAATGGCTGTCAACCATTACCCTACAACAAATACAAGAGATAGTCACAATCGCTCAGATGTTGTCACTCTAACCTAATTTCTGGCTCAGCGTTATCGCACGATGCTTCCGAAGTACTGACGTTCAATTCTGAAATGCCGGTGCTATCTTCACAAGTAGCTGTCTTCTTAATAAGTGTTACGTCTGCTGCTTGATACGTTTCTATGTCGTTCTTTGCGTTAGTATTACTTTTTTCACAGTTTGGATGAACGTTTTGCTCTCTTACAGTATTGCAATCACCCGACTCGAGCATCCCATGCTTCTAAATTGCAAAAATTTATAAAGAATTTAGCTTAAATTCTCACTGCAATACGAGATTTTCATTCTCAAATCACTATTTATCCAGTCGCTAGACATAACAACATCAACACATTCTGAAATGGAAAGAACCTATTTGTTTATGAACCTTTTGGGACTGTCCTTTCGGATCTCTATTTCGTCTCGAGTTGTAATTATACGAAAAACAGCCTGAAATTTAATAAATGCAAACAATTTACATATCCTGCAAGTATAGAAAGATCCAAGTACCCATCTAGAAACCCTATTTATACGCGTATAATACGGTATTGCTTTTTATGTTGTTTAACCCTTTAATAGATGCCACTTTATTAAGCTTACTTAAAATCAGATTATCAAATTATCTTGCAAGGATAGAAAGCTGAAATTTATAGATTTATCATTAAAACAAACAACTCTCACACAATTTCGATTTGTTTTAACTACCTTCCTGCTCTCGAAATACATTCCAGTATTGTTTTCCGGTCCTCATGCCATAATTACTGGAAGGTGAATACCGCTTCAATACAGGCCTAAAATTGTAGTGTTCTCTTCTACCTGCATAAATATTCCAAATTTCATTTTAGTTATTAATAGCGCATCCACTGGTTGAAGTTTAAATATCGCAGAATTAACCAAATATCTACAGTAAAATTCAAAGAGTTTATTCTTTGATCTCTCCGTTCTATGGTTAACAATATTACAGCTTGCCAGTTTCCTCAACGGTAGATCCCTTTTGGATCAGAATTACTGATAAAGTTACATTGTCAACTGAATTTGTAACACAGAGTCAGTATTATCATGATCTAAAGCACTTTCTGCCGTAATATTCGTTAATACCTAATTCATTATTTGCAACACTGAATCGCTACAACGTGATCAGACGAAATAAGTGTCGTCACAGTAGGAGAATGGCATAATTACAGCAGGCAACTGTAGCCAAATCTCTCCTCTGACGCAAATTACATCATCACTTCAGTTTTATTCCTAAGAGATACTGCAATCAATACTACAGCCTAGATTTCTTACCTCTCAGATCTTGAGTCACCGCCCGGTTCTTTAGCATACTATCAGCATAGCTATTTCTCTTCATTAGCGATTGAAATCATATTCAATAAAATATAACACCTTTAGAAAATGTTTGTCCTTCAGCGTATTGTCGTTCATTAAGTTAATCACTTAGAGAGGTTACCTTTAAAGAGAGTACAATTACTACAAATCTATACAAAAACGACCCTTACGCAATATTACGATTATTATAATTTTAGCGAATTTATTTAAGGCGGAAGTCTACACTAACAGCGTTGACGCATAAAAATATGAGTACTTAAGTTAAGCTAACGACTTACGAAATTCTATCTAGTTACGAGACAAACTGACTGATAAATAGAGTATAAATCCAATCACTTAACAAATTTCAAATTCTTTACGTTAATAATATTAATATATTTAACGTTACAATTTTATTCTAAGCGTATTTTCTGATATACCCGACGAACGTTGCTATATCCACCAGAATAATTGTAAGAGTGGTAGTTTTGATTGGTGTCATTCCTCTCCATATTGGCAAGTAATTGATTTCTTACGTCTGATAAAAGTAAATTTCTGCCTTAGCCGACGTCCAACGAAGGAAATCTTTTATAAAACCAAAATATCCCCACAAGTGCACAGATCTTCAGTACTTCTAGAAATCAGTGCAATGCGTGTATATTAATTAAAAAGTAGCAAATAGGTCTATGATTTAAGTAGTTTCAATACGCGTATGGTAGCGAGTTCAGTCAAGGCTAAGTCGAAAATTATGCGTATGAGCTTTGTCACGGTCCCATTTAGCAGAAATTAAAACATCAAAACAAGCTTCTAGACTTTCGACTGTGCAAATCTACAATTCTAAAATTACAGTGCTGTACTGTACTGGTCTACAGCATTGCACAATGTAGAGTATAATTTTACTAAGTAGAGTATCGACGTAGTTCATCAAGACTTCTGCTAGATATACGCGTATATGTTTTTTTTTATTGTAAATTTAACAGCAGGAAATACAAATATAGAGGGAGACACTTAGCAAATTCCATTCTTCACGCTGTAGCACAGATACTATAGTATTTAGTAATCCCATAACTGGATGTGAATATTTCATAAGGTACAGTCAGTAGCTGCGATCGTGATGACATACCCGTATAAAGGCAAAACATGTTATGACAGCTCTCAAACTACTGTAGCTATACGTATCATCCTACATTCCAGACTGTTGCTATGTTTAACTTGACACCTCTCTGCTTTTTACAATTGATGGTATTCTAAATACTTCTGATGTTTTGGTTGATTTGAAAATGGTGCGAATAACTTCTACTACGTCCAAAGACAACTAATCGTGGACCAACCGGCCACAACAGTATGAGCAATCTAAGCGTGTCAGGCTGTGAAGAAAAGGTATTTCCATTGGCAATTTTATTGGCTGCAATCTGGAAAATATGGGAATTTTACACCACTATTCAACGCCAATGTTGGTAAATTGCATCTACATGCGATCAAAATGGAAAAAAAAAGTGAGACTTGAACTTCACTTTTTCCCAGCTCGATCTCGTATTGATCAGTGCTGCAGATACTATGGAAACCCTCATTTTTCTCTTCTATACAGTACAGTAGCGTACACACCTGTGGTAATAATATTAAGATAGCGGCTGCGCGACTTCAAGGCTTGAGCGTCGATCTACAGTACGTACAGTACAATCGCTTTATAAGCTAAGAAAATCCTTTTCACAGATTTTAATGGTAGTAAAATTATAAAATGTTGTAGGTTAAGAGTGCCTATGAGTTAACATTCATGTTAATGACGAAAGCGACGGACAGGCCTTCTTCCACTGAAAACACGCCAAACTCAGATGATGTGATACTGCGGAATAATGTAATGATAAATCATTTTATCGTCTATGATTGCAACAATAGTAGCTAGGTTGAGAGAGAGAGCTCAATTTACGTTTTTCAATTTAGTTTCCTTTGAGATATTGCCAAAGGTAGAGAGACACTTGTAATGATGCACAGTATCGCTATGGAGTTGGGGTCCACCTACGGTAGTGAGCTACTATTTTACGGGTTCAATTTTCTTTTCCACGTGCTACAAACGACCATTTGCCCAAGACTACCAGTGATGACTGAACCGTCTGTTGGCTGTAACGTTTCATTCTATCTTCTTTATTAACGTTTCCACTGGCAAGCTTGCAAGTGTTGACAGTCAGTCGGAGGCATAGAGCCTAACGGTTTGAACCGAACCTTTCTCAGGTCTAGTCCGGAGCTAGTGAGGTTCCACCGTTCCAGTCATACAGTACAGTACGGCGTGTCGTACTGTAGTACCGTACTGTACGGTCTTGTGTCCAAACTTGAAATACTGTACAGTACTGTACAGTACAGTACAGTACTGAGTACTGTAGACTGCTTCACACTTCCAGTGGTGACAGTACTGTACAATGTCATCCGTTTTCTTGGATATGTTTGAATAGTTCAAACTATTAGTAAAATGCTCAAGAAAGACCAATGGTTGTGAACCTTCCTATGCGGTCGTGTGTAAAAACTTTAAGGCAAAATTACTTATATGCCACAGCATATTTTCGTATTTACTAATATGCCACTGGAAACTTCAGTAATTGCGCACGCGTAGTGGTATATCATGATACAAAGTACTGTTACTAGAGTATATATACAGTGTATAAAGTACAGTAAATCGTTCTATACACTACTGTACTGTACAGTACAGTAGTACGGACAGTGCGGTACTGTACCGTAGTGCAGCCATTAGCTGCACCGTACGGTATAGTACTGTACGGTGCGAATTCAAAATTCAATATTTTGTAGAATCACGGTAATAAGGCTAGTACAGTTACTGTACTGTAAATTAGGTTAAAAATGGTGATAAGCATGGACTGAGAGTGCGTAGATCGTGTCATGACTATAATGGCATATTAGTAAATTACTGAAATTTCCAATGGCATATTAGTAATTATGAAACTATACAGTGGCAAATCAGTAATTTCGTCAAACTTTAAATATGCCAACTACAAATTCCAGATTCTCGTAGAAAATGATCCACTCCTTTGATTCTAAAAGCGTTCTACTGTACTGTCCTGTACAGTACTGTACAGTACATGTATAGTGTCCATACTGTACACTGTACAGTATTTATTCCGTATTTATACAGTACAGTACTGTACCGTACAGTACAGTACAGTACAGTACTACAGTATACGGTAGAAAAACTTTGAATGCTGTACAGTGTACAGTGTATAGTACGGTAGAGTTGGTACAGTACATTGTACAGTACAGTTGGTACAAGTTGGTACAGTACATTGTACGGAGTGATAGTCATACTGTACAGTGTACACTGTACAGTACGGACAGGACAGTCAACTGGACTGGCTGCAGTACCGTACGATTGCGCAGTATACACGACATGTAGTACATGGTGTGACGTCTACTCGTAGCAATCTTGGTCTTCGCCATTTTCTCCAAATGATAATATCGTCATTGAAAATTGGGAGTAGTATAATCAATCATGGCAACGGCATTAATCAATGATATTTTGTCAGATTCTACCTCCAGTGATGACGATTCCTGGATACAAGACGATGATGACAACGGTACGGTATCTACAGCGTAGAAGGGTTTTTAATGAAGGGAATAAAAGGCGTGCACAGTATTCAAATGTAGTCAATGTTATGAATGAATGGGACGACACTGTAGGAAGACTAGCAAGAATTCATGACTGCAGCAGAGTTATGCACGATCGATTATGACAGTATGGGTCTGTTCTTCTCCATTGAAACTAATGTAATCAGCTGATGGCATTCAATTCTAGTAGCCTCATCATTATGTTACAGACAGAAAATAAAGCAAACTAGGATGCCACTTCGCTGTTTCCATCATCGCTGCCATGATTGTCAACAAATGTACCAATTCATAGCAATTGCTCTACAGGGTTCTTCGCTAATCACATCTTCAATCTTATCCATACTGTGCGCGTATACTATTGCATTGCTCAATTTTCCAATATCATCAGTTGTGAAATACAGTACTTCATCAATTCTATACCCGGATTATCGCACAACAGAAGTTGAGATTGCGATCAACTGTCGATTTTACTCAGCTCTGAATTGCTGTTATTCGTGTTAACAATATAGGGGAAACAGTGGAAGAAAGCTGTGCAATATGCTTATCTCACTTTACTGATCAAATTATTGCCATACCAAATTCCTGTCAGCATATCTTCTGCTTGCCTTGTATCAATGAATGGTCAAAGGTAAAATTATCATAACTCACTTATCAATATTCCTATCAAATGTACAATACAACGTAGCTTTGATTCTAATCAACAACAACATGCATATCAATAAAATACTGTATGCTATTTCTCCACGTTCTGATACATATAAACTTGAAGTAGATTGATTTAGAATTGACATTGTAAAATCTTGCAATAGATTGACTAAAATAGATAATATACAGTGATCTGTACACTTGCAGCACTCGTGTGCGTCAAATACAGTACAATTTGCTTAACTTGAGACCTCTAATTATCCTGTGGATAAACATCTGCATGTCTAACTGTCCTCAAAGAGCACATAGTTACAATATTGAAAAAGTTAAAACATAGAACGATCCAATTTTGAACATTAGGATAAAAGTGAAAGCTACTATTTGCTACAACGATCATCTTCAAAGCGCCTATAATAGTGTCTGCTTACCTAATAAGGTCCTCAAATTTTTTCATCAAATCGATGTATATTTATATGGGATATAATAACTAGTACACAATAACATAGCTAACTGCAAGTTAATGCATAACTAAATCGAGAATATGATGACGAAATAAACGAAGAAATCAAGTGGATGACCTAAATCTATTTCAATTTACAGCTGGCTAACACTTGCCCTATTGATCGTGTCACCTTTCAAACACTACGCGTTTTTCGTTTCATTCATGGAGATAAAGTAGATGAAGTAAGCACGAGCAAAGTCAATCTCGTCAATATACTAAAAAGATGAAACTATATTATGAAATACACTTTACCGAATTATTTTGTAGATAGTCATTGAAAAAATGAATGAAGATACGGACGAAAGTGATCTCGACCTAACCTACTGTGAAGTAAGGAGTGCATCATAATGATACAATACTACATGAATACATGTACCAGTAGCCATAATCATGGTTGCCTATATGTACTGTACTGTACTTGCTGACACTGAATTCATTAGCTACAATATATTGTCCTTCTATGCTAGATTGTGATGCTAGTTCTAGTAAACAATCACATATTTACAAATAGAAACGAAGTGTGTATTAATGTAAACAATTACCAGTTTTTATTAACTTAGCTCGATTGTAAACTACTACTATTTACGATCCACATTCATCCTTACCATTTAAAGGTATGTAACGAATGCAATCGCGAGGATCGCTTGTTATTGTGTGACGGATGTAATAAAGGGTAAGTAGAGAAACTCTATCAAAGCAATACAGACTGTATAGGTTGGACTAAAGTAGATGCATGCTTAATCGCATACTATACGTATATTAGTGTATTTAAAGGACACGGCTGTAGCTTATATCGCGACAGTCTAAGATCATGATAATGTAAAGTATAAGGTCCTGTATGGTGCATGAAGTATAACGAGTGAGGGATCGACTAGTCTTTAATGAAATTTTTCAAATACAAATCCAGATTGACATTTAGGAGAATGAAAAATGCCGTAAAAGATAATAACTGATAACTTAATAAATCGTTTGCTTTTACTTTAGATACCATTGTGAATGTCTAACTCCCCCATTGGAACATATTCCTATCGACGATTGGTTTTGTCCTGATTGCTCAATTACTGAAAATATAGGTTCTTTAATCGATGCTAATCGAGTAGAGGTAACGAATGCGCCAAGTATTATTTCAGATAGTAGGAATCAGTCTAATACCAACAATGATGAGAACGAGTTGGAAGTAACACAATCATACTCAGATACCTATACTGGACGCAGGAGAAGGGAGAAAACGTATCGGAAACGACGTGTGAGTAGCACCTTGCTAAGATTATTACCTTTTAAGTGAGAATATTAGCTCAAATCAATTAATTGGATCTTAGAAAACTAGTGCTAAAACTAGTTCTAAGAGATCAAGACCTAGAAGCAAAAAGGGTAGAAAGAGAAGGCGCACGCGATCAAAAGTATCTATAAGTAGAAGACAAAATAACCGACGTCAATCAGCTCGAACAGTTGCAAGCAGACACTTGCAATTCCTACTAGACAGAGTTCGAAGTAATCTAGAGGCTAAGAACCTTCTTCCGAGCAAATCAACGCCAAAGTCGATTATGACCAGTAATATGCACAGTAAAAGTTTTGTCGCTGGACCGTCTGTTTTAGGCATAACGAGTGACAATGGTCTTTTACCGTTTTACCCGAACGAAGATGAAGATATAAATCATCAAGGTACGACTAGATAGTTATGTTTTATTAGCAATGCATAGTTTTTTGCTTTACATTCGCAAGTTATGAATTTTAGGAAATAATGATACCCGTGGTCACGGAAAAGGCTCTACGAAATATATGGAAATGGTTGTAACTTATCATTCCAGTCAACATCAAGAGGCTTTTAATAGGTATTTGCTTTTTATAGATAACTTGTTCATACTATAAATACTGAAGTAAAACACTATAGATAAATATCTGAACTTTTGTGATATCATGTTGACTGTATCGTAATAATCCTAATTTTCACTATTTCTAACTGTATTTAGAAATGATAATAATTATAATCAAATCAAAACTGTATCACCGATAGTCGATTATGTATCTAAAATAACCCAAGAAATTGAGAATTTAAGAAATATTAAAAATGCTTCTGTCCTACCTGATGGAAGTATTGTCATGCAAAAGTCTAATGGTAATGTATCATATTGACCATAATTGTTACTTACGAGCCTAGGCTTAAATTACGAATTGGGTTTGCTGAAATTTTTATTTACTGTATTTTGCGATCTTACAAATATATTAGCTACCCCTAACAATCAAGTTACTGCGAGGAAGTCATCCAATGAAGTTGTATCAAGTACTTCTGCGATCGACTGTAGTACATATTCACCAAATTCCTCGCAATCGGAAGATCAGATGGATAATCGTAAGCAATCAACATCTAGTATTTCTCTATCCAGTGCAGTGGAAGCTAATTCTAAGCCAAAATTTAGAGAGTCGATGCGATCTGAGGTAAAAATAAAAGTTTCAATTTCATACGCTGATTTATCACAATTATTATGATATATTTACAACCGCCTTATTATTTAATATGGTATCTTTATAATTAAAATCTATTTATCAATTTACGATAACTTTTGATACATATTTGATGCAGCACGTTCTGTATTATTGTTATATTATCATGCAGCTATTTAATAAAGTTAAAGAAACCGTAAGATCGTATGCTAAGCAGTACTTTCGTCATGGAGATATTGATAAAAACGAATACAAAGTCATCGTTAAAAAAACTATCGATAAGGTAAGACTTACTTTATTGCATATACTAATATACTGAAATATAAGATATTTATCATCTAAATTTGGGATTAAAATAAATATTGTTGTCTTAC